CAGCATAAGTCGTGTTCTACGAAACAGAAAAATACAAGAAGCACAGAATTATTATTACTCAGCAGGCAAAGGCGCGGTAGTACTAGTCGCGAGGGCATTGTGAACTCTCAGGAAAATCCCATATTTTGCAATAATTATTATGCTAGTTTTTGCAATAACGAGAGAGCTTGGAAGCTCAGGGCCCTACGCTATGCTTTTATGCTTTTTTGCCTAGCTCATCGTACATGTTATAAGAACTGATGGAAATGTCTTTTTCCGTTGATTGGCCCCATCACTGTATTGCAAAAACGTTTCAATCGGTTTGAATATTATGAGTTAGGCAAAAGTATTTCCAGAATTTATTGCGGATTGTTATTTCTCTAATAATCATCTACTTTTGGTTTGCTCCTTCTTTTCTTTTTATCTCCTTATACTGTAAATCAACAAATTTTGGCCGATGAGAAATAGAAACCTCTCTATTAGAGGGGTTAAGATGCACGTTATTTCCGACGTGACGCGCAATTTCACGTCAAACTTGAAATCGATCGGTATTTTTGCTCTCACATGCATCCATTGCTCAATCATGCATCATTTGCCTATAATTATGACACACTTTGGCCTGCGATTTACTTTGGCCGGTTGGTACCAAGCGGCGAAATCAGCGAAATTAAATCGCCAGCGAAAATTAGTTGATTTTAATACAGTAATCGGATTTTCTGGCCTTTTTGTAGTAATACATGTACATTGACCTGTTGAGCCAATGACGACGCCGAATGCATGGTTGCCTGTGGAGCACATTACATAACTTTACAGTCTCCTAAAATACGTATCCTGTCCGACGGCAAAAGAGGCTGCAGATTTAGTTTTTCTGCGCGTCGACGGGATGTCTGCGACGCGAAAGTTCAGCTCGCGTTATTTGGCTCGCACGTCGAAAAATCAACGCGAGTGACCTGCTGCTCACGTCGAAATTTGGACATTACATAACTTTGCAGTCTCCTAAAATACGTATCCTGTCCGACGGCAAAATAGGCTGCAGATTTAGTTTTTCTGCGCGTCGACGGGATGTCTGTCATGACGTTTACTGGGAGCGGCGCTGACTCTGCCGATCACGGGCATTCTGGACTCGACGGGATGTCTGTCCTGACGTTTCCTGGGACCGGCTTATACTCTGCCGATCACGGGCGTTCTGGACTCAACGGGATGTCTGTCCTGACGTTGCCTGGGACCGGCGGACTCTGCCGATCACGGGCGTTCTGGAGTCGACGGGATCTCTCTTCCGACGTTTCCTGTGACCGGCGCTGAATCGCTCGTTCACGCTTATTTTGGAGACGACGGGATCTCTCTTCCAAAGTATGTTTAATTTTATGCTGACGCATCCTATCACCTATTCGGCGTCTATTCTAATTTAATTTCCTCCACGTCTCCCTATTTCTTTCCAAATTTCCCTCTACATCAGGGAGTCGTATATATAATACGACGAATATTGGTACGGTACGGGACAGATACAGGGGCCCGCAAATATTGTGGACAGCTGTTATGTACAATCCTGTAGAGCCTTTGTAGTCACAGATACGGGACAGATACGGGACAGATACGGGATAGCTCCAGCCGTGACACAAACAAACAAACAAACAAACAAACACCAAATTAAAGCTGTGTGGACCCTGGCTAGCGCCAGACGTTACTGAAGTAACGTCTTCTGCATAGCTACGGGAATAATGCTAGTTTTCGCAAGAATATGCTAGTTTCGGTATAACTAACTGTTACTTGCCGGATTATGCTAGCGCAGTCTATGGAAAGTGGTAATTATGCTCGATATAATGCTAGCATTATCCGCCGGGGGGGGGGGGGGGGGGCCTAATGGCTGTACTACCATACATGTACATGGTGTAGATGTACATGTACAGTGCTGGCAACTGAAATCCGACCCCTGAGCGGTGGGTTCACATTCTTTGCGATGTGAGCACACCGCTCAGGGGGTCGGATTTCAGTTGCCAGCACTGTACATGATTGTACAATGGATTCATGTACAGTGCTGCTCAATGAAATCCAGCCGCGTCACTCAAGTACATGCCCCTGTCGCGCAGCCCTAGACCGACGAACACTGGGCTGAGAAATGGTGCAAGGTGCAAACTTGAGTGAAGCGACTGGATTTCATTGAGCAGCACTGTAGTTGCTGTGTAGTCTAACGGGATTATGATTGTACAGAGTCAGTCATGTACAGTCATGTACATGTATGATGTATGATGTATGATGTACTCATCATGTAGGTCTGGAGTACTAGTACTCAGTACTAGTAGTGGAGAAGGTCAGCGCATTAGCATTGTGCATCTGCAGTGCAGTCCGTGACTGTACGTATGATTTACAGCCGAGTACAAGGGCAATACCAATAAAGTCATGTACATGTACTTACGGTCTAACACCATGACTACGTGCAGTACATGACTTTGTATGGTATGTAGAGCATGCATGTGACTAGTTGTGAGAGAAAGAAAAAAAGCCCTATCTTACGCTACATATAAACACACACCTTTTTTTTACACATTGCACTCCGCACTTACACTTACAGTCACTGCACTAGCAGCTCCAGTGCGGCTCCACCTCACTGTCACACACAGCTCCGGCTTCGTTTCGTGCCACCACCGCTGTCAACCACTAGCTGCTAGGACAAGCGACGCACTAAAATCACTCTGTAGTTCTAGTTCTAGCACCAGCAGCTGATGTTCCCAGTCTCCTCCGCTAGCTGTAGGCGTCGCACTAGGCAAAGGATAAAGTTGGAGAAGGAGGGAATTTCGTACTCTTAGAATTTTGTCTCAAATCGTGCGTGGTGAGCGGAACAGCAGGGCGTCGTCAGCATGAGCTTGTTCGGTGACGATGTGGACGACGGTAAGCCAATCCCGCTGCTAGCATGCTCCACGCCAGCAACAGCTAGGATGGCGATCAGATCGTGAAAGACGGTCCTGAACATAATTCTCGATTGTGAATGCGACCGAACTGTTTATTTTCGAGTGTTAGAGGGTGTGACTAGTAGTAACTCGGTAGCTAGCTAGCTTGCCAGCAGCAGCTGGACGGATATCTGTGCTCGCATAACATAATCATTGATACCCATGTCTCAGGCAGTCTGGGCCTAAACTAGCCTCGCGCGATGCATACCTACTTGTAGGCCTGTGCATGCCTTCAGTTCAGTTCACGTCGTGTGTGTGTGTGTGTCTGTGCGTACGCGCGTGTACGCACACGGATTGTGCTGCTGCTGCCGCTGGTGTTGTGCATATGCACGCTCCGCACTTGTACTTCCGTCTCGTGTCTGCACTGGTGGTGTTGCCTGTTGGCCGTGCGTTGGCATTTGCCCTTCTGTTTCTGCTGCTGTCTGAATTCAGCTGAGGATCTCTTTGAGACCAAAGCAGCCAAGGCCCCCAAGCCGCAGAGAAGTATTTTTGAGCAGCTGGAGGACGAGGACGAAACGGACGGTGACCTCTTCGGACAGGTAAGGAGACTGACGCTCTTGAAAATGCTCCGCCAGTGCGGATACTAGTCGGAGATGAGGCGTGCAACTGTTCAAGGACATGTGGGTCACGCCGCGCTGTGCTTTGCTGCTGCCTGGCCTTTCTGCCTTGGCCAATTCGGGTCTTCGTGCAGTGACTGGTCTGTGGACGGCATGTAATGCTAATGGGCACGACTTCGGCAGCGCTGGCTGCATGACACAAACAGTACTGCGTCGAGTATTTGACTGTGTCGTGGTGCGCGCGATGCCAATGGGCAATGAGCGTGCTGCCGTGGCGGGTCTGACCGTGCATGGCGTATGGCATTTCTGTTCTACACGTAAATCCAATTTTGTTTTTCGTTAATCATAATGCTTGTGTTCCGGGTAGCCCCCGCATGTGAAGTAAGTTGTGCAAAATTGATAGGGAATCATCCCGTATGAATGCCTGGAGGTGGTGGAGGTCGTTCTTGTGATCTGGCCTGCTCGCTTCGGAATGTTTATACTTATAGAGCGTGACGTGATAATGGATGCAGGCTTGAAAATGCTGTCGCCGTGTCGGTAGAGGGGGTTGTACATTCGGACTGTGTGTGTCCTGTGACTGCCGCCCGCTCCACTACGCGTCAATGCTTGCTTGTGAAGTAGTTGTGGGAGAGTGATACCTGTACATAATCATTGCCATAGGTATAATACAGTCTGTTGTGTAGGAGCCGTTCGTATTCCCACTGCCAGCGCTACAGAGGCGCCTCATGTCATGTAGGTGCACGCCGCGTACCACGGTTCCTCGCTGGTTGATTTTCTGCGTGCGGAGAAGAACTACTGCGCTATCCTGAACGTTTTCGGAGCTGCTGTGTTCACTGTTTCGGAGTGTATGTGCGAACACAGTTTTCTTTTACAAGTAATAAAATTTAGTTGTTCGTCACGTGGACCCGCCCGGTGTTGATTAGTGCAGTACATGGCAGCGGTACTGTCGTTAGTGCAGTAGTGGTAGATCTACGACTAGACGATGTAGACTCATCGTATCTATCTCTGTTCCTGACTAGTTTCTACCTACTGAGTATGTCTACATGATTGTATGGTGTGACTTCCACAGCTCAAATAAAAATAATGACCAAGTAACACTAACAGTGTGCTGTTTGAAGGGTGCACTCCGCGCCGTCTCTGTGTGCGATTTGGGCTCAGGCTGTCACACCATGCATGCCACAGGCACAGTCTTGTAAATCGTGGTTCTGTTGTCTTCGGGTTCAGAACGTCTAAGCTACGTCTCTGTGCGCACTCTGCTTGTAGATCTACAGTCGTGCCAGGTGTCGTGTGCATGCATGTCCACTATTTTTAGCCAACTCCATCAGTCCGTGCCCACACCACGGAACGCTCGATACCCACGAAAATCGAATTCACTGATTGCTTTTCCGTGTTCAAGTGGACAGCTTGTCGGCAGTTCACTGGCCAGGATTTCCTATGCAGAGAAAAAAAGAAAAAAAAGAGAGAAGGTGTGTGACAGGAGGGCGAAGTGAGAAAGTAAACAAATGTGCAGGGAGGAAACTTCTCATGGTTAGCTAGAGTGCGAATGTCTCTAGTCAGTGGTGTATCTCAGCCTTGTGCCGTTGTGGACGTGTCGTGGCAGTGCGACCTTCTTTCTGACAGCAATGTGTTCAGCGAATCAACAGCTACTCAGCTGATCAGGACGGTTCCTTGTTCCCTGCGCCTGTGTCTGTGCCGGGGGATCATGGTGGATGGCGTGACGGGGATAAGCAAAAGTTGTCGCTCAGCTGATCGAGGAAGCGTGATTGGCCCTAGCGTCTAGGGGGTCGCGACGCGCTGAAGTAAAAAAAGGGGCGAGATCGAGAGGGACGTTCTCCCAACGATACACCAAGACGTGAGGTCCCACACCCCAACGCAACGCAGTGTTCTGTCGTGTCTCCAAACAGCTAGCATACTAGTCGGTTTGTGGGTTAGTTGCAGCTTCCTACAGCGATGGATTCACGAAAGCGACGAAAGGTGGGAGGCCTGCATGGTTTGTTTACAGTTTAGTTTTGCGCTGCGATTGATACACCCCATCATTCAGTCTTTTCAGAGAAAGTTTCAGAATAATAGCCAAGTCACAAGTGTCGACCCTTGCATCATGATACTTACGGCGTGTGGTGAATCGGGTGTCTCCTTCTGCCTTATCGCTGTATTGCTGTTCCTTATCGCTGTATTGCTGTTTCAAGTGAAGTACCAACTTATCAGTAATCCACCACAACATCGATGTGCAGGTTGCGATAGTATTTCATACATCATGTAAGAAGTACTTGAGTTCCAACACGGATGTGATGTGTGCGGCTGGACCAGTGGCACAGTTTTGATTCAGTAAAGTACATGACTACTGACTAGTCTGTAGTTGCTTACAGTGTACATACTACATGGCTGTACAGTGTTGAGTTGGGACTGGAATGTGGTGCAAGTGTGGTGTGTTGACCTCTAATAATAAACTGGTGTGCTGTTTTGGTAGCAGCTAGACAGTCACATATGGAAAATCAATAATAATATTTCACTGTGAAACTCGGATGTTGTGACTGTGGCCCAATGGCATATTCCTAAATATATGCGGACCTTCCGAAAATCTAGGAATAAAAAGATCAAAAACTTAGGAAGGAGCTGGTACTGTTATCCTCCAGCATACACACAACTGATTGAGGTATTTCTGGTCGCCACACTCGTTGTCCGTGGAAGCTGTTGAAATGCATCTTGGTTTCCCGTGTTTCCTGACTGTATACTGTTGGTGTACACGTGCGGCAAGCCAGCTGAAACAACCGGACATGAACATCTGCTTTAGCTCCACCATGGCCTGCTTGCTTGCCTGTGAATATATCTATGCAGCTGGTCTAAATGATGCTCTTGTGTTTGTTCGTGTCTCTGTGGAATGCAAAGTCCAAGAAAGAGCCAGCAGAAGCAGCAGAGAGTCGGGCAGAAGCAGAAGAACCTGTCGAGGTAATATACTAATAATTATAACTTCAACCTTGGAACACTTTCCAAAGTTTCCATTCTAATCAGATAGTGTTAGGTAACTGCATGATATTCCTTCGCAACATTGGATTATATATGTCTTTGTTGTGTAATGCAAGCCAAATACCACACGGAATGAAGAGTGTTCACTCTGAGTCTTCACATCCAACAGGGAGAGAGGGACATTATCTTCAACTCCTGATCCATTGGAGTGTGAAACTCCAGAGTGGTAGCTTAGTTCCTCTCTCCCTGTTGTAAGTCTTTGTTGCATGGTGGTCGACGGTAGGACGGGTGATACTGAGCAGCAGTTCTTCGAGCTGTAGGAAATGACTAGTCGGCAATGTTGGCCACCAGGATTGTGAAAGGCTCCAAAAGGCCAATGACTCTTGTTTGACCTGAGTGTGTCCAACGCACATCTTTGAGTGACCTAAGATGATTATGCTTTTTGGGAAGTAGAGCACCCGTTGTGTACTTGCTTAGGCAACCACTGGTATGGTCACGGTGACTTGCAAGATGATTTATAATCTGCTACACACACAATGTTGCTGCAGTGGTACATGCATGCCTTCGTTGTGTTGTGTTCTTCGTTGGCAGCCTGTCTCTGCTGCAACTGGTGTTGGCGCATGGTCTTAAGTGGTGCCATCGGGGCACACTTTTTCACAAATCTACCGAATGCTAGTAACACTAACATGACATATCTACCCCTTAAACCATAGTGTCCAAATGCACCCTCAAATCTCCCTAATGTAGGCGACACACCAACTCTTTCACCGAAGTGTCTTATCAGAACAGTAGTAAGATTCGCCATGGTGTGTGTGTTCCTGTGAGTGCAGGGTGGAAGCGGCGACGGCTTTGACTTCTTGAGCGAAACTGACGGCGCAGGGAAGGGACGGAAGCGCACCTCGCCGACAAAGGTACATGTCATGGATTGTACCAATGCATCGGGGTGCATGCATTAGCCTTCTTCCTTCCCGGTGTAAACACCATGCCCGTGTATAGCATTTCCATAGCAGCAGTGCTGCCTGCTGGTAACTTGTGCGAGACAGGCAATGCTGCCTGCTGGTTTCTACAGCTGCAGGATAATTTCACAGGAGTGTTTACCTCTGTAACTCTGCCATCGATTGCCTCCTCTCTGATTGCTTGATAGGCCACTGCCACTGGAGATGTGTTGATAAGTCGTACCAGAAGCTCCTACGAACATTCATAAATGCAACGAAAACATGATTGTTAATTCGTGCATTTAACAGATTTTCCCAGGGGCTATTGCCTATCAAGAACATTTCTGAATTCATTGGGAGATACTAGTAGTGATATTGAAAGATATCAGGATAGAGAAGAGATTGATAGTAAAGATATCAGGATAGAGAAGAGATTGATAGAAAGTAGATGTTAGGAAGAGAGGAGTGACTGATAGTGGGTGGGTATCGGGGATAGAGGAAGCCGTGGTGTGCTTGTTTGGCAACATTGTTTCATGTGGCTCTTTTGCCCTGTTCAGAAACCGCCATTGTCTCCCAAGCCAAAGCGGGTACAGCGTTCCGGCTCACCGCCATCTCTTGCTACTGAGGCCGATACTCTGGGAGGGGTATGTTGGAATTGAGTCTTGTTTTCTTTCCCAACCAGCCAAGAGGGGTAGACAGGGACAGAAAGGGAGAGACCGACAGACAGACAGACAGACAAGCAGGCAGTCAGAGATAGAGAGAAGGAGAGAGAGAAACAACAACAACAACAACGACAACAACTACAACAACTACAACAACAACAACAACAACAACAACAGCAACAGCAGCAGCAGCAGCAACAACAACTACAACAACAACAACTACAACAACAACAACAACTTACCCGAACGGGACCCAGAGGCTGTCACTTGACCCTTTGCTGTGCAATAGTTTCTTCCCACACTCGTGCATTATACATGGACATGCCTGGTGAGACCAAGAACACACGTTGCATGCTGTGGCATCGATGTTGACATTTAGCATTGTCTGTTCCCATTTTTCTTGCCATTTACCTCAGTCTGATCCTCTATCTGCGCAAGAGGAGACTAAACCGCGCTCCAGTTCTAAGACAGACGGTGCAGAAGGCAGTTCAAAGACAAAGTCGAGCTCAACTGCCGCCAAGAAACGTGAAAGTCCTGCCACGAAGCGATCCGGTGCTGCAGCATCAGGAAGCCCAAGCACACGGAAAGCGGCCTCGAGTCCCAGCTCAAAACGCGCCAGCGGCAGCCCCCAAGCAAAGAAATCTGTCACAAAGAAGACTGCATCAGACAGTCCCTTGACAAAGAGAGGTGATAGCCGCAGATCTCCCAGCCCGGGTCTCAAAGGCAAAGCAAAGTCAAGCCCTCCAACTGGTGAGTGGTTCTAGCACTATTCTTCTACTCAACTTCATCTTCATCTGATCTATTAAAAAAACCAGTGCCATGTGTATTCTAAAGCATCACTGTATTCTATGTAGGACAGCATACCATGTTGCTGCAATGGAGGGTATTCGATAGTCAGTGACAGTATGCAGTTCATACGTCACTGAGTATAGATGACCTAGCGTGGTTTCTATTGCTGGATATCCTACCAATCTTACCTGTCGGTAGCAAGATCTTGGCAAAGAGGGAGGGAGAGAGAGTGAGAGAGAGAGAGAGAGTGTGTGTGTGTGTGTGTGTGTGTGTGTGTGTGTGTGTGTGTGTGTGTGTGTGTGTGTGTGTGTGTGTGTGTGTGTGTGTGTGTGTGTGTGTGTGTGTGTGTGTGTGTGTGCATGTGCATGTGATTGGGAACCAATTGTGGACACTAAGAGCCTGGTAATTTCTATGTGGTCTGATAGAATTGATGTGGCTCTGCTGTCCGTTATAGGCAAACCACGCAAGTCCCCAACCACAATGGACTCACCACGGCTTGACGATAGCGATGAAGAGCTGTTCAAATCGAAAGCAGCTGCTCCAGCAAAGCGCACTGCAGCAGATGATTTATTTGGAGATGAAGATGAAGTATGCAAGTTATGTCCTGACTTCTAGCCGTGGAATGTTATTTTTCACTGGGACAGTCATGATTGTTTGCCCGGGACTAACATGTGAATGTGTGGTCTAGACCGCATGATGCATGATGGAAAATCACAACGCTGTATGGAAAAATGACATACCCTGTCACCTCTTGGGGAAACTGTTCTTCAGCACACATGTTGGTTGGCATTACCATACTGGAACCTTCCTCTAAGTCCTTTCAATCTCTTTCCTCCTTTTCCTGCTCCTCCCCTTCTTCAAATCAACACCCCCTCACACCTATGCATGAAAGTGAAACACATCATAGTGGATGCACGGAGACAATGACACAAACATGCATGCGTGCACACCACACACACACGCACACACACACACACACACACACACACACACACACACACACACACACACACACACACACACACACACACACACACACACACACACACACACACACACACACATGTTGTGGCAGTGTAGGTGCTGGTACAATCATAGTCCTACTTCACTTACCCAGACACCATTGACGGTGCCATTCGGAGTTTTGCCTAAAGAGGAAGATTGCTGAGAGATCCTCTTCAAACACCTTGCAGTTACCATGCATAACTCCGGCTTGCAAGGAATGCACATTCAGTTTGTACATCAATAATGCAGTAGTGCGAAAACAATCATTAGTGCTTGATGATGGCAGTAGGCTGGCGTATGTAAGACTTAGGACTCTGCTGTGTTATACTGCTGATAATAATATTATAATCAGCAAATTGTCAATTGTTTGTTCTGTACACTGTAGGGTGATTCGTATAATCAACGAATTGTCAATTATTTGTTTTGTACATTGTAGGGTGATTCTCCAATGGCAGGAGAAAATGCCAAGCCTGTCAATGACTTTGAAGAGGACGCGGAGTTTGCCAAGTCCCTCACGACCAATGCCAAAGCTTCCGACTCGGCACTGCGATCACAGGCAGGTAGTAGTATCTACATACTTCAGAATCGATCTGATTTTTCTCCAGCTGTTGACTCTACTAAAAATCCAGCGCAACCCCGGAGTAACATGTTGAGCCACTGCAAGTGTTTGGTGTGCCTCTCACCTTCTATGTTTTCTTTTGGCGCATGTTGACAGGTCTCCAAGCTTGAGTCCGAGAACTCCGATCTCCAACACTCGCTCAAGGAGACGAAGATGGAGCTAGACGAAACCAACCAGACCAATAAGGAGCTGAAGGAGAAGCTGCGGAAGTCGCGCGAGAAACACGTCTTGCTGCAGGATGACTATGACAAGCTACAGGAAGAGTGGGAAGAGGTCAGCTTCGAACATCCTGTATTGCATAGTCTTACACAGTAGTGACATTGTACACAGGATACACGATCCTGGCTATGCTTGGCTCAATTGTACCCGCCGTACAGTTTTGTCCATGCTGTATTGTAGATATGACTGGGCATTGTGACTGGTCATGGCACACCACCATCTTGACCAATGCTGAAGTCTGAAGCGTTTCCTGCCGAGGCCGCTTGCCGTATGCCTGCACCTAGCTCTCATTGCCTGCTAGTAGAGAATGAGGAAGCCCACTTGTCTGTAAGACGACCATTGTATGTCACACAGTATGACCACTGCCTAGATTTTTCCCTGAGCCGATCTAAGTTAGTGGACACCGCTACCATCAGTTGAGGTGTTTGGCTTGCAATTCTCGCCGGCACAGATGCTTGCACATAGCTCTCATTGTCTGCTAGCTGTTAGTAAAGAACGAGGAAGCCCACTTGCCTGTGAGACGAACCATGCATGTGACACAGTGTGGCGGCCACTGTCTAGCTTTCTCCCTGAGCCTCTCAGTCAATGCTCCCTGCTGCCACTGATCAGTTGAGGTGTTTGACTTGCAATTCTCGCCGGCACAGATGCAAGAAGAGCACAAGACTCTCAAGTCCGAGAACACCAAGGCCAGGCAGCGGGTCAAGGATCTACAGGAGCAAGTGGAGGAAGCCGAGTCTCACAGCAAGGCCAGCACTGGGGATGCCGAGGTATGCACAAACTCGGCGCGGAAATGTCAGCATGAGGCATACACTGGGACGTGTGTTGTGCTCCGCTGGCATGCATGTTGTGACGGACAAGGCATGCAGTTCTGTAACACAGGGATTTCTGACAAACATACTCAGCATACAGTGTATTTCCTCACCTGGTTCTTAGTCTGGGCACAAGGTCTGCATCCGTGGAAGTAGGAGCTGTTGTTTTGTGGCATGGCCGGATGATGCAGGATATTCACACATATTCCTCTGCGTTTTGCTGAACAGAAAGAGTTGAATACCCTGCAAGATGAGCGCAGCGAATTGCGCAAGAAGGTGAGAGAGCTCAAGAGCAGCAGCGAGGAGGCAGGCGAGAAGCAGAGAGAAGCCGAGCTACTCCTTACCAAGGTGAGAGAGAGAGAGAGAGAGAGAGAGAGAGAGAGAGAGAGAGAGAGAGAGAGAGAGAGAGAGAGAGAGAGAGAGAGAGAGAGAGAGAGAGAGAGAGAGAGAGAGAGAGGGTGGGGGTAGCCTCTGTGTGCTCTACAGTATATACCCGGTAGTAGGAACGATATCTTCTGGACTTGCTACGAGTTGTCAGTTATGTGTGATACGTGCATGGGTACCCCGATGCTGGGCGTAGTTGTGTAATTGTTGTTATGCTTGGCCTATTGCCTGTGCTGTAGGTTCGTACTGAACGGGACGAGCTGCGGTCAAAGGTGAAGACAGAGGAGAACGATCGACTTGCGGCAGAAGAGAAGGAACGTCAACTACAAATTGAGGTGAGTACTGACTGATCAGTAACTTGGTCTATTATTTCTAATATTCGCACTGCAAGTTGGGCTGGCTTTTAGCAGTTTTACCCACCAAATACAACGCGAGTGACCTGCAGCTCGCGTCGAAATTTGGAGTTTTACGCCAAATTTGACGTGAAATTGAATTGAACATAAAGCACCTGGCCTCACATGTGGGTGCTGAGCGTACTGCGATCACACACCCACACACACGCACGCACGCACCCACCGTGTGGGTGCGTGCGTGCGTGTGTGTGGGCGTGTGATCGCAGTACGCTCAGCACCCAAGCTTGCCCGCCCTCGTCTAGTCGAGAGTCGATTCTCCTGGACAGTGGCAAGCTCCAATGCTCAATGTGCCAACGCCAGTTTCGCCATTCGGTTTCAAGCGGCACAAATGCAGCCGTGGCAGTCGCCCTACTTGTAAACAGAGGGAAACCTTCGAATATGAGTGCCGGCTCTGCAACAAACGTTTTCGGCTTCCACGAGATCTCAACCGGCATGTGGCTCGCCAGCATTGACTCTCTTACCCTGGCTCTGGCTCCCTGTCCCAAGGGAATGACGTGGCCCTATGGGGCAGTCATGCTATAGTAGTAGTAGTGTGTGTGTGTGTGTGTGTGTGTGTGTGTGTGTGTGTGTGTGTGTGTCACTTTTAACGTGTGCACATACATGTACCGGCATACCGGTATACGTTCTTGAGCACTATTACTGTTGTCGTGGCGATGGCTGATCTCTACAGGTGGAGAGGCTCATGCGACAGCTGGAGACTGCGGTGGCAAGTGCAGCACAGGCCAAACCAACTTCAACATCCACCACCCGGACAAAGGGAGATACAGATAAGCCTGCTGCTAAGGACGATAAGAAGCCGGTGAAGAAAGTCTCTGCCACTTCTAAGCCTAAGGACGAGGAGAAGAAGCTGGATCTCAAGGTGAGGAGAACAGATTTGATAGTACCAAGAATACCAACCCCAAGTAAAGTTTGTGTCGGGGAGGGGTTGTTGATCTGTAGGGTTATGTGCGCTCAAGAAGTAGAGCTCTCTGCTTTCAATGGCTGTGTACAAGTACGCTCGTGCTGCACGAGTATTCCCCGAATGTGCTAGTTGTGGATTCGCTTGTCCCAGTTAGACACTCTTGTGGTCTGCATTTTAGGTAGCCCGGGCCTAGTCTACCGTGCATTGAGAGTACAATACTGTGCATTGAGAGTACAATACTGTGCATTGAGAGTACAATACTGTGGATTGTAGGATGAGAGCCATACCAAGATGACAATAAGCCTGTTGATGACCCGATGATACCGCTCTGGTCACCTGCCTCTTTAGGAGCTGTATCTGTTCCTTGATGGTGGTGGTGACGTTTGTACAGATGCGGAAAATTCAGTATGATGAGTGCCTCCCATTGCGATTGTAATGAAGTTGCAAGAAGTCTCCAAGCAATCTCGCATTCTTTTTCTTATGCCTTGTGAAGTTGTGTGTGTCTATTGTCCTTGCCTTGGGTAACTTGTGCACAGGCCACTGACAGCAGCTCAGACCTGGCCAGTACTCCAGCCAGCACCAGTGCATCCACCAGTGCCAGCGCATCTTCCAGCACCGCCACAACACCCACCGACGTGGCCGTAAGTTAACCAAGCCCAGGAAAGTGTGTCCATATTTGGAGGTTTATCCCTTGGTAACGTGACAACGGTCATGTGACAACACATTGAAAACTGCCACATGACAATGGTCACATGGTAAATGTCACGTGAAATGATTGGTTTTACTGGAAATTTGTCACTTGACCTAGAATTCATCCCAGCTATGACTTTCCACTCGTCGCATCGGTTTATTGTGCAAGCGGTGTGTCATCTGACCGGTGAATACCCTCTATAGAAGATACACTCCATCAAAGTTAGGATGCACCTCATTGGCATCACATGCACGGTGTGCTTGTGTGATGGCTGATTAGTGACAAGCCCGCGTGTATGGTGGTGGTGGTGGGCCATGTGGCAAATTTCCTCTTGACGCCAATCAATGCAAGTATGGCTGCATCAATGCAAGTATGGCTGCATCAATGCAAGTATGGCTGCATCAATGCAAGTATGGCTGCATCAATGCAAGTATGGCTAGCCATGCAACCAGGTACTAGTTATACGGCCAGCTGTGAGCTTGGTATTGTATTTTCTGGAATGTTGACGTTCTGAATCCTCTGGCCTTGAATTCGTGACTCTTGATCTAATCTTGGAAACGTGATCATTTGCAGGGTAGTTTTGCTGCAAGGGTCGTGATCATGGCGTGGAAATACATGTATGTCCTGTGGAAAGTCCAGTCGAGATTAGGCTCACTCTCGGAAAGCTGACTAGCTGCTACGATGAGTGATCACGCAGAACAGAAGCCACTGTAGTGTTGGTGGGTATATGCACAAGCACCCATGCCAGACCCCGCACTTGATATTGCTTGTGTGTGCCTGTGGGCAGGTGTTTTCGCACCTGGGTCTGCACCACTTGTTCTACATTACGACTATTATTTGTTTTGGTGCTGTAGTAAATGCTCAGCCCGTGTGCTGTTAGGCGATCTCCTGCACAAACCGTAGAGGCATGTTATTATTACTTCAGTAGTTGTATCGTATGTGGCTCATGTCTAGCGGGCATTGACTTGAACGGGTCTAGCATTGACACGGGTCTTATGTCTGTAGTTGCACTTTGTTGCAACGTGATTTCGGCATTGCTTCACAGCAATGGAATGCTGTGTGTTTGATCAGTCATGCCGGCGGCATTGAACACAGGCAATGCAGTATAGTACAATGGGAGGTGTGCATTGTTGGTTTAGGCTGCATGTTCAGCCAGTGTAGTAACTAACTAGTATGTGCAGCATGGCCCACTGTTTCAACTGGCAACGGTGTAGCTAGTAGTAGTGTTTCCATGCTACCAGTGTGCATCCACCCATACTAGTCCTGGCTGACCAAGCAGCACAGTACTAAGTTACTTCAGACTTGTAGCAATGACTATGGGTATGTGTTGATCAGGGAATGTTGTCACTGCAGTGCGGCTGCTGGGTGCTGGTAGGCACTGCTGGGCGGTATTCATGCTGGATGATGTGTCGGCCAACAGATGGCACAAGTTGGTGACCACTTCCAAGTGCATTATACAGTGAAGGCCAACACACAGTAACACCGCCGAAGACTTGTAGAGAGAGTGCACAGAAACTCCGGCGTGCGGTGACAGCAGGCCGCAGGTGGGAGCACCTGCCAGCAGAGCTTAGTTTATTCGACCTGTACTGCTAGGAGAGTGATAGACTGGTAGTGTTCACTGAAAAGAACTCTGACGGTCACTCCTGTGCTACACTGAACTGGGCAGCACGGAGCAGCAAGCTGTGCTTGTTAGCTTCCACTTTGTCATTGGCCGGTGTAGCCGCAGTTTACCAGTGTGGGTGTGAGGAAGTCATCGTAATGCCATCCAGTGTGCTCCGAACGACAGTGCGAATTCACAGCTTGGTAAGCAGGCCTTAGCCAACTCTAGTTGTACTCTGGAAACCGCTCCATCAAGTAGTACACGTATGTGAATGTGTTAGTGCTGTCATTTGTAGCTCTGTCCCGATTCATTGTATGTGAGTCTGTACTCTGGAATGAACCATTGCTCTAAGTAAACATGCTCTGTGAGGATGTTAGGCCCGGGTGTGACGGGTATGGTGGATGTATATCCTGTTAGTCTTGGCATGTTTATTTTCTTCTTTTTTCTACAAAATCCACATCATCTCGGGATTCTCCAGACACTGGGGTGAATAGTGGAGTGTGGTGGTGGGGCCCATTAAGTTCAGCCGACTAGAGGTCTCGGCTTCATAGCTCCATGTAGATCACTGGAAATATTCAAGCTGTGCTGTACACTGCTGGGGGCGAGATAGTATGCTATAGCGGGCTTCACTGCCAGCTGCCTGCGGCTAGAAGACACGGAGAGCTATTGAATGTCAGCACTCCTTTGCTGTACAAACGTTACACTGCCAAATGATTAGTGCTGTGCTGTATTATGCTGGGAGATGAATCTACGCCTTGGCAAACCCACCATCTCTAAGACAGAGAAGACCCCTCTGAATCATAGTAGACCGAACCTCCCACATGAAGTGGAAATATAGCACTGTTCGGGTCCAATTGGTACTGCTGTGTGATTAATTTGTTGCACATGTAAAGGGATCTAGTCAAATATCTAGAAAAAAACTAAAAATGCAAAAAAAATATGTGGATACTTTCACCCGTGTGCAGTAGTAGGTTGCCACTGTGATGTTCACAGATTGCGATACTCCTGTTTTGAATACTGCATTTACTTCTGCGATTATCTCTGCCTGAATTGCGCTCCACCCTTCTATGGGTGTGTGTCTGTGCCTGCGTCTATCCTGCTCCTCCTCTCCTTCACCTGCTCTCTCTCTCTCTCTCTCTCTCTCTCTCTCTCTCTCTCTCTCTCTCTACCTCTACCTCTACCTTTCTCTCTCCCCCTCCCTCTCCTGCTGTTGGTGTGGTGTCACTAGGATCCGGGAGCGTGGAGAAAGAGTCTGCGAAAGCGAGGCACCCAGCCGGATGCCGAGAAGAAATCCGCAGCAGCTTCAGCACGCCTGTCCTCCCCTCCAACTGTCAGTGAGGACGACGGTGAGCAAGGTTCTCAGCCTCGAAGCAGATCTGGTGCCACGGCAACGAAACCTGGCAAACCAGGTGAGGAACACTCGTGTGCTTGTGTGTGTATGTATGTGCATGTGTGTGAAGTGGGCTGTGTATGTGTGTAAGTGTGCGTGTGTGTACGTGCATGTACTTGTGTTTGCACTTGTATGTGTATGTGTGTGTGTGGACTTGTGTACATGTGTGCGTGTGTGCGGATGTATATGCGTGTGTGTGTGTGTGTGTGTGTGTGTGTGTGTGTGTGTGTGTGTGTGTGTGTGTGTGTGTGTGTGTGTGTTCGAAGGAAGGGACCTTGTTAGTGGTATTGCCAAATCTGCTACTAAGTTGATGGCAAAGACCTTCATCGGTTCTGACGGCTATCTCTGCAATGTATGCCTCAAGTGCTGGGTTGCACACCTGTTTTATTGCAGTAATATAACGTAGTTTCGGCCAGTGACACCCTCTCTCCTCTCTCTCCCTGGGATTGTACTCATGGTCAGTCACCACCCGGCCACAGGAATGAAGATATGATGTATAGTGGTTGCAATGTGCGTGACCCCAACCGTTGTGCGTGACCCCAACCGATAGGCATGGGTGCGTGTGAAGATAGGCAATCCAATAAAGTACAAGGAATACTATGTACACACACACACACACACATACACACACACACACACACATTTTGTCCACGTTCTCGAGGTGTAAACTCTGCCGTTCTTGCCCCTGTGCCTTCGTGTGTCTTGATACGCGGCAAGTCAGAGAAATGCAACATGCCCACGCTTCCTGATAAATGCAGCATGCGTATAGCCCACGTTTCCCGAGCCATGTGCGGAGATATGTTGACGGTCCACTTGGCTGTGTTGGTCCTGAACGACCACCGCACCAGTGCTTTCCAGCTGCTGACCTTACACGTGTGGTAGTAATCCATGAGTGATGGCGTGTAACAGACTGTAGGCTGCAATCACAGGCAGGAAATGAGCTGCTCTGAGAACACCACACATGCTCTCAGTGCACGCCAGCAGCCTAGCCTGCCTGTGACTGCTAGCCATCTGTCCTAACCTGCCTTGCACTGGTGGGTATGTGAGTGGAGGTTCGAGTACACAGGCGCTGTATGCTGCAGCCAGCTGTCAAGCACGTGTGCAATGACTTCTCGGGCATTTCTCTCGTTCGTTGCACCGTGACCTGATTTGATGCACGTACGCAAGGTGTTCTGTATGTGCAGTGCAGTTTGGACGGGCACATTCTGGGTGTGTGTATGTGTGTGTGTGTGTGTGTGTGTGTGTGTGTGTGTGTTTGTGTGTTTACAGTAACCTCCAAAACACTCTGTCTCTTCTTTGTGCTTATTCTGTGCTCGCCTGTGTGGTGTTCAGCTGGCAAGAAGCCTGACTTGCCCGCACGAAAGCCAAGCCTAACACCATCACCAACGCCGGACGACAAACCAAAGAAGACTGAACCAGCAGCAGCCGCCCCGAAGAAGACGGTCACGGTCGTTGATACTAAGCCATCGGAGAAGGCCGCAATGTCCGAGGCAAGCGCATCGCCGGCGTCAAACGCTGCACCAGCCAAGACGGTGGTAACACGGCAAAAGAGCGATAACTTTGATGAGAAGGCGGCGAGAAGGGTAGGTCCAGAGTCGGCATGTGCAGCTCCTTTGCTATTATGGTGCTTGTTTGAGTAAAGTGTTCATCTGGTCTAGACATAGTATTGATCTGAAACATGGAAATTCGGAGAATGGTGCCAGTTAGTCTTTCCCCCTGGCAACCATCCATGTAAATTGCTAGCCAACAATGCCATACACAACTGGATGTGCACGCTGCCTTAAATATGCATGCTCTCCTGTCCACCCAATGTACAGTTGTAAAGCTGGAGAGCAGCATTGCCGGTGAGAGCGTTGCTTTCTTTTCTGTCCAGTGCTTTAAAACAAAATTTAAATAGCCTTGTGCAATCACTGAATCAGGATTTTCACACTGTCAAGCAGGGTGCTAGAGCAGCTTCATGCACATGTACTGCCTGTTTGACTATCGATGATAAACCGATCCCCTCCTTGCTTCTTTACTCCATGGATGATGAAGAATACAAGAGACCCAGAAGAGAGAGAGAGAGAGACTCTCTCTCTCTCTCTCTCTCTCTCTCTCTCTCTCTCTCTCTCTCTCTCTCTCTCTCTTTGTCTCTCTTTCCCTCTCCCCGTGTAGGGAAATCTGCCATATACGGGTACTGAGCACTCTTCGAGCAGTGGGGCTACTCGTTTACAGCATAGCTTCCAGCGCTATGACTTTGCAGATTAGTTTTCATAAATTTAGCGTTGCATTCATCCAGGTTAAGGAGGCACCAACCTTCTGCGCTGCGCAGCCGGTCTGGCGCTCTGTTTTTTGCAAGCAAAAGTCTTGTTTTTGCCGATAAGTGCGAAAGGTTGGAAAATTCCCGTCTCAACTTACTAAAATTTGAACTCCGTGATCGACAGTACCCCAAACGATTTTAAAAGTCATTGTTTTCTGACTATGTTGTTTTGCAGCAAACGTGGGGAGGTGGTCCGAAGTTTGGCGGTGCCTCGACGGAGAAATGTGCTATTTGCGAGAAAACTGTGTATGCCATGGAGCGGCTGGAGGCAGATAAGGAAGTTTTCCATAAGAACTGTTTCCGCTGTCACGAATGCAAGAAGGTTCTGGGGTAAGTTGGGTGGCATCCTTCTTCCTGTTTGCAACTTCTCTTTCTCTCTGCCTGTGCTAACCCTGCCTTGTATCAGAGAGAGAGAGAGAGAGAGAGAGAGAGAGAGAGAGAGAGAGAGAGAGAGAGAGAGAGAGAGAGAGAGAGAGAGAGAGAGAGAGAGAGAGAGAGAGAGAGAGAGAGAGAGAGAGAGAGAGAGAGAGAGAGAGAGAGAGACACACACACACACTCTCTCTCTCTCTCTCTCACACACACACACACACACACACACAAAGATGTTTGCACCGGCCCCTTAGATCTGCTACGCGTTATCTGCATGTACAAAGCAGGTGCTCCAACAGTGTCCGAGCCCCAATGATCGGATATAGAGCACCAGTCCAACGCCCTCTTACTCTTCTCTTTTTCTTCTTGATGGTTTTGCTTTTTGTAGGCTGGGTAGTTATGCTTCGCTTTCAGGCCAAGTTTACTGTAAGCCTCACTTCAAGCAGCTCTTCAAGCTGAAAGGCAACTACGACGAGGGCTTTGGCCGTGAGCAGCATAAGAAGAACTGGGTCAAGGAATAAGGCTCCCTTGATTTTGTGTGCATTTGAGCTCACACGGTGTCAGGACTTGCTACCGGGCCTCTGGCGATCTTGCATTTGTGTGGATGTCGTTCCCGGGAAATTCAGCGCGTGTACATGTACATGTGCAAGATGTGTGATGTTTCTCTCCCATCATCTGCTTGTCACTCTCAATCGACTCGTTGACACCGTGAACACGAGCAACAATAATTATTATTATATTCCCCGGCCTGTCCTTCCCGCCATCTGCATTGTAGGCCGTCTGTGAAATAGATGATGTGTCTTTTAGGCATCTTTTTTTTGAATACTTATTATTATAGCATCTCCATGTATCGGTTTCGTTTCACTGCACTGAACAGTTGTTTTAAGGGCATTTGTTTCTATCTTTATTTACAGTTTCTCCGTGGATATCATTATAATATTTTTGTGGTCTTGCAGACTGTGAACAGCAGAAGAGTAAGATTAGAATAAGGAAAAAGAAGTAGTAGTAGGTAGGACAGCAGCAGCAGCAATGGAAAAGAGGCAAACAAATACTGTCCAGGAGAAGAATGATGAAGAAAAAAAAACAAACAAACGGACATTCAATTTAAATTCAAGATGAAACTCGGAGCCTAATTAAAATATTTTCTCCAATATAAAAAAAACAACCAGGACCCAGCTGAACCAACGCAATAAAATAAATACCAAGAAGTCGCAACAAAATTATTTTGGACAGGTGTGCTTAGAAGATGTATGGCTATTAAAATAAATTTTAAAAAACTACTATCTTTTTTATGCATCGATAAAAATAAAATTAATGATTAAATGTGACATACCTCGTCGCGCTTTACCTATATTACTTACTTAATCCGAGTTACCGCAATATAAATACAGCATACAGGTAGTATATTCTGTACAGAGGTGCTAAAGAGAAATATCACAAGCATGCTATATATACACAGCGGGAGTGAAAGCTGGTCCCAGTGGCAGGATATGATATATGTATGGCATGGGAAAAAATGAAGCACATAAGGAGGAAAACAATGGCTGGCTATTCAGGACTTGATCGTCTTTGTCTTCAATGCAAGCCTCGTCCACGCATTGGACTTCATCTTGCTGTTACGTTGCTTGATGGATGAGAGTAGTGGTGTGGTGGTATTGGCTGCATGTGTTTTGGAATGCGATGGTGCCACGCCACAAGAAGAACTTGAAAGTCCAACACTAGTGGCTGCCTGCAAAGACGTTAGCTCTGCAACAATGGTGTTGAATGATCTCTTCGCTTTCCCATCTGGAGCTGGTTTATCGTCGGATTCTGCTGATGCAGCAGCGGTGATGAACAATCCTGCTACGTTGGTACTGGATGAGCAGCTTACAGCAGCTGAGGTAAGACTGCGCGACATCTTTATTCCTCCTGTGGAAATAGCCTGGCTAATCAGAGAATCGCTTTGTGAAATCTTGTCATACTCAACCATGGGGTTCGGCGCTCTTGCGGATGAGCTCTCAGGATGCTTCTCATCTGGAATGCCTGAATCCTGCGATAAGTGGACAGGGATCGTTTCTATTGATGGCTTTGAGGTAGCACACGCAGTCGACCCATCCAAATAGTCCATGTTATGGGGTAACGGCTGTAGACGAAGGTGATTTGTTGAAGACGGGAAACTCCCAGGAAGCTCACCCAGGGTCTGAAACATTGGATCGTCCGTAATGGATTCTCCCATGGGCCAGGAAGCCCGGTGGATACCTGACAGATCCGTGTGACTGGCAAACTCCATCAAAGGATCAATTATCTTCGCAGCAGACCAGGGATCATTGCTACGCGCTGCCAATGCATCCGGATGTAGCTCCATGATTGCTACAAAAAGAGAGTCAAAAAACAATAAAACCATCACATGAAAGCCAAGCCCTTTTCAAGGAGGTAAGATCGAAGGGGTAAAACTGCAAGAGCCAACAAAGTAAGTTATTCATAAAGCCTAGTTCACATTCAACGGGGATCGACGGGAAGCGACGGGAGAGTCTGACGGCGTCCAATGTGAACACCAGGAACGGGAACGCAACCGTACTGCCGTACGGATCGGGAAGCGACGGGAAGAGTTGGATCGATCCAACTTTTCATACCGTAGACGGGGACGCAAGCGTACAAAACAGCTGCATTTTGAGTGTGAACAGGAGATGGCGTCGTGCGCCGACTACCCCCGATTCGTACTTGGAAATTTTTAGCAATTCGAACACTGCGCTTCCCATGATAACTCGCAGAATGGCTAACACGACTTGAGTTGAATTTTAGAAAGATAAAGTCTGATGTCACTTATGGTATTTAGGGATCGTTCAGGAGCGTGACAGACGAACTGTTTTATCATTTCCTGGAGCTATTATTTGAATGGCACACCTTTCGAAGCTACTTTTTTGGTGTTCATGAAAAACTGGTATTGTGAACTTGATTCTGCTTCATTCAAGGAGAAATAATTGAAAAGAAGTCCCGAAAAACAAGAAATTAGGTCCAAAAGTCACCCTGTCCCGGACCGTGCCTTATGACTGGCGCTGTTCGCTGTTGAACGACGCAACGACTGAAGCATGTCGTGTCGTACGAATCGTACAAGATTTTACAGCTCACCCCAGCCTTCCTGACAGGCCCTTACATTCCGTACCGTCAGCGTTCCGTCGAATGTGAACTAGGCTTAAGTTTGAGGGAATAAAGAAGAAAAAAGGATTGAAGAAAAAGTGACGGTCACCATCAGAATTCAAACTATGGGACTTTCGCTAAAGGTAGCCAGTGCAGGCTAATTTTTATTTTTCAAGGAAACCCTTCGAAAATGGTACCAATCGATTCAGCATGGCATTTTCATTCCTCCTGCAAAGTTTCAGCTGATTTGGAGTCATGACAAGGACGCTATGGCGATTTGAAGATCGAAAAACTTCACTTTTGTTTGTCAAGAAGAAAGACCATGATCGCACACAAATCATACAACCCGTGTGGCACAATGATTTTTGAACGAAGTTGATCCGCGGACCCCGTGCTTCGCGCATGCACGCATGCATACTGCACAGTACAGAGGCTTTTTTGAACGCAGATATATGTAGTTCTTCGTCTTCTTCGAAATGTCTTCCAAATGCGTGGTGCTGGTGTTGTTCTCAGCTTCGTCAAGGCAGAATGCAGCTGCATGTGATGCTCCTGTGTGTTCATGCATGTTCTCTTTTCGCGTCTCGACATTGTAGCGTCCAGACTCAGCTCGACTGGAGAAGATTGAGGAGACTATGCTTTGATCCACATGGAAAATCGATGAAATTTGGTAATTATCGTCGGGCGCTAAAAAGCGCTGGGGAGCATGGGGCTAAAACTTCGTAGCAGTCATCCCTACCATGACAGGCATCGACTGGTATATGTTCCATTCTGTTCCCAACCACTACGGGTCGTCTGCGAAGCTTTCTTCTTCGCCGATTCTCGGACAGATCGTACGTCTTCGCACTGTATCTCTCGTCTCCCTCAACGGATCAAAACACGGTTTTCGCCAGGACGAACACAAACCCCCAGATTTCGCGGCGGCAACATCTTCGAGTAGGGAAAAGCTAGCAGCTAACCAGGAATCACCAACAAACACGTGTAATACTCAGTGTGATTTGCGACAGCTGTCATTGTGCCGTCGCATGTACCATGCACGGGAATGGAACACGGATGAGTCGTTTTATTACGACAGCCTGCACTGGCTACTAAAGGCCAGCGATGCTCTACTCGATGACATTATGGTGTAGCTGTCACCCAAGCAGCAACTGTCCAACATTTTCTTCAGACTTGGCGCTTCCTGTAAAACTACACAGGCTGGTGGGATGCGGCCTTCACTGTACACACACGCTGTACCCACACACAAATATTCATACAAGTAGATTTGAGGGATGAAAAGGGGAAAAGTCTGAAGAAAAAATTGGCAGCAAGTTATTAATTTTGTGTACAGTAGTGTCTCGCCAGAAAGTCCTGCTGCCTCTTTCAAGCGGCCTAATTCTTGCCAGGAAAAGTACCACAATGGAATCATAGTACGATCCTGGGATGGACTACTGTACTGCAGAACCGGTTGGAAGTTTACGATACCTCAAATCTGTTGACCTTTTGTTGGTGTACAAGATTCGGGAGCCGTTTTGTGCATGAAATCTCTTTGCTTTCAATTGATTTTAAACTTTAAAGGCATCTGAAAACAGAGCCAACACAACAGCTACATGTTTGTCCCAATGTGGATATTCAAATTTGCTTCGAGGCTGCAAAGCAAGAAAATCATTGGTATTATTTGCGTTTTATGGGTAATGCCGAAGCTCCACAAAATTACCGCGTCTTTACGCTGGTATGCTCTGCGGAGCTCTGGCCCACGGAAACTAGCTTCTCCACACCGTTATCGTGCGACCATGCAGACAAGTAATTCATTCTCAGTTGCTTGACAAGCATAGTGTTGATCTAACATTGTTGTGCACCTACCTGATACATCATGATGCCTGGGTATGATGTCGACAACAATCCAACATGGCGTGTGCATTGGATTCTTCTGGTCATGAACAAAAGCCAGGGCGACCTTCAAGCACAAGTTATGCACACATACACCAATGCACACATAAGCAACTGATTCGCGAAAACAAGTCCAGTGGCGGAATGGATACTACTTGTAATAGTTTCTGAAAGAAATCACTTGGGACAGTACGTGAGGGAGACGAGTCGGAAGAAGAGTGTATACGTGTCTGTCCCTACAGAAATCCGCGGAAGATATTAAAAAAGTTGCTCACATTTTGCTGCGCATCAACACATACTTTTGAAGTGAAAATTCGGCGCAAGCAATAATACCCTCACATGTGTCATCCATGTGTGTGAATCACGCATTTTATCGTTGTTGGTTTTCGACTTTTAGTTATTCTTCTTTACACTGTTTTGTCACCTCACTGCTGTACGTTTTATAAGTTTTTAACTCATTGCTCCTGTTCCTCTGTTCGTTGTCTGTAAATCACCCGAGGAGAAGGCACAATAGCCTGTGAAGCGTTTTCAAAATGTTGGCGTTGAAGTGGTGTGCGCTCTTTCTTAGTGTTCTAGTCACAGTACTTCTCAAAGTTGACCCAAGCATCAAAACAAATCTACCATAGCCTGTCGACACCACCCGGGGGTACAAACAACAAGTAACTACTCCCTGGACTGGTCGCTACTGTGTGTCAAGTACTGTACTGTGTGCATCGCTGGGGGTGCACTACCGTCTCCGTCCATCGATGACTCTGCAAGCTCCACTGGTTCCTGCAAAATTTGCAACGATATTGCGAAAACTCCGGAATGCGTCGTGGCCGCGATCCTGCAAATTTCTGCGTGGACAAGCATGTGCAGTGGATGTCGCCGCAAGACGTACCTTGCATATCGAGAGTCCCATTTTCTGATCAACCGGCTTCATGTTGATCAAGCTGATCATGTGCTTGCGGAACAAAGCCGAATCATAGATCTGCAACACAACCGTACAGTCATGCATAGAACACAGTGAGTTTGCGTAAGCTGGAAGAATGACAGGCTGCATGCACAATGGACAAGAAGCCAATACACATACACAGTGACACACACATACATGTGCATACATACATACACACATACATGTACATACACTCGTACTCATACTCCTGCCCATCGCTGAAGCGATGTTAGCGAACAAGCTCCATGTATGCTAGACATAGTAACTTGTGCTGGGATTACACCACTCAACAGCTTGCAAGGCTGATGAATTGACTGGCACTAATTTTAGCCTGGTCTACACCACACAGCTGGTTGAAGTGGCTTTTTCTGGCCAGATATACATTGACCATTTGACGCTACAGCAGAAGCCATAGCAACTTGTGCTGGGATTGTACCATTCAACAGCTTGCAAGGCTGAAGAATTGACCGCCACTATTCAGCCTGGTCTACACCACACAGCTATGAAGCGGCTTTTTCTGGCCAGTGAATCATTACTTTTTGGTCTCTCATTTTTTCCCGCACACACATCAAACCACATACTCCGGCATGCACTGGCTGTTGGTAACCACCCAGGAGAATGAAAGAAAAGTCAGGAGGAATCTAATAAAGAGAAGAAAGGCATGTGTAACCATAATCGCCGAGAATCGAACCCGCAACCTATCGATCGATACACATACATACACACATACATACATACACACATACATACACACATACATACACACACATACATACACACATACATACACACACACATACATACACACATACATACACACATACATACACACATACATACTTGTACTTGCTCACTGCCAAAACTGGTCACGTGGGTCTCCCCGGGAGAGGGGAGAGAGACTCAAAAGGAATCTTGGAAAGATAACTCAATTGGCCATTGAACCACCCAGCGGCCGACACCCCCTGAAATCCCCAAACTAGGGTGGACTTGAAATGATCCCACTTACGGGCTCACCACACCTCAGTAAGTGGGTGAGGACAAGGTGCAGAAAAAGGATTGACGGCATCAGGGTATCCGTCCCGGGATCCAACTGCAGGTACCCCTGCCCCCAGTGAAAGTAATACTTGGTACTAGTGTGGGTGGCTAAATCAGAGTGGATCTGATATAAGCTTCACTAGCACCATTGATTACACAAGAGTTAATCTAGCCAGAAGCAGTCCATGGTTAACAGGTATGTATACTTCAAATAGAAAGTATATGAACCCTGAAACCAACAAAGGTGGTAGGTACAACAATACACCTTCAAGCAGCCGAGCACGTTGGCAACAGGCCCAACACTATCTGGCATAAGTGTACCCATCAACCGAACTAGCTGGCACATACACACATACATACACACACACATACACATACACACACACATACACACACACACACACACACATACACTACTACTTGTACTACCGTATTTCCCCGTAAGTTAGTTCTCCCCAATGACTTAGTACCCCCTATAAAAAATACACTTTCCACTGCCGAGGTTATCACCCCGAAAGACAGTTCCCCCCGAAAGATCGTAAGTAAGTACCCGTCCTACATGTGCAGACACCGTACAGTAGTACATACATCATATGCACGGACACTAGAGTTGCACAGGCTTCCCAATGCGTGTCATTTACCCCCGATAAAAAAGTACTCCCCGGAAGATAGTACCACCCCCGAAAGTTAGTACTCATGTGGCTGCTAAGTTCGAAAGTTAGTACGTACTAACTTACGGGAAATACGGTATTGTAACTATGTGAAACTTCCATAAAATGGCCATGTCGCACACATGCACAAGCACACACATACACACACACACACACACGCGCATATGCAAGGGCATACACGTGCACGCCCAAACGAGCACATATCCCCAAAGCATGACGGCAATGGGCATGTACTAAAGCATGATAGATGACTAGCACTCACCTTTGTTGGTATATTGTGCTCCAACTTTCCTTTCCGATTGACCAGGGACTTAGGCAAGCAATTACTCACTGGGGAATTCCAGCCCTAGGAAAATATTCATGCACACAATATCGACATTGTGCCGGTTATTCTTCGTCACAAGCAGCACGGAAACACATACACAGGGGTCTCAACAGAGACGCCAAACAGTGGGCAGGTCATGAATGGCAAGGGTACGAGCAATATTGACGGGCCTTCCAGACTGTCCAAGGTAGAACCCGCAACAAACTGCCTAAAAGTGCACGCCATAGGTATACGGTTTCCTGGCTCGTCAAACGTCTGCCAATAAGAACTGGACGTAAAATGAAGGGTGATAGCCAGCCACAGCAACTATCTAGCAGTACAACAATATAAAACGTATTTTGAGAAGGAAGCACTGGCAATGGATACAGATACGCCGCCATCCGGAAATACATGTACAGTGTAGATGTAAAGCATTCACACCTTGACGACGACATTGTTTTGCGTTAGCTTGGTGGCATAGAGGCATCCATCAGGTCGATAATCTAATACAACACCCTACAACATTCAAAACACCACGCAAACAGAGACATCACACAAACAGGGACACCACACAAACAGAGACACCACACAAACAGAGACACCACGCAAACAGAGACACCACACAAACAGAGACACCACGCAAACAGAGAAGGAAAAAGGTCAGCATCGAAAGTTCGACAGTACATCCAAGCCAACCGTTAACCCCACCCCATGTACAATGATGTACCACAGGCAATTAGTCATTATAGACGGTGGTCTTTGTACATGTACGCAAATTGCAATGCATGCTGAAAGGTGGCTTGGTGCCTCGTAAGCAGTCTGAATCGGTACTTGTAGTCTCTTCGGGCAATGGTGGTCCTGAAACGATTAGACTGCACACCCGCCTTTCATCATATGCTGTGCTACTTCAAGTAGCACAACTGATATCAACACAAAACCCTACCAACTCCTAGCAAACCCTACCATATCCTAGCAAACCCTACCAAATCCTAGCAAACCCTACCAAATCCTAGCAAACCCTACAAAATCCTAGCAAACCCTACAAAATCCTAGCAAACCCTACCAAATCCTAGCAAACCCTTGCACCATGTGACCATTGCAACACCGAGTGAAGCATCTCACCTTTCCAATGTACTTTCTGATCTCTTCTACACATGTCAGACCTCCAGCAACAGGTAACGAGTTCAAGCCAAGCCTACAGACGAAGAGCAGAGTACACATAAGTTACAACAAGGGCAACAAGGGCTAGACAACATGCAGGAAAGATGAATAAAGGTGCTGCACTTCAGAAATCCAGAGCCTGAGGTCAAAATGGTGTACCGAGCACTACTACAACAGATAGCTATCAGAGTTCTCGGATGCCACAGCCACCTTACACAACGCTAAACCCAGCACAGCAACTACAAAGAAAACTGGTACCTGCAAAAAAAAGGCTGCAATCAGATTCTACATATTAGTACAGGTCTTCACCGTGGCGGTGAAGGAGATTGAGACATGATTAATTGGCTGCAGTGGAGCCTCCGCATATTGAAGAAGGTCTCATAGTAGCAACTTCAATCACGTGACCCAAAGCCTGAACTCTTTCGTCGATAGGAGTGACGTGTAAGGCTGTGTTTAAATCAGAGGTTTCAACCCGCCTTGTACACAAAATGAATGGCGCGTTTACATGACACATTGCGCTTGACCCGGGTTGAAATATCGCCCCAGGTTGATTTCAACCCGGGACGAGAAATCGTAGTAACATACTTCTGTGCGTATCTCGCACCAGTTTGAACAGCACTGCATATGCAAATTTCACGCGAAAGGATTCACGTGACCATACAGGACTCTAGAAGTGGACTTTTGGCAGCATATCAGTATTTGACCCGGGTCAACTGACTTCATGTAAACGCTCACCTATTTCGCCCATCGTACAGACTTTCAACCCGGGTTGAAGTTTCTCACGTAAACACAGCCTAAGTATCTAGACAACCACCAAGGCACTTGCAAACAGAAGAGGTCAAATTTGTTCCATGAGGGTTCCATGAGGAGTTTCCTTCCTCAATTACAGATGCAACAGCACACAACCAAAAATAGAAGGCACACGGAGAGAAGCTCACCTGCAGGCAGTTTGCCTCAGTGAGCCATCTATGGTCAGGCGAGATCCGAATACTGAATAGACTCCATTGACGTAGCTCATCTCCATGCACGAAATGCGACACCAAGGCTAGAAGCACAGTGGTAGGAGGTACATGTACATCAAGGATCAACATGGACTTACAAGCCATACACCTCGCAACACACACACACACACACACACACACACACGCACACGCACACACACTCCGCAAGCACAAACAGCACCACGGTGCATGCCTGTCATAATACTGACACCCCCCGAAACCCCCAAACTACCGTATTTCCGCAAATAAAAGGCCGTCCTCGTATACAACGCCTTCCTCGTATACAAGGCCGGGGCAGGCGGCGATTGAAAAAATAAAAGACCGTCTCCGATTAGAAGACCGGGCCTACTAAATGAGTCTTTGTTCTTGTGTTAAAAATAGAAGACCGTGCTCAAACTGTGGGAAAAATAGAAGACCGTGCTCAAACTGTGTAGAAGAAAATGGAAGAACTGGGGTAAAACTGTGTGGCGAGAAATAGAAGACCGGGGGGTCAAACTGGGTTGAAAGAATAAAAGACCGTCCTCGATTATAAGGCCGGGTTAGGACGAGGTTGAAAAAATAGTAGACCGGCCTACTATTTGTGGAAATACGGTATGGGTGGACTTAGAAATGATCCCACTTATGGGCTCACCACACCTCAGTACAAGTGGGTGAGGACAAGGTGCAGAAAAGGATTGACGGCATCAGTGTATCCATCCCGGGATCTAACTGCATTTACCCCCCCCCCCCCCTCCCACACACACACACAGACACTCACCAAGTGTCCATAACCAAGCAATTGTGTTCTCTTTCTCTGAACCAGCTGTGTGGTACACTGCCTTTTTTCGACCTTATCCCCAAAGTAGGGTTTACCGGGTGTTCGCGGCCGTCGTGAGTTCCCTTCGGGAACGGACACGATAATTTTAATTTACTTTTTACTTTTTATCCGCAAAGTGTGGAAAGATCAAAAACCACACTTTCACTGTGGCTTGAAGCCAACCTGGACAGAACCAGAGTTGTTGCATCACAAATTCAGGAGGCTACGCCGGGACTCGAACGAGTCGAGCAGAGAACTGGTGAGCTGGTACAAGAGATTGCGGACTTTGCACACGAGCACAGGGCATGCAGCTGCAGGAAAGTTACATAATGAACACAGTATACTAGTACAGGTGGAATCCTGATAATTCGAATATGGCTTAATTCGAACATACCGCTTAATTAGAAGTTTTTCCAGGACCGATTTCTGTCAATACGATTCCCACATAAATTTTTCTGATAATTCGAACCTCGAACCGGACATGTCCGATTAATTCGAAGTTCCACGGATTCCACTTACATAGAAAATGTGTGGGATTTGTGCTGATAATTCGAAGTTAGCAAAGTGTAATTCGAAGTTCACTGTACACTGTACTGGTCAGTTTAGTTTGCATGAGCAGGCTGTGCTGGTCAGTTCAGTATCCGTGAAATCTGTGTCTAAGGTCCATAGCGCAACTGCGTGACCATGGGAGCATTTTGACATACATATTGTGTTGTGGGTTCGTGTTTGGATAATTAGAATGTCCGGATAATTAGAAGTTTTTTGCTGGCATTTGGAGGTTCGAATTATCAGGATTCCACCTGTAGTACCCACTGGCCCATGATCAACAATAACAAGCCCTTGGTCAGGGACCTTTGACACTATTGACAGTTGCAAGGGTGCCTACCCTGCACACATGGATTAGAAAAGACCCATGCACATGCAGCTCTAAACAGCACAAAGTATGCGCCTTGCCGAATAAAACGGTGGCAAGGAGCAAATGCTGCTGATCACAACTTCAAAACTACACATGACAAGACCAAGTGCTTACATCATCCACAAACATCTCTGCAGCTTCCTCCACGTCGACATCAGTACACTCCTCCTCTGTTGATTCTCCACGAGACATGGAGATTCGCTCTTCAACAGGGCTGCTGTCAGGCCGCGGTATTGGGAACTGGTCCAGCTCGGTGTGGACGACTGTCTGGTCCAGTGAAGAAGAGGATCCTCGTTCAATCTGGCGAACCACCGACCGAACACGAGAGGTTGGAGTACCCAGGTTGCCGCCTGAACGCCGCCGGATGCGTGCGGAGGCTGCCCTGCGCTTTCCACGTTGCCCGTCTTCCCCTTCACCACTTGCTGGCATCAAACCCAGGGATCTGGACGAGGACAGTTGACACTGCACTCTTGCAATCATGGGTGAAGTAAGGTTGCTGGCTGACAATGAAATAAATCTAGAAAGTTCAGACCTGGGCTCGGATGTGGAGAGCTCAGAGGTGGAAACTTCCACTGGCGTATCTTGCTCGCACTTTGAGTCGGTCTCAGCCTTTGGCTCAGGTTGCGCGGCGGTGGGTTGAGGCTCTGGTGATTGTGCTGGAGTAGCTGCTATCCCTTGCTGCTCTGTTTCTAACGTCTCACTTTCTAAGTCAGCAACAGAGACTGGTGAAGTTAGGGAATTTGGACCACTCAAAGTGCAGTTATCGCTGACCAAGTCACCGACGAGTGATGCCGTTACACCCAGGCTACGGTGCAGACTACAAACGGACGACATCGACGCAGTGGGTGTGTGAAGTGACTGAGCAGGGCCCACAAAACTGAATTGGGAGTCTACGCCTGCAGCGCAGGAATTTGACTGCATTATCATATCATCCAGCGACTCGCCAATGCTTAACGAGCCGCTACCAACAGAACATGCTGAGGGCTTCTTATCAGCGGTGTTAGTCACTATAGACTCAGGGCTCGGGTCAACTCCTGCTGCCAAGCCAGTATGTGCAGACGAGAACAATGTAGACACAGACCCTTGTGTGGTCTCGGATACAAGCTTACGCACAGGAGATGTCAGTGGTTTGGCATTCGACGCTGCCTGTATCTGTTGGCTGTCAATGGAACCAGACCGGGTACAGGTGGCTGCAAAAATTGAAACACAGAACAAATAGAATATATGGTACAACGTTAGTCAGGAGAAACACAAAAAAAGCAAAAAGGCAAGAATGGTCAGACATATATGCCATGGGCTTAGGAATGTGAAAGGTTGCACATGAGGAGTCCCAAAGCTCTCAAATACACAAGGACAAATCAAAACCACAGGTTCGCATTGCTTCACACACCCACCTCGCTTCTCATACATACACATGTACACATGTACTTGACTCGTCTTCCTCTGTGCCGCTGCAATGTGTGCTTATCTTTGCCACGGGATCGTGCGTCAATAGGGAGGTTTCGCTCTACGTAATTACGTATGAAAATCCGTATGTCGTACGCGCCGGGGAGCGAGGGCAACTTTCATACGTAAATCTCTCTACGGATTTCCGTAGGAAAGCTGTTTCCTACGTTGGATCCTCCGTAGGACTTTTTGAATATTTTTTTCGCATTTTCCGCATTTGTCCATGGCAACATTCAAGCCGCGCGAAACACAAGGTACACACACCGTACACCACGTGCATAATATCATGGAAAACGCGGTTTCGGTTCATGGTGCATACGGTGGGCGCATGCAGCCAACGCGTCTCCAAAGCAACAACGCATGTTTAGCAGTCGTGGAGAAATCACGTAGAGCGAAACCCAACAGTTCTGATTTTTACGTATGAAAATTCCGTGCAGTTCATACGTTATTTTCATACGTAATTCCGTAGAGCGAAACCTCCCTAATCTCTCCTTTTAGCAGCGACATTCCCATGACTGGTGTGATCAGTAAATGACTGACATGGTTGACCTAGTAAGAGTAATCCAAAAGCTTTTCTGCTCTCGTATGTCATAAGAGGGCACGAGGACTCCAAAACTGGCTGCGGACACAACATCACCACATTGTCACAAGGGCCAGTACAGCACCTGTCACAATCCACTGCCCCCATGATCTTTCACCTGAACAGGTCTAGAGAGAGTGATATGTCCCACCCATTCTACGTATGAGCTACTAGCACTTGCAAATGCAAGAACGTGAAGCGGCTTGAGAGAAGAACTAGCATTTTGAGTGCAGGAGCTAGAAACAAAAAGCGTCCCGAGCTGACCTCCAGTGCTGTTGGCTCCGTCCTCGTGGATAATAGAGAGGTTCTGCTACACGGAACTACGTACCAAATTCCGTGTCAACTGCAGTGAAGTTTGACACGGATTTTTCCTACGTTGCACCGGTTCTGCTGTACGTAGCATGCTCGAAGCATGCACGAACACCCCGCCACATGTACTCGATGTAGCTCTGTACGCTCACTTTTCACACGGAGTCCAGTCCGTGTGAAGCGCGCTTCACACGGAAAACGGTATGAAAAAATCCATATCAAACTAAATCCCGTACCGCGGCAAAGTTTCCGTACGTACTTTGGCACGTTTTACCGTGTGGCAGAACCTCACTAATAACTACATGTGCAGTGTTGCTCAATGAAATCCAGCCGCGCCACTCAAGTGTGCGCCGGGCGTTGCGCAGCCATAGACCTGCGAACACTGGGTGGTGGCATGATGGAAGGCGCAAACTTGAGTGACGCTGCGACTGGATTTCATTGACCAACACTGTACATGTAGCGTGTACAGGACCTCGCGGCCAGCGGCTGTGAGGACAGGATTTTCATGCACAAGGCCCCATGTTGGGCAGACGTTCACTGGCTAAGCAAACTGGATTTGCATGCGAAGCAATCACTGCAAAAGCTAGAAACTGAAATTTGCATACATGCTACTCCTTCTGTTTGCTGTGCTTTCAATGTCGGAGATGGTGTGAGTCCCCGTAAGATTGAGTCACCATCAACGGCTTGCAATGAAAGATATAATTTCCTTTTCTGAAATCTTGAATCCACGGTCGAAGAATGACTGCTTACAGGCTCTGAACAGAAAAGCGCACATTCCGATGACGTAGAGGAAGTCTGTCTCTCTATCTGTCCGTGTGCATGTAAGTTATGTATCTCCCTCTCCTCTCGGTCTCTCTCTCTCTGCCTCTTTCTGCCTCTCTCTGTCAATCACAGTCTCTCTCTGCCCTTCGCTGCCCTTCGCTGCCTCTCTCTCTCTCTCTCTCTCTCTCTCTCTCTCTCTCTCACACACACACACACACACACACACATACACACACACACACACACACACACACACACACACACACACACACACACACACACACACACTTATGTACACGTACTCGGGGTTTGAAATTTGGCAAAAAAAAAACAGAGCAACAATGACACATAGACACATCCACAAGCGCGAATCTGTTTCAGACTAGATGTGAACCCCTGAAATTGGCCAGAATACCATCATCTCTAGTTTTCATTCTCTGTGCAAATATGCAAGAAAGTAAAGTGAACAAACCTTTGTCTAGAAAGAGAGAGAACGGCAATCAACAGTCAAGACCAACCTATTTCTTTGCGACACTCCTGAGCGACGTTGCTGGCTTGGCCATGTGCGAATGAAGACCGACGCACAACACCGGCTGACACATCAGCTGTCGCCTCAGCGGCAGTGCTACCACAGCCTAGTGAAGCCTGGCAGCTAGCTCTTCCATCGAGATAACTTGAGGTGGACGTGAGTGAACCGATGGCAGTTTCCCTGCGGAGAAAGAGCAGAGGTAAGCCGTACCAATCGAATTATCAGTGATCACACATAAGAAAGAAAGCATGCTTAACACCAACTAATCGATTCCTGACTATTGCCGAGGATTGATTTGGGACGTGGCTACCGAAAGTTTCCATGAAATGTACCGTACGAGCTCCGAGGCTTTTATTCGCACCTATACGGTATGTACCAGATATGTTGAATATCTGCTGCGTAGCTGGCATGCTTTGAAAATCAAACCTGCACTGTGGCAAAGGGTTGCCTACTAGTACTGTCCACTCACAGCGATCACAACCCCGCTGCAAGTTGGAGGCAGCAAAAGGCTGCAGCAACCGCCAGTTCTGACTTCAGTTGCGGTCTCATCCTCAACAGGAAAGTTTCTTTCCCAAGTAAGAACCTCATACTAGATCAGAGGACATTTAAGGGGACTGGGATTCTACGTATGAACAAAGAGCTCTGATACCGCATGGCTCACTGGACACATTGATACATGTACTTGCACTGCCGAGACAGGGCAAGTAAACATTCAAGTGAGAGCAACTGCATGGCATGATGTTTATTTTGACATGACAAACTGGCGTGGCTTACACTGGTGCAGATGCAACAGATGGCGTGGATGCTGACATCGATGCCGCGACCGTCGTCAGATTTGATGGAACGTTCGGCTTCTGTGCCTGACGTTTGTCCTGCACATAGCGCTGCCGTCCCAGCTTGCGCAAGCTGGACGACCGCATGGCACCGTGGCCGCGTGTGTCAGGAACGCTGGTGGCGGGGGGAACAAACTCCGGTGCAACGCTCTCTTCCCCTCTTGTATTGGCCAGTGAAGAAGACGTCACTAACGAACCGTTAGCAACGCTCTTCATTGCCTTATGGACGGAAGAGCCATCGGCAGACAACAGAATGTGCTCAGCAACTTTAATAGACTCTTTGTCAGTCTGATCTAGAATGGAAATAAACTTTCTGGAGACACTCTCGGGCTGTTTGGGAGTGGGTGCCTCTTCTTTTCTTGTTTTCATCTGGCGCACTGCGTGTATCGCGGTTTCAGCCAGTGATACTTTCGTGCCCAGAGGGGAGGTACGTCGGGTTGTCAGACTGATGTTTCCTGTCGAATAACGATGTCCAGGCCGTCCAACATTGCCCGGTAGTGATAAAGCAGACAGGTCTGGTACTGATCCCGTTTCCATCCCAAGGAGACCATTCCGTTCCGAAGTCCTGTACATCAAGCAATCAATAACAACAGATCAGGCAAAGATCACAGTAAACTCTGCACATTGAACAACATCCCGTAGCTCCAAGTGGGTGCTTTGAAGCACATCCTCAAAAACACCTGTAGGCGTGTGCATTAGAGATTCAATGACCAGACAAGAAAACACTTCAAATTCTATGTGGTGTAGAGTAAGCTGGATAGTGGCGGTCAGTTCACCAGTTGAATGCTATGACCACAGCATGCACAGGTTGCTATAGCTTCTGTTGTAGCATTACTCTATAGCAATGCATCGCTGATGTCTAAGGTTTAAGGTGTGTGCATGCATGTGTATGCACAGTTGCGCTCGGTGAAATCCGACCCAAAGTGCAAAACTGGCTCCCTGTACCAGTTTTGATTTCATCATTGTATTTGTACATTTATACGTCCAGCCACAGTTGTGCCACTTCAAGGGTATCAAGGGCCGTGCAAAAGGAGGGCGCCACATGTGCACTCTGGGTCGGATGACTCGGATTTCACCGAGCGCAACTGCACATGCATGTGTGTGTGTGTGCGCGTGTGTGTGTGCGCGCGTGTGTGCGTGTGTGTGTGTGCGCGCGCGGGCGGGTGTGAGTGTCCGTAAGTGTCTTTATGATACCAAGAGTACATTAGCTCCCAAGAGTGTGGAACTCTGGATACCCTTTCTACGGGGTGTTCTTGTTGTACGTTCCCAGCACGTTTTTAGAGACCAATGGAGTTGAAAAATAGCACTCCCCGGCAGAAACCCACTCAGCATGATCATGACAGACGTTCAGACTGCGTGCACGCTAGCCTCCGTTGTACGTAGTACGAATCGTACTTTGAATATGTGATGTGAGCTTTCGTCGTCGGACACACTGTATGCAGAGTTGCACACTCTTGGGAGCTTATTTACTCTTGATGATACCAGTATCTGTAGTTTACACATGCTAAAAGAACACAAGCATGGAAAATAGCACAACTATTCCTACTCACCAGGAGTTCCGTGCCGAGTTTGGTGCGGAGTTTTGCACACACAAAGAAATGGATGGAGACTTTTCAGGTGCCTGGCGCTCTGATGCCAGTTTGTTATGCCGGAGAGAAACGGATTTGAGCACTGCCCGGGGCTTGAGGGTAAGCAGGTCTGACATAGCTAAGACCAGCATGAGCTCCTTCCGGGCACACCTGGACACAAAGAAAAGTGACACATGAGCTTGATGGCCATTCCATCCCACAATACAATCACGAGAGCATACCAATTGTAGACCAAGTGCATTGGGAAAAGAAGGCAATGTTTTGTTAGATAGAAAGAGAGTTCCAGCTCAACAAGAATATTTGCCAAGGTGTCAACTGTCTCAGCAGTGGATTCAGAATACCTGCTATATCATGAACATACTCGTATATTAGAAACAGGAGGTGAGCAGCCATGTACTCACTCTTTTATTGTTGATGCTCGCACCATATCATCCTCCACATCTAACCGCATCTGTTCCACCTCTGAGCGCATGGCTTCTGCTTCTGTCTGCAGTTGTGTGGCTTCCTCCTTAGCTTTCGCGTATTCACTTATCTTCCTGTTCAGGAGCATTTCGTCACGTAGCTTAACCAACTCATTGACTTCCGCTTGGAGACGCTCCCGCTCCTGGGACAGAGTATCATGCTGTTCGTAGAGCAAAGCAGAAAAAGAGGTAGAGAGCATGAGAAGAAAGAGTACATTAGACCGCACCAAATAAGTCTTTGGTTTCAGGTAACATGGCCAGAAAAATACCGGTCGGTCGGTCGGCTTTCTTTTTTTTGCTGATAATTTTTATGCATGCCAGACCGGTATGCACATTTCAGTACACATCCTAGATAGAAATGTGTGGTCGATAAATCGGGCATACATGTAGACTACATAGCAATCAACAGCTCGATCAGACTGCCAGGAATAGTCAAACTGGTCATACTCAGACACCGAGCAGAGCAAAGCTCCGAGACATTGCGCATCAACACATCGTTCAGCGATCGTCGGGGGGCCAGGAACTACAGCTTGGCCTGTATCTCCAACGTAAAGAGAAAGAATCGGCGTCCGAACTAAAAATGAAGCAGAGTTTCTAAACTAACACACGTCCGTGTCGAAAATATTACGCTTGGCAAATAGAACCACCCTGCACCGAATCCGACTCGATCGAGTCAACTCGAAACAAAGGACTGAAATGTCTAGCCGGCCAGAGCCAGGAGCAGGAAAGAAGAGCCTTGGCCTTGGACCTGGCATAACGCGAAGTGCGAGCACGTACATGTACATGCACATGCGTATGATGCGCATATGCACGAATGAATACAAAAAAAAGAAGAATCGGTCGGCGCTCAAACATTGGTCGGTCGGGTTACCCGAAAGAGCCGAAACCAAAGACTTATTCGGTGCGGCCTTACAAACAAAACGACACACCGCACACAATCACAACTGGATGGGAGAAGAGTGTGAAGTACCATATTTTCTCTAATAAGAACCAGGGATTTTTTATTACTTCAATGATAGCTCTGCCCACACTACTCTAAGAGACTGTTATTGTCAGAGAGACATACCTTTTCAAAATTCATTTTCGAACACAACAAGGTATACATGTAATAAAGGAAATGGAAACATGCACTGTACAATGGCGACTTTGACCCCACACCAGGCTAGCACCTGCGCAGTCCGATTTGTTCATACATCATGTACATATGGGGCCAGTTCATCAACAACAATGTGAAATTTCATGTCCACAAGAGAGGGTGTTTTCTCGCCATTCCACGCCACGGCAGACAAGTAGACACACAGCCTTCATTGTGCAATGCAGGCAAAACTCAACAAACTGCCATTCACTTTTATCGGCAGCCAGTCTGCGTGAACCCCTGTGCCAAGTCTTTTTTGGGGAATGATGCTACTCGGACTCACCCGTGACTTCTTAGATTGCTTGGCATCCTTTGCTTCGTCGGGATGACCCTTTTCACCCAACATGGCTCTCCTGCTGTCTTGGTTGTTGGCAAATTTTCTGCAGAAATTGAACAGAAACGGGAGAGAAAAAAAGCAGTGTATCATAATGGTTGTGGTGTTTTCATGGTAACTGCCTGTAGAGAAGAAGGGCATGAAAACTATGCTGGCACTTTGATTCAATAATAAAATTATAACAAAGGGTTTGCTCCCCACACCGGAGCTCGCGCTATTCCGCCGACTTTACTTGACACTTGAGCAAACCCTTTCTTACAAATCATCGCCGAAGTCGCAACCACTACTTCGTAAAATTATAACAGATTGCACAATTCTAGGTATAAAGTAGCCGAGGTCAGCGTTTCTCTAGGAGAAAAAGCAAGGAGGGCGGTTGTGACCGACTAGCGCCCAGGGCACCTCAGTAGAGAACTTACGCCAGTTTTCGCCACTCATCTGATATGGACTTCCCAGATAGATCTGCACCAGACCGTCGCTGTAATTGAACAAACGAGGGCAGTGAAATAATGCAGGTTTGCACGCCGTACAGTTTATAACGTAAAACGCCATAGACTAAGTACCCCTGGCTGGCGAGAACAGTACTCATGTACGCCATATGGTCACTTTGCACGCACCCACAGGAAAGCAAGGACAAAGATCACGAATTTTAATGCTGTAATTAAAATGCAGTGATTTGATGAACAACTCTCTGAGACATGCAAAACGGGCCCCTTGTCTCCTGAAGATCAAAATGACTTGGGCCTTGGTCACACTACGTCAAATTTGACGCTGGGCGCAGCGTCAAACCCAGCACTTGACGCTAACGTGGAGTCACACTGCACTTTTGCTTTCACCGTCGCGGCCTGACACATTTCACAAAACCACGAACCCCATTGTTACGACTAGTGGTGAAAGTTGGCACTGAGATCCCGAGTTCGAGTACTCTGATTCTCTCCGATCGAATATTCGAGTATTGGAGTATTTTTCATCTCCTAAAAATTGCACACCAAGGGCATTAAAATAACATGATACAACCCTGATTGAACCGAGTAGCAGTCATTTTTCTCGGGTATATTGGTTGGTGGGTCATTTGGGCTCTCTCTACTCGTGAACAAATGTTCACCACACAGCCTGCACATCACCATCTGCCGACTGCTGCCCTGAAACTGCAGATTTCTGTAGTAAATGCATGTACCATGTATGAACGAGTACTCTGATTTATTCCGAGTACGATTATTTTTGAAAAAACCGAGCGAGTACTCGAGTACTCGGTATAATTGTTTCACCCCTAGTTACGATACACTATTTTCAAAAGACACTGTTTTTTCATGCAAGTGCTTGCAGCAGCAGCATCAACGCAGCCGATTTGCCCGTGTCAGACGCTGTTGCGTCTGATGCTCAAATTTCCCCGCGTTTTCGTCAGTTGTCATGAAAAACTCAAGATTCAGACCCTGACGCAGCATTTTTGACGTAGTGTGACCCCACTCGGAGAACAAGGAGAACAAAGGAGAACAAACTGCTCGCACCACATGTCTCCGAAACAAACTTCAGCAGGCGATGCCAAGCAAAGGCAACAGCAAGTGGGCTTACCTTCTTGGTTTTGTCGAAGTCGCGCACCGGAGCTTCATCATCAGAGTCCCCACCGAAGACAGCCCCCTGCATACAATCAAGCAAAATACGCACCATGCAGCGGTCAAAGCGAAATTAGAGCAGCGAGTAAAGTGTTTATGCATTGTCTCCAAACACATGGCGAGTCTAGACTTCCAAGATGAGTCCAAAGCCACCATAGACAAGAATAAAACTTAATCCAAGCTCTTCATGGTCTACTGTATAGATGTTTGGGCATGTACTAAATTGGACGAAACCAAGATGACCAAATTGTTGAAGGATCCCGATTCTAGTAAATGAAACACATATACAGACATACGAGCGTGCATGCACACATATTCTCTCTCACGCACACACACACATACACACACACACACACACACACGCACACACAAATACACACACACACGCACGCACACGCACACACACACATGCACGCACGCACGCATACCTGAGACATCCTGTGGTCATCTTCGGCATCAGAAGTGATAAACTTGCTCTAGGAGAAGAAACAAATACAAAAGCCAAATTCCAGAGACGTGTGCAAATCGAGACGGAACCATGAAAACAGAGGCAGTAGTTTGTACGGTGGGAGAATTACCCATGACGTTCTTGGTGTGTTCTCAGCATGAACAAGTAATGGGAAATGTTCTCTTTTCTGGCCAGCATTTGAATACGAGTGCTTAGAATAGTTAGATTCCGTTGAGCTGAATGACATACACAGCTTTACAATGAGCATCTATCTTCTTTCTTGAACTAGGACACTGAGCCACTAATAAATGTAAAATAACAGAGAATAATTCAAGCGGCAGTTCGGAGGCGGTGAGAATAGTTTCGCAATATATTTATTCGCGTGCAAAGACGCAAATCCACACAATCAAGTAGACACTTTTGAAGAAAACGTTTGATAGATGAAAGGAAGTGTCTACTTGATTGTGTGGATTTGCGTCTTTGCACGCGAATGAATAAATTGCGAAACTATAAGAGAATATTTATAGAAAAGAAAAAGGACTACAGTTATGTCCACTAACACCACCAGTTACTAAACACGAACACCACCAGTTACTAAACACGAACACCACCAGTTACTAAACAATCAGCTCATGCGACATTATAGCATAACTTGTAGTTCTTTGGTCCTTTTTCTTTTCTATCAATTAATCCTTGGCTCTCCACCCGAGTCCACTCTTGCACGCCTTATAAGAGAATATATTGCACTTTCTGACTGCTTATTGTCTTGTTGCAGCGGTGGACAGTTACTTCATACAGACAGTTACTCATTCAGACAGTTACTCATAACAATTATCTTCGTTCTAATTGATGTCATGTGGAAAGCATCAGTTTCCCATCTAATTGCCCGGAATGGTCAGGAAAGACAGGCAGAAGTTGTACTTTGAAAGAAAGCTCACTTGCAGCACCCACACAACACACCATGCAACAACAATGCAGGACACTTACAGAGCTGGGCAGCACCTGAGAGAAACACAATGGAAGCAAAGCATGCAGAACTCAATGAGACAAAATCTCTTCCAATACAACATACATGACAAATGGGCACAAACATACATTCGTACGTTGTACTTTGAATTATTAAACAGTGTCACTGAGCTCAGAGCAAATCAATTGAACTTTTCACACGGCCTTCATATCATCAAGAGTGTATAAGCCCCAAGCGTGTGCAACTCTGTTTATTGGGTCTGCGAAAACAGAATTTCACATCACGCGCACACTATCTGCACCCTGTGCATGATAGCCACAGGGTGTTACACAGCCCCACGCTGGGTACAGCCAAAAGTATATAACCAAGAGTGTAATGTATATATAACTGAACCTATCTATATGTCTATTGCTTCACTATTCATTGATCATGCTGAGAGCCTACATGGGTAGTGTTTCACCCAGTATGACAGTTTGCCCTTTCATCAATCATCGTCGTCTGCTGCACACGGTGCATGGATGTGTTTCCTTTGTTTTGCATTGCTTGGTGTATGCACGCTTTCAGTCTTATCGTGCTATCGTTAGTTCCGGTATGGTGCTTTGCTGCGAGTCTTGCGTGCTGTGCGTAGAAGTCGTACCACCGCATTCAGTATCGCCAAGAGTACATAAACCAGAGTGTGCAACTCGGGATGGTTCCTGTGGGAGCGTAATCCGTGCACTACGTCATTTCTGACGGCATGGTAAGCCACAGGTACGGTGAAAAGTTGCGTAACCAGTCGCGGTGGTGCAGGTCACTGAGTTTGTCCTGATTTCGGTTTTTTGATACGAATAGCCTGGTGACTTTACTTGTCGGTGGATGTATGCAGCGTACACAGTCACACAAAACACCGAAATCCTGAAACAGGACGTCTAAAATCAAGCAAACTTGGCTGATTTCCGAGCTATGAAACATGAAAATTTGAGCTGTACGCAAGTCGCGGCTTGGCTGACCTCATCAGGGTGACATAGTGCACGAACTGCGCCGTTTCAGATCTGATGTGCACAGTTGCACACTCTGGTTTATGTACTCTTGGTATCGCTCTAGCCCGATAATTCATATGCATCTGAGTTGGCTGTACTCAGTGGCCTTTTGGGAACTCTTTGCCATGAGTTCATTAGTAGTTCTTATGTTTTCGTTTTGCTCTCAAATTTGTTTTTGCTCTCTCTCTCTGAAATGTTCTTCCCTGAACAACAACTAATTACTTTCGTACTGCCTGTTGATCGAGTTGGTGTGCATGCCTGCGTGACTGAAGTTCCATAACAAGAGTGTGCAACTCGAGAGTCTCTCATCCCAAAACGATTCATTTTTACGACAGTCTTTCGTGGCAATTTGGCCCACTGACGCCATCATGCGTAGCCAGAGATCAGACGTGTGAAGAAATTGTGCATCGCAGCTACGGTGGTCAAAGCAGAAGAATAGACGGTAGATTAATGGGTCCTGACCCTGATGAGCATACGCCATATCCACATGACATGCATGAAAAGGCACAGAAACTTGATCAAAATTCCGCCAAAAATGAAGCAATGAAAAAATCCCGCCATGGGCGAGTGAGTCCATCACAGCTCAAGATAGGAGCTGCACACTTCCGGTTATGTACTCTTGGAGCAACTTTCTGGTGACCGTTTTCAAGCTTAACCTGTTAAACCATGCCCTGTGCTGCAATGCGAAACTCTGCCGCTGAAGCACTGGATAGAGAAAGTGCACTCTTGGGGTTATGTACTCTTGATAGCATGCACTCTATTGGCTACATGTCAGCGAGAGAAAGCTCACCAGCCTGGGCTGCACAATGTTACATTCTTCATCAGTATCCAAAGCCTCACTGCTACACTGTATCGCATAAAGCAGGAAACAACACAAAACCGAATACTATGCTGAGGACAGCATCAGCAAAGTGCTCTTTGCAAGCCAAGCCTTTGCCGAACTGCTATCCAAAGACAGCTTAGCCTCAAAATACCTTGCTAGCCAAGTTACCCGAGCCCTAAGGAATAGCACGAGCAAATGGCTATAAAAGCCCGAATCAATCCCAGCTTGAAGGTCCCAATACGGTGCAAGCAAAAGCGGTCGTTAAAGCCAGGTGGTCTTTAGAACCAGGTCCCATACATTCGTGGCACATCGGATCGTGTACAAAACGTTACATGAGCATGATTGTACTTCAAAGCACTTCCATGTACTCATATTGACAGGTGTGGAGCATAGAATACTTTCGTGCAGGCAAAGCACGCCTCACTCAAGTGCATGCAGCGCATCTTACACCGCCACTTGTCACTTCTGTTGACTGCATGGACTTGCTTCGGAGCGTGCTTCAACGCTGTTACAGTCAACCCTGCCAGACAAGATGGCACTTTGGGCTAGTTCTGCTCGCTGTGTGCAGGCCAATATGGCACTTGGCACACTAAAAGTCGGTCGCTGGTCGCACAAGGCAGGTGGTCGCTGTATCCAGTGCAGTTTCTGTGTAGAACTGTCCGTGCATGGAAAAACGACCGTTGAAAACAGGTGGTCGCTAAAACCAGAGGTCGCTTACACCAGGTTTTACTGTATGAGCATTTCGTACTGAAGTGATTAGTTCGATCCACAACCTAGACCTCAAGCCAGCCAGTGTACAAGTGTAAAAATCCAATCAAAATGGCTTTGCTACGCTGCATGCCACACACATCAAGCGTTCAGCAGAGAGCAGCACTTACGGAACGAGCAAGAGAGTCCTCTCGCTTCAGTGCTTCCACTTCTGGCGAAGGTGCAAGAATCTGAACAGACAAAAAACACACACACACACACACACAAAGACTCCTTGCTACAGCTTTTGGGCAGCCTGCTTGAGAGGCGAAGATGAAAAAAGTCACAAAACTGCACATTAAAATGGATCTGGGGGCAGGTTGCACTGGTAACTGTGCAAGACACACTACTGGAGTGGCATTGTGAGAAGAGGTGGTTGGCTGTCACCCTTCATTTCAAATTCATTTGTCATTGGCAGTCGTTTGACGAGACAGGAAAAGTTGAATAAATACAAATACAAAATGTATAATAACAATGAACACGGCATGCAGGTATTTATATGGAGACTACGCTATCAGGCCGTGGGAGAGTTGCGTTGCCTAAACTCACGTTGATCTGGGTCAGCTTGCCTGTGGATTCCACCAGTGGACTCTGGAACAGTATCAGAGACAGATGAACAGACAGATGAATCAACATGTGTGAACGCACCTGCAAGGCCATCAGCTTACTCAAAGAAAGCTAAAAGCAATGCATGGGATACCTGGAGTTAAGCTGTGATTTGTCATCATCGGCAATAGTTGGCAGATTAGTGAAACCAAGCGATCTTTCCAAGAACAATTCAAATGTGCTAAATTCCTTTGTGCGTGAACACACAACCAGAACATCACACTGAGGTGCAGTACTATGAGAGAACACCAGAGTGCTTGATGCCTAGAAGATACCGGTAGTACATCTGCACAAATCAGTACGACCTTGTGCAGGGAAAGTTAACACGTGCATTAGGAGCTTGAAGAGGGAGCTTCAAAGTGCTCTGAGTACAATAAATGGGCCTCTTCAAAGTGCTCTGAGTACAATAAAGGACCTCGGTCACTACACATGCACACGGTCAGTGTATGGCACACACCAAGAGTACATCACACGTTTTTCTTTGCACTAGTTTGTGCAGGATCAAATAGGGCTTTGTCCAGCACAGGTTCAGGACACGTCTGATAATACGTGTACAGTGCGCATTGCATCCCACAAATTACGTCAACTGGAAATTCTGTCGAGGCGGCACCCATAGTTGAGTTGCACACTCTTGGGGGGGGGGGGGGGGGGGGGTATATTATACTCTTGCATACAAGTACACTGACTGTTTGTTTACATCGCTGCGCTATAGTATCATCAAGATTGCGAAAACATATCAAATTACTTTGCTGAGCTCTCTGGTGATTGAAAACTACTTCTAAAAGGCTACAAATGTCCACATCCTACAAATTCCAGTTAGGCGCAACCTGTTCATTATACAATAGGAAATTATGAGTAAGCATGCTATGTACCTTGAGGCGCGGTGAAGAGGAACTACTTGTTTTAACCTGAGGAAAACAAACCAAGCAAATTCACTCAAACCAAAGGAAACGACAGCAGCGCCAATGACATCAACCACAACACCAGCGACAACGACTTCTCTTATTGGCCACAGGCCATCGTGACAATAAAAGATTTCAAACGACAGCAGCACAAGTGTGTGTGCGTCCGTGTGTGTGTGTGTGTGCATGTGTGCGTGTGTGTGTGTGTGTGTGTGTGTGTGTCTGCGTGCACGTGGCCCGCGAGTGCATTCAAGCGCTTGCATGCAGGTCTGTGTTTGCTAAGGGGGGGGGGGGGGTGACGTACAGCATCGACACCAAATAAGATGGTGTAACAATTCTGGTTAAACAGGTCTCTCATAGCATTCTAGTCAAGCTGCTCACCCAAAAGAACTGCTTTTTTCTGTTGCCATGACATTACGACTGTAATTCTCACGGCGACACATCACAGGAGTGCTACCGTAGTAACGCACATATAGGCGCATGTGCCTATATTCCGATATAAGGCCGAGTAAAAAAAATTACTAGATGATCGTCCTTTTTTTTGGAAAAATCGGGGAGGGCGGGAGGATTTTATTTTTATTTTTTTACTTTTTACCCTCTCATGCACACAGTGTACACAACAACATCAAGGTTTTTTTTCTCTTTTTTTCTTTTTTTTCTTTTTTTCTTTTTCTTTCTTCAGCAGATCGATACTGACGTTGTGATATACTAGTAGTATGTGGTCCATATAGTAAAGAAAGTATTAAACAAAGCGTGCACATGTTTCCTGCATCCGCGATCGGTAAAAAACCAACGATTTCGGCAAAAACTCACGATTTAAAAAATAAAATATTTCTTGGGGCGCTGACAAAAACTGGGGCGGACGGGGACGATCATCTAGCTTTTTTTTTTACTTGGCCTAAGGGCACTCTCACTTATAAGCGCATGCTCACTACCAAAATTCTCACTTTGACACAATCACGGATAAAAGTCTGATAAACAACATACAGGAACTATGAAACTGACACTACAAGACCTAGTCAAACAGAAAGACTGTGGCAAATGAACTCTGATCGCGCGTGCACGTTTAGGTGAAACATTATCATTTTTTGAAAATTGGATTCGTAGCAAAAATCCACTTTTAAGCGCATGTGCTTATATGTGCGTTATTACGGTAGAATGACAGTGTTCTATGCTTGTATGACACCAAAGATCATGAAAATAATTAATAGAGTGGCTAGTGGCTATGCTTACTCTGGAAACTCCCAGCTGATTGTTGCACTCCTCATCTGTATCAACTCCAAGGCTAGTAACTGACGACTGAAAGCAGAAGAGATTGTTGGAGAATCCCTGTCACAACAACTGCCAGCATTCGGTCGCCAAAGTATCCTTGCTATATTCAAAATGAATCACAAACTATGACTGGAGTCTTATTCACTATTCAGATTTACACTTATAACAGAAAACTTGAGCATTAAAGTTACTTTAATGAATTCATCAATATACTGACAGCGGGTCTCCCTCTCCCTCTCCCTCTCTCTCTCTCTCTCTTCCTCTCTCGCGCGCCATGTTCAGGCGCATATCAAGTGCGTCTGCCTCAGCCACTTTGTTCACAATGAAAATCAATTCATATTATAGAAAGGGTCAACTTTGTGTTGAATATTTACTCAAACTGTAGCTAGCTTCAGGTTTCATCCATCAAAACCATATAATTACGTACACGTATCACGCAAACCCATACATAGAACCTAAGCAACCTCCCGAGGTCAGATGGTAGGTGTTTCAAAGGGCAGTGTCAACTTGTTGAGTGTTGAAAACCTTCATTTTTTTAACTGGTTTAGCATGATCAAGTCACATCGGTGATAAATTAAGAGTTAGTGTCAAAACTTACTACAGCACCATTGGAGATGCTAGGCCACTCAACACCATGCACCAGTGTCCTCCGAACGTTGGACAAGGCAGAGTTACTCTCTTCATCGGTATCCACTGTCAATATGGACATTGTATCCACGGACGGTGCAGATATGCACAGACTTTCACAAGACAATATTAGACTATCGCAAACTTGGTCCGGTTTAGCTTCAATGAAGGGCTATTATGTTCAATCAGCCAACACAACAAGACAGAGTTCAGTATGAAACGATGAACAAGAAAAACGCGACAAAAGATCACAAGGTTAAGCATTAGCTGAATGGCACATTTTTTAATGTACTACTACAGGTGGAATCCTGATAATTCGAACCTCAAAATGCCAGCAAAAAACTTCTAATTATCCGGGCATTCTAATTATCCAAACATGAACCCACAACACAATATGTATGTCAAAATGCTCCCATGGTCACGCAGAGTTGCGCTATGGACCTTAGACACAGATTTCACGGATACTGAACTGACCAGCACAGCCTGCTCATGCAAACTGAACTTACCAGTACAGTGTACAGTGAACTTCGAATTACACTTTGCTAACTTCGAATTATCAGCACAAATCCCACACATTTTCTATGTAAGTGGAATCCAAGGAACTTCGAATTAACGGACATGTCCGGTTCGAGGTTCGAATTATCAGAAAAATTTATGTGGGAATCGTATTGACAGAAATCGGTCCTGGAAAAACTTCTAATTAAGCGGTATGTTCGAATTAAGCCATATTCGAATTATCAGGATTCCACCTGTATATGGCACACAGTGCAGTGGCAACTTTCAAGTACAACAATTAGTATAGTACAACTGATTTACATTCACAAACAAGTTCAGAGTAAGCAACTGTTTCCTTACACAGAGCGGCTTAGTAGCAAAGTGAATAGTGAACAGTCGTGGTGAATAGTGAATGTCATTCTTGTCTGATGATTGTTTTTCAGTCTTGTCTCGTGCATGCCGTCAGCGTTATTCGCGTGCATTGGAGTCGATTTACTTCGAAATTGTTTTTTATAGTTTTTTTTCAGGGTGGAAAAACAAAAAACAAAAAATGAGGAGATACAGTGACAAGAACAATTACAAAACATTTACTTCGAAGTACATCTTTACTACTTCACAAAGTACTAATAGGCGATTCACACGACAGGCAAATCCACGTTTGTCAGGTGCCCGCAGGAAGTGAAACGTGAGGCTGCAGTTCACACGGCGGCGGGTGGCGGCCAGAGCTCCCGCGAGTATCCGGTGAGTATACGGCGTTACTGTGGTGATTTGGAATGAGTACCCAAAGACAAAGGCCAAACAACCAGGGTTCAAGACTACCGTACGATAGTACGACCTCACAGCCTCATAACTGTAAAAGTGCCCGCAGATGAGTGCATGCGCGGGCAAAAAGGCCATGGACACTTTTGATTCCCGCGGGTAAATTTTGGTCGCCCGCAGGAATATCTCCATGGTGACTTTCCTGTAAACGTGGATTTGCCTGTCGTGTGAATCGCCTATAAGACGGTAATGTGTAAGCAAAAGAAAGAGTGTTTTACTCTGAAATTATAGTAGTTAGGGGAGGATGAACAATAACAAGCCCTGCGATAAGAATAGAGAACCCCTGCACTGTGCACAGTATTCCGTAGTACTTAAAAAGTTACGATAGAAAGTTTTTTTTCAAGGTTAGAATGTTTGGGCAGGTTAGTACCAAGAAATTTACATTGTGGCTGCACATGAGCACAACCCCTCTTCAGGTGGACTCGAGTCATGAGTGGCACTACAAACAGGAATGACCGTACTTGGTGAAGCATTTGTTTAAACGGGATTTACAGACTTAGAAGTTGCGACTTCGGCGGTAATAGTCATGAAGTTGATTGTTGATTTACAGAGTTGTGTGTTTACAGCAAATACAAATTCCCACGTGAACTTTCGATTTTATCAGCATAAGTCATTATAAAAGAGTTTAGGACTATCAGGGAAAACATTTGATCCACAGCATTGGAATGCGCTGTTCTAATGGCATTCATTCAAATCAATGGAAGGACTCACATAAAGTTCATGGTTTACAATTTTGTTTGTTAGAGGCGCGCCTGACTATCAGTTGCAAGGTCACAATTAATTGTTGTTCTTTTCACTCAAGATTAGGAAATTGACCATATCTTCACCAACAGCAGGTGGATCAGACTATTGATGCACGTACCCACACATGCACCCCGCACGTGCACACATACACACACACACACACAGAGTACAATACAATAGTGCCCATCCGGAGATGATGGCAGGTCCTGAAAGGACGGACAGTGTTTCAGTCACGGGGAACACACACACACACACACACACACACACACACACACACACACACACACACACACACACATGTACACACATGTACACACATGTACACACATGTACACACACACACACACACACACACACACACACACACACACACACACACATGTACACACATGTACACACATGTACATGTACACACACACACACACACACACCTCAGACTTCAGACCTGCCCATCGCAGAAGCAATGATAGCGAACAGCTATGTTAGACATAGCAACTTGTGCTGGGATTACACCATTCAACAGTTTGCAAGGCTGATGAATTGACCGCCACTATTTTTAGACACACACACACACATGTACGCACACACACGGACAGCTCTCGTGGTGAAGGCAACCCCTGGAAACAGACACTCACAAGTGTGTCTCCACGCGTCATAGATGAAATAGAAACAACATCTTCATCGACGGATGACTGCGAGAGTACACACAAAGCAGAACAATGAACACATGTTATAGAACATGAACAGCATTCTTCAAGATGGTGTCAGTCGCACAGAAAGGAATGGTGTGTTCAGGCATGTCATGGTTACCTTGTTGCTATCGTTTCCGAAAAAGAATGTCGAGCGCATCTCGCCACTAGCACAGCTTGATGCTCGTACCTGAAGCAAGGCAACACAGAGCAATGTTCTCAAACACAAGGTTGACAAGACAGGACAAGACCATTGGGCGCGGCCCCCTAAACGCTACAGCTACAAACACGGCGAGACACCAATGTGTTGCATTTCATCCTCGATGACTTACCCTTGTGCTATACTTGAAATCAAGAGAATCCTGCAGCAAGCAAAGGCAACACCAAAACACTAACGTGACAATACTGTACATGTACCCATGTGTACTATATTATGTAAGAGTTGCTAAACCTCCCTATTATTTGGGTGGAAAACAAGTGGTCACTAAAGTTCGAAATGCAACATAAATCAGATACTGTGCATGTGCTGATGGCTCACGACAAAGATGGGAGACAAGGCGGGCTGTGGACAATCAAGGTGTCGCAGACTCACCTGCCTCAGCTTAGAGTCATCATCCTTGCTCTGGCCGCTGGGATTAGATCTTACTGACTCGTTTCTCATCAGATGTCTGCACAAGAAACAAGGCAATGACATGGAGATCAGACCGAGAAAGAACCAGCATTTATCATTATCATACTTTCATAGATTAGGCAGTAAATTGAGCCATGTCCACTAGACATTTGCAACAGCAAAATGAAATGAAGTTCAGATGATGGCCACTGCCGCACTGGCAATCCTTTTGTTACTGCAACGTAATAATTATAGGAACGTCATCCGCTTTATTTCGGTATTTGACAGGGGCGGGGGGGGGGGGGGGGGGGGGGTGTACAGGTAGCCCATAGTCCTTTCTGAAGGGGCTGAAGATAAGAGACCTCTTGTTTCAATCAGCCGGGCCTACATTGTAGTGAGGGAGGTGCTCATCTCCTCGGAGGTTCTCATCTCCTCAGAGGCCCTCCCTCGCTGCCTCTGCCTCCCCAACCAAAGTCAGACACCAAATCCCAAATGGGTCTTCTGTGGTGCAAACTGTATTCCTACTGGAACGAACTGGGATCAAACCCGCAACGTGCGATGGCCTGCGGTATAAAAAGATCACTCTTCATTCAGCACTGTACATGGATATCAACTCACTTCGCTGTTCGGCTACTTGATGCCCAGGTGGGTGATTTGTTCTTCGACTAAAAGAATAGGACAGAACAAAGAAGAATGCTATGTGCTGCGATGCACAGAGTGCGTGAAGATTGCCACAAGACAAAGGGCAAAAGACCTCCTCAAAACAGAAGCAGACAGCAGTTCAAAATTATTCTGAAAATATAATTGCTCCTATACCAGTATACATCCACTTTAATCACCACCACATTGCTCACATGCAGGGCTTCAATACGTACACAAATTACACAAAGTACACTTTTTATGGAATATAAATACGGTGCCCACATAATCACCTTCTTCTTCTCCTGTGCCATATCAATAAGACCAGCAAAGCTGGACCGTGACTTCGGGGATTTAGAAGTTGATGTTGCATTCAGAGACAGCCCGCTGCCAAACGAGCTGCTGTTCTGTGCTGCAATGCCACCAGACGGTGGGGGTAAATCATCAAAAGGGAACGACTTTCCACGACTATACAAGCAGGAAGAGCAGACACACGCACGCACGCACGCACACACGCACACACACATACACACACACACACAAATAGAGAGACACATACACACACACACACAAATAGAGAGACACATACATGTACTTGTAGATTCGAAAAGATAAAGATGCTCACAATGTACAGTGAAACCTGCCTAAGACGACCCCTCAAGGAACCTTGAAAACGTGGTCTCTGTTACCAGGCGGTCTCCTTATCCAGGGACATTTGACTGGAAATAGCATCCCTTGGTCCTGGTTTCAGTGGTCTTCCAGGACAGGTCGCCTTGACAGGTTTTACTGTACCAGCACATGCTTCTTCCTTGACTGACTCTGGACTACTCCCAGACAGCACATAAGGTCATCAACCAGTGAGAGGTGAATTGGCTGAAAACACTGCATTTTTGATCAGGGAGTGGAGAGTCAAAGGTTTGATGAGCTTCTTCGTGCGCTCTCTGAGCGGCAGCGGTGAGCTAGTCAAGTGTTAAAGGGGAAGTGCATCGATTTTTCGAGTAGGGTTCAGAAGAAAGGCAATTCGATATCGGTTCGAATGGCATATCTCTCGCTTCCATACGATAAGCCAAACTTGCCAAATCACCAATTGTATACTCACGTTGCCATAGCGACCAGCGCAGTGATGACGTACGAAAGGCTTAGCTCCATCACAGAGATGGTCGATCACTGCAGAAATTGGTCATTTTCATGATTGTCTTATTGTATCCACGATGTGAAAGAAGCGCTGTGTTCAATGCTGTTAGTGCCGTGAACTGTTTATCGGCCTTCTACATTTCCCTTTGCTGACTGTGCCTGGGAAATGGTCCCTCTAGGAGAAGATGCTTGGTATTCGCCATCTCTCCTGAGACATTTTCAGCAAACTTTCAAACCTACGACATTATTTCATTCGTCAATCTCCACCACCCGTCGTCTCACCTGGCTTCAGAAGATGTTACGAGAGATAGGAGAGTCGCCAGGAAGCATCACATCCATCTTCAGGAAGTGGAAAGAGCAAACGGCATGGAGCTTGGTTGGGGGAAATGCTGAACGTCTGATTCGTCCCAACCAAGATTTCAGCATTTTGTTCGTCACTATTTCCGCCTGTCTGCTGATGTTTTCGCACTCCAGCTTTCTCCTGTCGGTGTCACGTCCCAGTACGCAACCGAGAGGACTACTAATAAACAGTTCACTGCACTAACAGCATTGAACACAGCCCTTCTTTCACTTCGTGAATACAATAAACCAATTGAAAATGACCAATTTCTGCAGTGAATCGACCTTCTCTGTGGTGGAGCTAAGCCTTTCGTACGTCATCACTGCGCTGGTCGCTATGGCAACGTGAGTATACAATTGGCGATTTGGCAAGTTTGGCTTATCGTATGGAAGCGAGAGATATGCCATTCGAACCGATATCAAATTGTCTTTCTTCTGGACCCTACTCGAAAAATCGATGCACTTCCCCTTTAAGCCGGCAGGAAGAGGAGCATGCTTGCACATTGTATCAAACCACTGTCCCACAACAATCACTAAAGCTACTACAGTACCACTCATACTTGCCAAGGGCTTCACAATCACAATCGCCAGCCTATAAGAAACGCCAATCCTTCATCACGCTATACCAAGGCATTCTCCTGTGTGAAGTGAGCTGATCTTCAAAATTGGCAAACTTTACAAAAGCTAGCACAAAACAGAGAGGTTCCAGGCTGTCCAAGAGAGTGCTCAATACCGAGTGGTAGAGCTGGTTCAAACAATAGGAGGACAGAGGAAGTGTTTTTGCTCAGAGTTTCACGCACTAAGTTTTCTGATGATCGCTTAGTGCGTGAAACTCTGAGTAAAAACACTTCCACTGTCCTCCTATTGTTTGTTTCAAAACCTAGCACATGTATACTACATAGTAAAACCTTCAGAACACACAGCTGGTGGCTGAACGTGTAGGACGTATAGAAAGAATTCTCAACACTGTCATGCACACGCGCAGAAGAAGAACAGAAGTGACGAAATCTCTCGCGATCGAGAAATTCACGCACGGCACGGCAGAAGGAAATGTACAACATACCTGGTATATCCGGGACTTGGTGCAGAGCCAGTAGACTCAAAGGACTCGGCGCGATTGACCTGTAAGGAAGAGGGGAAATCCACGACAAACAAGTTCAGAAAATACCAATAGAGCATGCGTACAATGTCATTGACTCATTGCCAATGCCATCTGTACACCCTTTCTGGACAAAGTGGGTAGTCCGCCGATCTGAAAACACTGCAGCACCCTATTCATTCTACAGGCGTGTACGTATTGTGTACACTCTTCATCATTGTGTTCTTAGTCTGTCAGATTGATAAAGGGCGGTAGCGGATAACAACCGCGACATGAAAGCTCCATAATGAGAACAAGCAAAGAGTGTTTCAGTGGGCAACTTTTGACTGCACTTTTGCCGGCACTTTCACAAATTGGACTGTATCATGTCATCGACAGTACATCTACACACAATAGGTATTGCAGGAACACAGAGAGGCAATCCAAGACGACAAGAACAACAGTTGCACGCTGCCATTACCACAGCTCCACGGACTTGACATGAGCCGGATCTGGTACGATGACTGACCAGAGCACTGTCCGGCAACTCAGAGGAACGCCGCAGCCGCTTCTGAAGCAGAGCATTCCTGGCCGCCAGCTGAACTTGACTAGAACTGAAAGTCTCACGGTCTCGGATTCTCTGCAAGGCCATGTTCGCATATATCACAAAACCAAAATGAATGATCATGTGAGGTGACGCAATTTTTGTTGACTTTGCCAGCTACCCCTTGCAAAATAACTTATTTCAATACCTAGTTTTAGCAAAGTATCAGCATGCAAACTTTACTGTGCTGGACAAGAAGAATAACATTGTTTTCTTTTCTCAGCCTAAAAACTAATCTTTTCTAAGCACTCGCAGACTCCATTGCAGCCACTCACACATTACAGGGTACCTCACTTCAAACTCTCCAACTACGGTCTCTTCGCTGCATATTAAAGTTCACTTCACTTCCAAAATAAATAAATAATATTAGATATAAATGGAATGCACCAAATTTTCGGGCATGGCCCATCTTCAGGGTGAAAAACCATTCACCCTCACCCTTTGAATGGTTTTTCACCCTGAAGATGGGCCATGCCCGAAAATTTGGTGCATTCCATTTATATCTAATATTATTTATTTTGGAAGTGAAGTGAACTTATGCAGCGAAGAGACCGTAGTTGGAGAGTTTGAAGTGAGGTACCCTGTAAAAACTAATCTACTTTATTAAAACAACCCTAAGATAATTATAAGTAATTATAACTCCAAACAAAGTGCCCTAGCTTTCTAACAACTTTTCGCTCGTGGTGAGGTATACCGGAAAACAGAAAATACGGAGTATGCCCGCACATCATGCCTTAGGACTCACCTTTGGAATATACTCATCATCAAGTTCATCCTGCCTCCAACCAGCCACCCCAGACCGACGACTTCTCATAGGGAGTTCTTCACTTGTATCCGACAGTGGACTCTTCGGATGTCCTGATACTTCTCGAGGCTTTTCGTTTTCAATGCAATCCTCGTCCATACTATCGCTTACATGTGATTGACTGATGGGCCGTTGTCTTTCGGAGCTAGTACTAGACGGCCGATGTTCCAGTTCCTCATCAAACATGTCTCCCTCTTCCGCCTTCTCTCTTGCTGCTGAATCTTCATCGGCATTCTCCTTGGCAGCATCACTTGCCAATGGTGCTTCGAGCTCACAGAAAACCTCGTCACTAGAGTCTTTCGTCGCCTTCTCTAAACATGTCCGCTCAGCAGCGTCTGCTCCTTGCTGTTGTCTTTCCAGCTCTTCCTCCTCCCGTCGTTTTCTCTCTTCCTCCTCGCGTTGTTTCCTTTCTTCCTCCTCTCGTTGTTTTCTCTCTTCCTCCTCTCGCAGTTTTCTTTCTTCCTCTTCAGCCAAGCGCTTCCTCTCTTCCTCTTCAGCTAAGCGCTTCCTCTCGGCCTCTTCGGCTAAGCGCTTCTTTTCGGCCTCTTCGGCTAAGCGCTTCTTTTCGGCCTCCTCAGCTAAGCGCTTCTTTTCGGCCTCTTCAGCTAAGCGTCTCTGCTCTTCCTCCTCCTTCCGTCTCTTCTCTTCCTCCTCAAGTCGCCGGTGCTCGGCATCATCCTGTTCACATTGAGTGGACAGTGCCACTGCCAAGTCGTCTTGCATTTGTAACGACTGCAGCAAGCAACCAACACAAGAGCAGAGGACATCATGAAAGTCAGCTAATGCTCGTAACACACCTGACATTCCTGGGATGCAATAATGCAGCTACAACCCAGATTGATGAAGAGAACAGCAATCACACATCATCGAATTCAATACTTCACTGTTCTTTTGTGCGCTATGAGACAACGGCAAGCTGCTACAAACCGACAGGCAGCTTTCGTCGAACCATTGAGCAGGAACTACAGTCTACTAGTACTTACCATTGATAATAGATTGGCAACATTCTTCTGCTCGAGACGGCGCAGATAATCTGCTTGGGCAAGGAAGCGCCGTGCATCTGTGACAGTACAGAAAAGGCAAACACAACATGAATGTGTTCACTGCACAGCACCGCGATATGTTCACTGTTTCAAAGATAGCTAGTATTCTAAACACCTTGCATGAACTCACACAGCTGCATCATAAAGAAAAGGGTGGCTTGTCAACTGACAACCTCTGAATTCGGTTGCTAACTTACTCACTCAAATACTCAGTCAAAGCACTGAGTTCCTTTACACTGGTTCTGACGATGGGTGACTGGTCCAAAACGTCATAACTTGAAAAGACTTTTTTAAGTAACTCCGTGCTTTGATTGATAATTTACATAAACTGCGGCATATTACGGAAGACTTACTCTTTTGACATACGAGGACAGCACTGAGGAAGTGCTCCAACTTGTGGCACAGTGTCTCATTGTGGTAGAAGCGAAGGAACACCTGCAGGATTCAGACAAAGAATGGATGGGCAGGCAGGTTATGAAGTGAGGGGATGCCAAGCACTGTAGTATTCACATACGGTATTAAAGTCAACAAATATTCGGCGCATATTTATTTTCGACTATTTTCGGCCTGGTCATGTTCGGCCGAAATTTTGTTTTGCAAGGTTCAGTGTGACAGTGTATACAGGCAGCAGCAGTACAGGCCGAAAAGTTGATGTGGCTGAAATGGGTTTCAGCCCTGGGAGGCCGAAATTTGAATGAGCCGAAAAATTGTAGACTTACAGTACATGAAACACGTATACACATGTACTCGTGTAATGCAAGTGTACATATTGATCAAGTCTGTAATGGCCTATTGATTGTGTCGTCAGAGCTGTCGGTCAAAGGCACTAGTGAGAAGGCAGTTTTGTGCTCAACTTCCGTGCAGGCTTGGTACACGGTTTCGCTGGTGTGGGAAACGCTCAGGTGTGCCGCCATTGGAGACTGCCGGCCTTAATTTTCCAAGACTAGTACATGCATTCAGTGGGCCTTTACTGGAGACAAACGTTTACAGCCGAAATTTGTTTTAAGTCACATATCAGATTTGTTAATACAGCAAGTTTCCTGACACATAATAGGTGCCAGGTCATAAAGGGACCACTGCACTAGAGACCACGCTCATATTAGAGAAAATACAGTTGGGTAATCACCAACTTCTACGCAGTCACTTGAACACACGTGGGACGTTGGCTTCTCCTCACTACGCTGAATTTCAATATCCATGGCCATAGAAGGGTTACTAGTACCATGGCCAGTATTTCCATGCTGTGGCGATATCTCACCTTTTGCAGTCCGATGGCATAGCTCTTCAGCTCCAGTTTCTCAAGTACAAGTTTGCATGCATTAGCGTCCATCACATTGTTGGCCATCCAGTCATATCTAACAGCGAGATGGCCATATCTGTAGGCAACCATTCATGAACAGGGCGAGACAATCATGTGTGCAATTTAAAATGTGCAGCCCAGCGCAATATGCAGGTGACACAAGTTAGTGCATTTGTGAGAGACAATTCAGAAATAATCGAAAACACAAAGGAACGGTCACTCGCTGGAATGCGTTAGTGGCACTTTTAGTAAGTACAAATCTGACACAAAGATATTTCAGTGGATGGTTAGGTTGGCAACAAACCATCAGCACTCACCGAGCCATGAAAGCAGGGAACGACAGGCGCACAGGATATCCAGCCTGGCGTATGCGGCATGTGTCCAGCACACCCGTGTACCGAAGCTGTCGTTGAACGAAATCACGCTCGAACAAATTGGGGTTTAGTTTGGAGTTAGGTTTGATGCATCTATGCAGGAGGAACAGATGACAAGACCAGACCAGGGATTAATTATTAACATGCTGTGTTGCAAACCGAGAGCGCAATGTGGAGTGGTGGAGTTGCCTATTGTACTACCAGTATACAGCATTCCACCAGGATTCTGCAAGGCAATAATTTAACCGCTGCATTGTGAATTCCAATCTGAACACAATAGAAAACAACTTGAACGCATACCTGCCAAACTAGTACCACGTACACACCAGAAAAGTTAACGAGGGTCTTACCGTACAAAATGAGGCATGGATACCAACATCTTGCCCATTAAGTCTCCGAGAGACATCTGGATGTGAACAATAAGATACAAACAACACCAAAAGACGAAAGAAGAGTCAACTCAAGTACGTCACTCAACATATGCAGTGTTTCAACAGAGCCATGCAGCCTGAAGATTTAGCAACCGCGCATAACATTATGAAGGGTATTACCGTAAAGAGAGCGTTCTAGAACGGTGTATGTACATGCATGTAGAAGTACAAGTCCACTACACTCATCGGTTATCCAGACCCCGAAGTTAAGGTCACCCTTTGGGCGAGTTTCAGTGGAAATAGTACTACTCTTTGTCACTTTTTTTGTTTTCGTCCAAAGAATTTTTGGACTAAATTTTGATAAAATTTAATTTTAATGCAGGACTTAATGAAAAGGCGACGAGGAGACAATAACTTTATTAATGCGATTAATAGTATAAGTGAAGCGGACATTACAAAAATGATGAATGAGAATACATGTATCTAAGATGGTTGTTCCTAATCGATTTTCTTGAGACTATCATCAGGGAAAGTGATGATAGTCTCAAGAATGATGATAGTCTCAAGAAAATCGATTAGGAACAACCATCTTAGATACATGTATTCTCATTCATCATTTTTGTAATGTCCGCTTCACTTATACTATTAATCGCAGGACTTAATGTCGATCTGTCTAGCCTTTTACTGCGCTTCAACATCCATGGACGAAAATTCCCACCAGACGAACTGCCTTTCTTTGGAGTTGGACAAAATTATTTCACCGACTAAATGTTCTGCTTATACAGCACATTCAGCACAAGCGCATATCTTGTCACTTCATCTGCCACATGAGGTGTGACACACGCGAGGCAATAGCTTACCTTGAAGAAGTTAGCTATCGTTGTGGACGACTTCTTGCCAGATTGCCCGTTATTTTGGCTCTTCCGCGACCTCCTGCAAGCAGCAGAAATGCAGAAGCCACTAACATAGCATCACACAATACAGTGATATCATAATTTACACATGGAGCAAAAAGCAATTGGCTTACGACTGAAAACAAGCACATACATGTCCAAGGCCATGTATGCTTTCAACTACAAGGGAAAGGTCAGTGCAACAGGGCCCGAAAGAGAATATTTACAGTGCAATCTCTCACTATTAAAGAAAAGAAACCTTTTTAGAAAAGGCGAATGCCATGAGCTTACTTCGTAGAACGCTTGCCGAAGTTAAGTCCACCTTTTGTAGAGCGCCGGTAGCTGGACAACAAAGGACAATTACGGTCATAGAGTTATTCTCCAATGAACAACCCATCACCCAAGAACTGGGATTATTGAAGAACATCACAGATAATTTACGCAGTGTGTGCATATAGCAGTCATACTGTTTGTGTGAAGTAAGCCTCCAGGTACTCGTGCAATTCATCTGACCAGACAAAGTACACTACACAGCAGCTTATCCTTGCAGGGTCCAATTGCAAAACAAGTGCGCATGTGTGTGTGTGTGTGTGTGTGTGTGTGTGTGTGTGTGTGTGTGTGTGTGTGTGTGTGTGTGCGTGCATGTGTGCGTGCTTGCGCGCACATACACGCATACCTATCAACATGCTGGCCCATGAAGAACAGCAGGTGCGGGGCCGCCAAGCAGGAGGAAATGAGATAAAGTAGGTCGAGAAACCTAGGACACTTAAAATGCAACACGAACTGAGCCACAACATTACCTCTGCTTCTTTTTCGTCACATCAAGTTCTATACTTCTCCTGCACATAACACACATTTCGTACCACAATCATAAACAATGTTATACACCCTGGTCAATCTGGATAAGGGCTGGGGACAGGCATCTTAATGGGAATGCCATGGCTACTAGTATACTGTAATGCCAGCATAACATAGGCATATCAAGGAGTGTAGGGTTCAGTATAGGCATACCGTATGTCCGCACCTTTAAAGCCGTGGCGTTATATTCGATTATAAAGCCAGTCTCAGCTATAAAGCCATGGGCTTCATAAATGAAATGGCATTTGAAGTATATTTTGCAAAAAATGAAGGAATAAGTACTATGCTAACAAACTTACAGCCCAGCAGGAAGGGTGAACAAGTAGATTTAGATTGAAATTTCTGTGTCGACTTTGACTTTTTATGGCATGGCGTAGTGGGTGAGTCATTTTGCATCTAAAATATCTAGGAAAGCAGCGGTGTTTCGAGTATAAGGCCATGGCTTTAAAGGCGCTGACATACGGTATCAAGGAGTGTAGGGTTCAGTATAGGCATATCAAGGAGTGTAGGGTTCAGCAATGGAGCACTTCTACAGTCCATTTCAAAACTATAGACGCGTAGGGTTTTTGAAATATTTCAAATTTGGCTGGAACTGTTTGAGAATATTGCTCAGGTCCGCTCCACAATTACCCTCATATAGTTTCTAAACAATTGGATTACAGACGCCCAATTTGGAAAAATTTATGCACAAAGTGATCACAGATTTTATGTGGTATAGATGCTGGCATAACGGTTTTTGCCTAGGTACGCGTCTATAGTTTTGAAATGGACTGTACACCCTCTACAATGTTCATCTGCAAATGGTTGACTTTTACCTGCACATAACCGAAAGAATTTCCCAGAATTAACCGCTCGAAATCATGTTCCTCTCATCAAAACTACTTTTGAACTTCACAAACATGTCGTCTTAGAAGGGTAGTTGTTCCAGGATCTCACAGCATATGGCATAACAGAGCAGAACAACCCATGGCCTAACTGGCTGCTGCCGGCAAAGTAGCATGGGTAACAGTCACCAACGGAGCAAAACAATCCGCACACGAGTTGACTCACTGGCTCTTTAACCTGGACATGGTACACACACACATGGAATACACAAATGCACATACACACACACGCGCACACACACACACACACACTTACACACACAAACACACACACACACACACACACACACACACACATACACACATACACACATACACACATACACACATACACACATACACACATACACACTTACACACTTACACACACACACACACTTACACACACACACTTACACACACATACAAATACACACATACAAATACACACACACACACACACACACACACAGAACTCAGGCATGTGAATCATCCATGGCAAGTCCAAGCACAAACATCACACAGGGAAGAAGAAAGACTGAAACACAGTACTTCAAAATCGTGGGAAAGTGCTCAGGTGTATATCCATAATGGGTGTTGCAAAACCATTACCAATCATTCCAAAGCAGACAAGTGTGGCTGTTTGGTCAGAGACCAGCAAACGGCTCTGCGTTGCCTATACAGCTGCAATGCCGTAACTTCTCTCTTGTTTGTAAAAAAGGTAGCCCAGAGGCAGCAGTGCATCAAGGGTCTCTTTGGGTGAAATAGTGCTTTGAATTATTAAGAAGAGGAAAGCGCTCATAACAACTGGCCTGCGGAAATGAAGAATATATGCCATCCATACAACAATACACGAGGACAGAAGACTTACGAGTCCTGGTGGTCGGGCAGCCGCTTTGAGCCTCCTGACAATATTGACTTGCTGCAGGTAACACAGGATGTGTACTACAAATTCAGGAGAAGACACCATGTGCCACCCTTCCTGACACCATGTACCACCCTTCCTGACAATCCCAAAAAATCTCCAGTCACATGAAAACAAAATCATTTTAATTTTTAATATTAGTAAGTAGTAACTACAAAAACAGTAAGATGATGGGGTCCAATTCTAAGGCTGTGTTTTCATGAGAAATTTCAACCCGGGTTGAGTTCAGCCCGGGTTGAAAGTCTGTACGATAGACAAAAAAAGGTGAGCGTTTACATGAAGACAGTTGACCCGAGTCAAATACTGATATGCCGCCAAAAGTCCACTTCTAGAGTCCTGTATGGTCACGTGAATCAGTTCGCGCGAAACTTGCATGTGCAGTGCTGTTCAAACCTGGCGCGAGATACGCACAGAAGTACGTTTGTACGATTTTCTTGACCCGGGTTGATTTCAACCCTCCCCTTGGGAGGAGGGTTGAAATCAACCCGGGGCGAAATTTCAACCCGGGTCAAGCGCAATGCGTCATGTTAACGCGCCATTCATTTTGTGTACATGGCGGGTTGAAATCTGACCCGGGTCGAACTCAACCCGGGTTGAAACGCCTCATGTAAACACAGCCCAAGTCATGCACACTGGTTTAGGCGCAAAGATGTCACCCAAAATACGGTAGATTTGAACTTCAAATGCAGTGTCCGTAAACGTTGCACCACACACAAAACCTGACAAAGTCTCTGAGAAAAACGCATTTGGAAGCTCAAAACAATAGGATCAATAGTGATGCAATGGCCTAGCTGGCACCCCGCTTCGTGGCTACGTAATGTGGCCAGTTCTTTGAAACACGAGTTGGAAAAGTTTACCGAGATGTCTGTAGGAATTATCAATTTTTCATGGACGTGCAATAAACCTTTGTCAAAATTTCTCCCAAAGTAACTTAGTTGGAAAGCAGAGACAAACAGGTTTGGGAGAAGCGTACTCCCCGAAGATCTACCGAGAGATTTTTTTCAGATTCGATCGCCATATTGCCAGTAACCTCAAATATGTAAAGAAGATGGGCACTAGAGGTCCCAACTACCCTAAGCGGTATAATTATTATCATCCACTGATGTTTCTTCTATGTTTTCAAGTGACAAATTGAATTGCTGTGGCCTTACCTGGACACCTGGAACGCAGGTATTTCACACTTCAACAGGACATTGCCGACATTCTTGGGCATTTCACCACTGCAAGAACAAACGAGGTGTCATCACAAATAGAAAGAAACAAAAAATGTGTACAATGTGCCCAATTATCGCCAAAGGATATCTGAACCGATCAAACAATAGTTCTACACGCAGAGATGGCATACAAAATTCTCTGGGTACTAGTAGTATTGAACGTTTTTGGTTCATTTTCATAAGCAGCCTCAAAGCTGGGAACGGAACAAAAATGCTGAAAGAGACCAGAGGTTGTACAGTACCTGTATAGCGCCTGATTCTTGGTGTGAGTGTTGATAGCAGTCTGAATGAACTCATTCGATGACTCTGTTTCCCGAAAAAACAAACAATAGGACACAGCCGACACGTGCACAGACACACAAACGCACACACCCAAAAGAAACATAAGCTGACATATGGCTTTACACAAGATACACATGTATAAGTAGCTACCGCCACAAAAGAAACATGGACACATCAGAGTCAAAATATTGCAGACAACACACAAGTATTATAGCACTGATTGAACAATTATAATTATACATGTACATGTACGTGTATGCTGGATTAGTCCTTCCAAAATTCACAAACTTACTGTACAGGCAGAACATTTCGTCAGTCAATAGTAGTGTACAAGCAGAAATATTCGTCTGGAAAATAATTAATTTGGTCTTTTTCGTCCAAGGAGCTTTTGGACTAAATTTAATGCCGGACTAAAGTCGATTTGTCCAGCTTTTCAATACACTCGTATGATCCATGGACGAAATTTACAACCGGACGAACTCCTTTTCTTTGGAGTTGGACGAAATTATTGACCGACGAAATGTTCTGCCTGTACAGTATTCAAAATGCACAATGACCCTTGCCACATGAATGCAGCAGAAGCAAGAAAGGAGATGGAATACAACTTGCCTTGCAAGCAGCTAATTATGGCATCACTTATGGTGTCCTGGTTCTTAGATAGGAACGATGATGCATCATAATCAACCTAGGCCAGTAATGAGAAACACAGGAACACATAGCATGTACCGTGAACAGATGCACTGGGATATTATAATGGTGATTTAGTGCATATCAAACCTTTGCTACCAGGCATGTTACAACAAGCGTAGGAGGAACGACGTGTCACAAAGCCATCTCGATGATTTTACAGGTCTGCACTATTGTATGATTCTCAAAGGACTTTAGATGCATGGTGACAGTCGCACAGCATAACAACGCATACAGTATGGCACAGTACCCCACCAGTATGTACACTCAAAGCTTACAGCTCAGGGGAGTGCAACTGTGAGCGATGAAAAAAGATCTAGTGAATCACAGGTGGTACGCTGAACTCACCTTTCCTGCATAGTGCATGATTGCAAACAGCGGACGACTCTGCTGCTTTGACTTTACGAATGACGGGTGGCTCTTGCAATTGTGTGAGAACTTGGAGCAGAGCGTCAACGCGGTGGCCTTTTGCAGCTTCGACTCTTCGTCCAAAAGCGCCAGCATACCCAGGGGCTTGCCAAAAAACAGCTGGACAGTTTCCTGGTTGTTAGTGTAGGAAACGCCATCTGCGCCGTGGATGCCCTCGCGTGCGTACTCTTGTAGTTCCCAAGCAAATATACACTGGTTGAAGTAGTACTGTGGACAAGCAAGGCAACACGCGTACGCACACACGCGCACGCACGCGCGCACACACACACACACACACACACAAGGGTGCGCGCGCATGAGAGAGATCAGTTTTCAATGACATGGCGAGCACAGACTACCAAAGCAGGTCATCTTGCTTGACCAAATCCCCGTGCCTTGCACAACGTAGCTGTAGGTGATTGGATGCGGTAAAAATCCCATACCAAGAAGGGGTCATTGACAGCAAGCATAGTCGCTTTTCTCAGTGAGAGTATAGAGCTTTTTCAAGCACGCCTTTCCTGCCACCGTCCTGGCGATCACCCCGAGATTGTGGTGAACAGGTCGCATGTCAAAATGCATTGAAAATTATACGAAATGTGACAGGTTCGTCTCCGCCAGCGCTTGGAGTGATTCTAAAGCTTGTCCTTTTTCGCCCAAGCTATGGAAGGGCTTCCTGGCAACTGCTCTGATTCAACACGAATGTCAGACATCAAGCGGAGCGCCATTCTATTGCTTCTTTCACCTCCACGCATCCATTCCCATACAACGTGAACGTGAACTGGGCTTCGCCTGTTCACCAGCAATTCAAAAATTTCTCGCACGTGACCCCAAAACGTGACCATTGGCACAACCTTGGAAAAGCTCTATGATGCACTGCACCACATTATTCTCCTCACATGCAGTTGCTCGTTAACGATGTTGATGCAATACTGCTCGAAGGAGTTGTAGGAGAAGTTCTCAAATCCAAAGATGTCAAGCACGCAGATGTCAGGAGCTCTCCGAGACTCGGCGACCTTCGTAATGTCAGCATCCCCACTGCAACACAGAACAAAAAAGAATCAAGAACAAAAAAACAGGAAAGGAGCAAAAAATGAATCACTGAGGGTGGGTGGGTGGCTTGACAGCAAGTTGACGTAAATGGTAGGGGGGGGGGGGAGCATATTCAATACCATTGCTCGAGACTGTGAGCTCAGGAAGGCAATGCTTAGGACATTGTAAAGCAGCCCATGTAGACTTAGTGCAAGTTTTGCGTAGCTAAAGTATGTTAACGCGGTGACATAATGTTTTCACTGTATGCTGACGTCTATCACGCACGTGTTCGCGCCAACTCACGGATGCGCCGTTGTGCGCATGCGCAAACTCTCTCAGCAGCTCGCGTTGCATATGTACACCTTTCAGCCGCCTTCGTGCCTGGCTCTCTTTGTTAGTTGCATTGGCTCGCATGACTTTTGCTCCGTGTTTTCACCCACCCACCCACACCGACTTCATTGTGTTACAATTCTCATTCTGTAGCACCCCGTTTATACTACTCACCTCATTCCTCTTCCAAACTCACTCTGGTAAACAAACAAGCAGGGATTGGGCACTGAACTCTCAGTAGCTGGCAGCATCCTCTCTACTCTCCCAAATCACTCTATTCGGTTACTGCCCTTGGCAGGTCAGCCGCCATTTCGGTCTCACTCTCGGTCCCCGCGTCTGTCGGGTCGACCGCCTCCATGGTTACACACTGCCAGCTCCTTCGCCCAGTTACCCTGTGGTGCCAACCAACTATTGTTGTGTCTGTGTGTGGGTCTGTGTGTGGGTCGTGTATGCCTCCGCGTACGGAGCATGCGTTAACATAGCGCACCTCACCAATTTGCCAACTTGAACACACTGACGAGGTATGCTCAGGTTCGATTCACTTCTGGTCATTTGTCTTGCTACGGCTGTATAAGCCCTTGAGTCTGGTTACTGTGGGCCAGTGATATTCAGCCGAATGTGCGTAAGCCGTAAGGCATTGTCATGCTGATAGGATTGTATTCTCTACAGCACTTTCCACAGAACAGTGAGCAATATGCATAGGAACAACTTTCAAAACATCAACGACAAAGACAAAGAAATATTTCTTTGAACTTACAGTTCTGGACTTGGTTCCGGGGGTGCTGCGCTTGTCTTGCCATCAATACTGGTTGTGCTCGACTTGACGTCAATACCTTCTGGCGATAGCATAGTGTTGAGCAAACTAATAACCCACTCGAAGATACAGCTGTAAATGAGCTTGGCCAGGCTGTCGCGGAACTCAATTGCCTGCTTTTTCGTGTTGAAGCGCTTGATAGTCTCTCCACAGGCCACGGTAACTTGCAGTGTTAGTGCAGCTAGCAGCTGTGCAGAGTCTACACCAATCAGAGACGCCACTGGAAAGAAAGAAAAAAACGACCGGAGAGAGAGAGAGGGAGAGAGAGAGGGAGAGAGAGAGAGAGAGAGAGAGAGAGAGAGAGAGAGAGAGAGAGAGAGAGAGAGAGAGAGAGAGAGAGAGAGAGAGACGGGAGTCGAGGTTGATGCTGTGTTGTGTTGCGTGTCACCACTGTCAACAAAGAAAAGACCTGAAAGAAAACGTGCTGGATTGTCCAGGACATCAGGCTGACATAAGTGCGGGCAAGTACTGGTAACACGGCAATAGTAAGCCCAATCTTGACCACATTCACACGAGAATGTGGCGTACTGGATGCCCTTACCATGGGAAAGTAGGTCGGGGTTGAGCAGCTTGGCCTTGTCCGATTTGTCAGTGAATGACAGGTTGCCGATGTGCAAGATCGCCGCAATGGATGACACAAGACCATTGATGTCCTGTGCACCAAAGCAAACAAGGTATGCCCAACATGGCCATAATACAAATTCAGTTTATCACGTTGCTTTCAGCCCAGTCCAATGAGAATGTGCCGGGATGGAATCATGTGCCGGGATGGAATCATGTCGATCATCAACTCAAATCAGGGAGACAAAGGGAGGATGCAGAGTAGGGCTGCACACGCACACACACACCGTGTGCAGATGCGGATGTATGCGACGCTATAATGAGTCAGGTGCATAGCATTTGTTTCATTCATGTGAGAACAGGTATTTCCTGTTATCAAATTGCGTTGCTCGCTTCACTCTGATCGCTCGTTGATGTTCACAGCTTTGTCTGCCAAACTTTCCGCTAGGCACAGAAGGAATCGTTGTGTCGCATTCGAAAACCAGCATGCAGGAGCCTTCCTGCCAGCAGACCAGCCAATGCTGCGGTAGGTTTTTTGTGTTTCAGATCCCAAGCATGACAATTCTGTGTTCTTCTCCAGTCTGCCTTGTCATGGTCACGCGGTTGTGAAATATATTGTGGTAGTGCGTGTTTGGGAAGGACATTGATCGATAATAAAACATGCAGCTCAAATCCTCTTCGATATGCACTCACTTACCGATTCTTCAAATCCAACAATAGACATGGCTTGCTGGAGCTCATCGAACTGATCTCTGAGTTGCGACTGGCTTGGTAAGTCGACCGAGGTGCCTGAGTTATTCAAGTACCTGTCCAATGGCAGAAACATCCCACAAGAGAATTGCACAGAGACTAGAAACAGGGCTGCACACATGCACTAGACCAAGCCCTTCCCATTTAGCTAACATCAACCACACCCAAGTTCTAGACCAACAAGACTCACTTGAAATCACGGTATTCTGTCAAGCCCAGGCGACCCTTCTGTTCCACACTCAGTCCAGCCATAAGCTGATAAAAGATGTGGAAGTTGCTCTCGCTCTGCAGAAGTGAACAAAAGCAGGAGAGCGAGGAAGAGACCAGAAATGCAATTCAATGCTGAATATCAAAAATCACCGGAAATCGGTCACAGTAAGGAGCTAGCAAGCTTACTGCAGCAGTATAGTCTGTGCTTGGTGGGACTATGCCTTATCAAATCAGGGCTAAACACGATGCAGCTCCAGCAGCGAATGCACATAACAATCCGGTGCAGTCATACACAGAACCATTCACCAGAAATCAGATTGCAACAGGCAGCACGGAATGTGCCTAGCATACTGATACAACATGATGAACAAGGGCACAAACCACACATAGCCGCGCACCTTGTTCTGCTGGACCACTCGCGACTTCTCAAGCAGATAGTGAGCCAGACTGGCGCCAGTAATCGTTCCTTGGTGGGTGAAGTGGAGACGTAAAAACTTGCCAAACCGACTGCTGTTCTTGTTCATCACCGTGCCAGCATTGCCGAGAGATTCCAGAAGCGGATTCACCTGAAGATTGGTGGAACATAGGATTTAGACATCAACACCGGCATCACCCCATGGCATTAGCTTGCAGAGCTAGTCACCGTTGCATGCATGTTTACAGCTGAGTCCCTTGAATGTGGACACCCCGTCAAACAAGTGTCCTGATCACAGCGAATGCCTCTATGTGGCACTAAACGCACACTGTGATGAAATGTGGAGGTCTCGCTCTTTGATCGGAGTCCACAAAAAGACCTTCACTAGAACTAAGTAGTAGCACACTACCGTAGTTCCGCGCATATAAGCCCATGGGCCTATATCCGCATATAAGCCCATGGGCCTATATCCGGATATAAGCCCACCTCCGCGTATAGGCCCATGGGCTAATAAACAGACCCAAACACCGTAGTACAGCATGTCAGTGCAGACTACATTACCAGTACCGGTACCTACGGTAGGCGAACAACCGCGCACGGACTTATACTTTTTCGCGTGCCAGCTGCCTTCAAAATTCGAATATCGGCCCAGGGCTAAAAAACGAACCATTATTACTGATTTTTTCCAAAAAAATGCATTATTTCGTATATTAGGCCATGGGCTTATATGCGCGGAACTACGGTATGCAATTCTACGTCATTCCAAGCCTGGGACTTCTTCTGCCTTTGACCAACACTCTGCCACTGGGTTAACTTGAAGAACCGGTTTCACTTCAGCTGCACCTGACATCTCTTTAACAACGAGTATCAAATCTATTCATCTACCAGCCTCAAAAACAACCATAACTCATGAACGTACAGTTACTTGCATGTGAAAATTGATACATGAACCAGCAGGGTGCAGAGTTCACAGGATTCTAGCAAAGTTAGGCCATCATTTTTTATATCTATGTTTCGCGTCAGTTCAACTTCCAGAATCATATGCGAGAGGTGGAAAAAATAAAAAGTTGCAAAAAAAAAGGCTCATCAGAGGTAGTGTATGCACTGTACATAGCACAATAGCTCGTGCATGGTGTACATTCGAAAGAAAAATCGTACATCGAAGCACAACATCCGGGTTATCAGCATGAGTAAATATTCACTTTGGACAGAGGTGGCAACCGTTGGTGCCTATGCTTCGCTGGATTATTGTACTCAGACTTCAGCAGCGGTGCAAAGACCTCCGGAACGACGCATCCTCTCAGCTTGAGGCGATTACATGCTGTCTGGTGTTAGCTCGTAGAATATTGCTCCCAGATGCCGAACAAACGATTTACCAACGCTGGCCTAGAGGCCATTTCTGAATCTCAGCTTCGCCGTATACGCGTATGCAACCAGTCCACACTGATGACTCGCACGATCGTACACTCGCCGTGCATGTAAGATTTTTTTTCGGAAAAAAATCAAAACGTGTGCGTGCGGACGACGCGAAACATAGCTATAAAAAATGATGGCCTTATACTCTCGAAAAGGGAAACTAATGAATCTACAAGAACTGGTCCAGGTTTTTTAAATAATCATGCTCGGACTAAATCAGAGAACTCAGTTGTGGCTGATACTTGGCTTTACTGCAGAATTCAGCAGTTTGAGGGATAGAATGTGATGACCAGGCTAAAACAATCCACGGTTCACGTGAAACTTTCGGCATCCATAGGAGTGCCACCGCCCTCAAGGTCTGAGGATCAAGGCGATGTAGATTCTACAGCAGTGGGACGCGAGTCGCTCAGATCCACTACAAAGTGCGTGGCTGTGTAGAGGAGGCAGAGCTACACATGCAACAACCGCACCAGCACCAATGACACAACCATATTGCAAACCATCACTACAGCTACACACACGCTGCAGTGCGCCCTCCAGTGCATCAAAATGGCATTCTTACCTTCAGGATCTGGTCACCAATGTCGGAGTGGGTGGAATGACAAACTTGGAGGACATGACGAATTAGGTGCTTGGCTGTTTCCGTTTTTCCGGCACCACTTTCACCGCTAATAACAACCACCTGACAAGAAGGGAATCATGTGCAAACACACACACACACACACACACACAAGCACACACAAGTAGTGGAAATAAGTCATATGACACAAACATATGCAATATTGATAGTACTGTCAGAATTGTCTTCTTGGCATAACCTGCAACCTAATTATAACACAGATACACACACACACACACACACACACACACACACACACACACACACACGAACACACAATCATCATGCCCTTACCTGATCACTCCCGGTAACACAGAGGGCCCTGTAGGCACAATCACCGATTGCAAAGATGTGTGGAGCCACATCTTGCATGCTGTCCATTCTGTTGTATAGCTCATGGTGCTGGATGATACGAAGATGACAAAGACGGCAACACAAGCAGGAACAACAACAATAATAACAATGATGAAACCAGCACCGACACCAGCACAAACGATGACGACGACAAAGACGACGACGACAACAACAACAACAACAACAACAACAACAACAACAACAACAACAACAACAACAACAACAACAACAACAACAACAACAACAACAACAACAACAACAACAACAACAACAAAGTGAGCAGCCAGAGGAAATGATCAAAGGCAGTAATGACATCCCAGTGATTGTGAATCAGATATGCAAAGGGAGGCAATGGCACAGGAGCAATATCAAACAGCTACCTACCACTGAGACAGACAATGTTTCAGTGACAACCATTGAATGGTAGCTCATTGATGTCAAAAAGATCACTACCTTCCGTACAAAACACAGATTAAACCGTGACTAGACCAGGAAGAAGCGGTGACAAACGTCAGACTCCAGTGCTGTGTATCTGGTGTTTACGCTGGACACAGTTTGCCACGTGGCATCTGACAATGCTCGTACAAGCAACTAGAATATTGCGCACCTTATCGTCGTACAAAGGAATTCGTCTGAAGGGATTGATGGCGATGAGGATATCTCCGACATAGCTCTGTAAATACAGTAATAGCACAAGGCAGATAAATGAGAGAATTATCAAATTATATCTTCTGACAGTGCACACAGGCAGGGCTCTACTGACAGGCTGAGCCAGGCACGCAAATAGAATGTGCCAGCAGAAGTAGCCTGTGATGTCTACTTCAAGGAACAGAGACTTTGAGTGTGTAGAGATTTAGTTGGAGGAAGACAAACTAGTACGAGAAGCACAGAAGCCACTGGCAAATCTGATCAGGTATTTGTAGGGACATTGGTGACATAAACAGCAGCAAACAAGTCCTTTTATCCAGCTTTCTAGGGGGTCAAAGTGGTGACAAATTGACACCTAAGTGTGAGGGCAAGTGGCCCCAATTCGATAGTGAAACCATCAATACACAACATAATTATCATACAACAATGGGGACTGTCAACTACAATGGCAAAACAGCGACAATTTTCACACACACACACACATTTCTTTGCACACAAAGTAACGTGTTAGTTCTTGTTTAGCGGAGCAGTATACACCACCTCCAGCAAAGCCAGGTGAGATTTGTTGCACATTCGCGCTTGAATATTGAAGTGTGAGTGACTGTTGTGTTTGAAAAACGCACTCACTTTGACTGTGATGTTATGGAATACACATGTCGCACTTGATGGCCCAATAACAAGGGTGCTCTGTGTGTGCATGTACATGTACGTGTGTGTGTGTGTGTATGTGTATGTGTGCTAGCAACGGTAGTTGCATACTAGTAGTACTTTGCAACAATGTGTCTTCACACTTAGGACTCTAGCTCCACGCCATTATATATTATATTTACACTGACATAATTATTACACATGAACTCAGCTCCACACTTCTCTCTCTCTCCCTCTCTCCCTATTCACCATCTCTCCTACTCTCCAGTCTTTCACCATAGCTGACACATGTCTCATCATCGTTCACTGCTCTACTACACTTCACAGTTTATCAATTACATTTCTTGGTTGTTGCCTTTGGTTTGATTGTTGTATTTTTTGTTTACCTTGATGATGGGCCGAGCCCGAAAATATGGTCAAGAGAAGAATGTTTTCATAACAAAGAGACCATTGAGTGTGTGTTGAGACTGAGTAATGAAGCACATGTACATTGTTATATCTCGTGAACCTTTAACTCAGACCTGTCCATCCTAAGATGGCCTGAAGCGCTTTGCTATGCAATGCTGTGATAGTAAAAGCTCAACTGTGAGCATGGCCCATCAACCCTGGTTGAGGTTGTGCAATACAAGCGCCATGTGCGAGGCGAGTATGCGAGAGGTTAGTACCAAATTCAAATATACCTTTTAAAATATCCACAACTTGGACCACAAGTGGTCCAGCTAGAGAGGCAAGAAAGTATATTGCAAATTTAGAGATGCTAAATTTCCACTATGGATCCTTTCACTTCTGATAAGCTCCAACCAGGCGTCAAGTTTGTTTACAATTAGTTTAGTCCAGGGAGCCATAGCACCAAGGGAGACGGCATGAGACCATACTACCCGAAACAATATGCGTTTCGATCCTGGAGTTGGAATTCTTACGTGAGCTGCAGTTTATGCAAGAGGTGATTGTGATTGACCCCTTGACCTGCTGATCCCAAGCATTGCACAGACCAGCGATGCCATCATATGCAAGCATGCATAAATCGGCCCTGTCCCAAGGGCGACTGCCACGGGCAGCACAGGAACGAATCCCCGTCGCTTCACTTTCCAGTCAACCGTGTTGTTTCCCAATCCTTAGACTACCTGGTTTATTCATACCTGCAGAGAACTGCTTCACCTTATTTGGGCACATTGAGTAGGGTCCGGCAAGGGTGCATTTGCAGCACCACTGTCTCGCGAAAGGTTCCCTTGCCTCAAAAACTTTGGAGCATAACTCCTAAATGATCAGACAGCAAGTAAACGTACTCAATTTGAAGCCTTTTGAACTACTTGTATGTCGTGAATGGCAGATGGCGGTGTTCTTGCATGCTACTCGTCGGTCTGGATCATGTGCATAGCCTCTAAGGCTGTGGACATATCGGAATCGGATGGGTTTGACCAGGACAAAGTCCAACATGTAGCACGCTGCTCTTGCCATTCAGACTGGGTCGCATACATGAGTTAGCAATAATGTTCCATCCCGTCACCCCCAATGATAATAGGGAGGTTTCGCTCTACGTAATTACGTATGAAAATCCGTATGTCGTACGCGCCGGGGAGCGAGGGCAACTTTCATACGTAAATCTGTCTACGGATTTCCGTAGGAAAGCTCTTTCCTACGTTGGGTCCTCCGTAGGACTTTTTGAAATATTTTGGCGCATTTTCCGCATTTGTCCATGGCAACATTCAAGCCGCGCGAAACACAAGGTACACACACCGTACACCACGTGCATAATATCATGGAAAACGCGGTTTCGGTTCATGGTGCATACGGTGGGCGCATGCAGCCAACGCGTCTCCAAAGCAACAACGCATGTTTAGCAGTCGTGGAGAAATCACGTAGAGCGAAACCCAACAGCTCTGATTTTTACGTATGAAAATTCCGTGCAGTTCATACGTTATTTTCATACGTAATTCCGTAGAGCGAAACCTCCCTAGTATCTAGTAATGGACATTGAAATCCATCAGGACCAAATCAGATATCTACTGGATTAACCTTTTCCGTGGAGATATCAGGCACCTATATTCGGATTGCAGCAGAGAGTCGTAGCAGACATGGAGACAACACGAGATCATAGCGCCCGAAACGAAGTGCGACTCAACACCAAATTTGGAAGTTTACGAATGATCGGCGCCAAGACTGAACTGTATGCCAATGAAACACAATTTTTGCAGCGTACAAAACAAAGCTCAAACATTCAAAAGCCACCTCACTTCCATAATATGAAACTAGTTGAACCGGCTGGGCCAAGCAGCTATAAATAGAACCGCACCGAGCACACAGCACTGGGCCTAACTGAGCTATGTGTGGGACTGTCATAAGTAAGCCTAGCCTGATCAGTGGATTGGGGTTTTTCAAACCTACAGATGATTGCCACAGCTTGGCTGTCCTACCTGCTAATAGTGCTATCACATCCAGGAGATATCCTGGCCATGGCCATGATGACCACAGCATGCAGTTCCACTACTGAGTGAAGTAATGTAACAACCTCAATGCCTCATTATCTGTCATGAACAATATCAAACTCAACTCGAACCTTTATGGTGTATTTTCACGGAAGAGTATCACACATTACAGGCGCAGGACTGGTGTTCTGAACTGCGGAAAGTACATGGGCCGACTCCCTCTTCCTTCCTTTGCCCGTGGAGGGAGACCGGGCTAGCCTAACAGCAACTTCTAACCCGTTTTCGGAGCCTCGAATAGATGATGTAGCGTGTATGCTGAAATTGCGACTCGTAATAAGATGAGCGTAACTCTGGTACCAAGAGCCCTACCACGAAAGTGGGCCATGCATGGGCAAATAACCCAATGCTCGTATAGTTTCGTTTACCGGTATTTGAATACCATTATTGAGGTACACAGTTTGGTTACTCCATGAGAAGGTCTTTTCTAAATTTGACTTACATAAATTCTGCCCCGGTCATAACGCTCATGAAGCTTCCTCAGAAGCGTAGCTTCGTCAAGCTCAGGCAGCGCGGAGAGATCATCATCGTCCCAACACAAGTCCAACTCCTCCTCCGCTGATGCTCCCTCCTCCATCAGACTCGCCCATTCACAGGCTCAGCTCCCTGACGGCTCGGGTAAACAGTTTCAGGAAGCTACACACATCAGTCAGATACTTGTTCTGCGGCAAGTAACAGCCAAAGCACTAGAATTATTTGCACAAGATGAGATTGACATCTGCTTTTGGGAGCGCCAGTCACAGCAATTCTGGAATTGTCGATTGTTTTACTCCAAGTGATAGCTAGTCATTGCTTTCCGCCAAGATCACCACCAGTCTGGTAGATGTCCACTCAAACTTTTGCGAAGTAGGTAAACAGCTTCAGCTTCCCTGATCTGATCTGAATGTACGAATATGAAACACCGAACGGAGGAGTTGTACAAAATGCTGCTACACCCTGAGCTCTTCCCGGCTTCGGATAGTCCCTGTACGACTCGCGCACATGGTCGACCGGGCCTGCAGTCGAGTCTACAACACTAGTCGTGGCATCAACTCGCAGATCTACAAGAACCGCGTACCGTTTCGTACCGAATCGCGAACTGCAAACGCTGTTCGTGCTCATCTTTGTGGTCTGCATGCGCATATGCGATCGGTGTGACGTCAGCGCCATCGCTATCCGACACTATGAAGTATGATTGTACAACACTGCACTGACAGCTACAGTAGCACTCGATCCAGACTGGACCAGAATACGATCTTGACTTGATCGATTGAGTGTACGTGTTGTTGGTTGACATAACAACGTGTATGTGTATAACAAATGTACGACTACTACTAGTACTAGTATACTACACGATCGTAGACATAATTATTATCCATATAAAGACATATCTACGGAAACGTGTACCCAAATTCCACAAATGGAAAGGCAATCGCCAAAAAAAGCAGCAGCAGAAGTTAGTTCACTGATTTTCGACCTGACTGATTGATTGCACCCGGAAACGTCTCCACAAGTTCTGTACGTCCTACCAAGGTCCCGGGGCCCCACGATTGCACGAAGAGTCTCTCAGCTGCACCGAATAAAAAAAAAGTGTAGAAATCAACCAATATTTCGCCATTGGGCATCACCATGATCACTACTGGCTGCCACTGCACTGTAGGGCCTGGGGGCCAGTAGAGCATTGATGAGAAAGGGCCAATAAGGGGACACAAGACATGAAACATTCAAAATGTATACAATATGGCCAGGTGAATTAACTTGTAAGGTGACCTAAAAGAAGAAAACTTGGGCCAACGAAAGAAGAGGAAACGATCCGTGACAGCACATTCAAGACTCGTGACCGTATCAAGTCACGGTGGGAACTTGCTAAAATGTGATGTGTCATGGTGATGAAGAGGGAAACGGTGTCATGGTACGGTATGTGATAACTGACAAATGCTCTGAAGTGCAAAGTGTGTATATGTGCAGGGTCAGGTGGTGAAGTCCAGTGGTAATTCGAGGAGATTGGTGTCGACCGGCATCTCAGTGACAATCCGGTGAAATCCACTCGGACACCACCCGTCGCCGCAATTGACCGTCACGGTGCTGGTCTGCGGCGCCGCTCCGGCTCTCTAGTCGGGTCACGCAGTCCCCTGAGAAGGCTGATCAGTCCGGGAAGGGCAGGAAGTGGTTGGAAGACTTTGGAGTTCTCGATACTTGGTGCATCAGTGACGACACTGGGGAAACCCCATACCGTGAGTGGAACCTGTCTAAGACGACCGCTCAAGGGACCTTCAAAGCGTGGTCTCTGTTACCAGGTGGTCTCCTCAGTTATCCAGGGTCATTTGACTGGAAATAGCATCCCTTGGTCCTGGTTGCAGTGGTCTTCTGGGACAGGTGGTCGTCTTATCCGAGTGGTCGCCTTGACAGGTTTACTGTAGATCCTTCGTTACCATCCGCTCTTGCCTCTCGGTAGTAGCGGCTCATACCGGCTGCGGCTCCGCCGGGTCGCATACAATTCCTCCGAACGCAACATGAAGACGCAACTATGAGAGACAACACCTTTGGCTACACCACTTAACTGACTAGCCACGATACTCGCACCAGATGCCCGACACTCCTTGAATGCCCGACCTCTTCTCTCTTCGCTTCCCACTTCTCACCAGGGATAAGTAAAATACCTTTTTTTTCTATTTTACTACTCCCTACTTCTCACAGGGACGCAGGGTACACCACTGGGCAATCGGACCCAAAGTACATATTTGGTGCCCTGACTTACACATGCCCTGGACGCCCTGGAAGTGGTGCAAATGCTGCGGTATACTATAGGTTGAGCGAACTGGTTCTTGGCGCCATTGTACTTGGGGTCGGATTTCTACCACTACTAGCACAACCGTACTACCAAGCAAACCGCATAGTCCGGCGAGACACTGAAGATTGGTGAAATCACAGCCCGCGACGGACAGCTGAAAGGTACTTTCTCGACAGGTTTGCCACAATTGAAAAAAGGAATGGATGGAGAGTGTGGAATGAACCTGTGTAAATGCAATTCCATCCGCGACACACAGACACAACAAAAATACCATGTTCACCGTAGTTTTTAATGTGCAGTGCGGTATAGCACTATTTGCATAATTGTACATGGCACCGACCGGTACACTAGCAACTCAAGCGCATGCGCCTATGCGGGAGACAAAACGACCCGCAAAATCTGGCAAATAACGCAAAAACTCACTCATAAGCGCATGGGCCTTTATGTGCGTCACTACGGTATGCAACTCCATCCCGAGCTAGGAGACGATAGAATCATAACAGTACGGCACATTATCGTTATGCGGATACGCAGAGTATGCTGCAACAAGCAAGTAGTGCATGCTACATGCCCAGCTAAGCCTTTTTCTCTTTCTTTTTACGTAACAACATGAAAGGTTGAAAGCCCAGGTGAGCGACAGTTTCCCTGACATGTTCTGTCCAGACCTTAACCTGCTAAATAGTTACGCGATTCGAGAATCGCGGCCAACTTCTTAGAGGGACTATTGGTGTTGTCCTCATCGTGACAACCTTGATGTCAAAGCCGACGAGTTACACTTCCCCTAAATCAGCAGTCGTGAGCTGCGGCACACTTTGGCTTGCGAACTCCTGCTACACCGCTGGTGGAAAGGATGGAAACGTGACCTTCAACTGCACAACTCTTGCCTGCTCTGAAGATTTATGGCCTCCGTACATGACAACGTCACCACACTCGCAGACAATAGGCAGAAGCTAAGCAAATCAGCACACACTAGACAGGTGGGCTGTGACTAGACAATCTTTTAAAAAAAAGAAGAAGAGTGTGCCGCACTGGCAGCCTGGTTAAGATCAGCACAGCAGACTGAAGCAGAGCAGAAAATAACACTTGGAATACACGATATTTCAGGGAGACACTTCACAGTAAAAGCACTTCAAAAAAATGCGCCGCAATGACCACACCATAGGCAACGTCGACAATGCATTTTAAAACCATAGATGCACAAAACAAGGTTGTAACATCACAATTAAAACCATAGATGCACAAAACAAGGTTGTAACATCATAAGGATTGCGCCAAAGACTCGCTGATTATAAAAAAAATTAAAAAAACATGAAGCGCACACTTCGGGACTAACACCGACGTGACAAATAAAAACCCAACAACTGGTACTTAGTAAAAGTATGATCATAAATACTGAACGCAGATGGGAAGAATATTTTGTAGAAGTTATCATGGAGCACTTGCTACACCGGAGATGTTTCTCTCAATAAAACTGCGCAGAGGTGAACAGAATATAGACACAGGTTTGAAGAAAGGTGAACTCACTCAGTACACTACCGGACTGTAAAGAGATGATTGTATACTAATGACTCTCCATTCAAAAGAAAGGCCAGCGAAGTAGGAGCAAGAAGAAGTGCTAGAGTCGGTGAGAGCCGACTCACCACACGACAGAGTCTCTCTCCTCCTCGAGAGCAGCTTTCCGCTCAAGCAGCGCAACCTGCAGAGAGAACCACAAAAAGACAACGGCATCACCGCAGATCTTAGTGAATAACATTGACAGTACGTTCACAGTACACTGCCACAGTCCACTACAACTGTGTACCACACGGACATCTGGGGAGGGGGAGAGAGAAAACAAAACTTCCATCACAGCACGACATGTAGAGTGATGGCAGGCAATACCGGTCGTTGTTTATTAAAGGGGAAGTATACCCTAAAATCAAAAATTCACCAGTTGTAGTCTTCGGGATGCTGAGTCGAATAGTCTTGGTCCGAGGAAGCTGAGACGTTCCCTTCCTTCTTTATTCCCAATCGAACTCGCCACTTCCACCGAAGGCATGGTGACTTAAAGTGGAAGTTAAGGCAAAAATCAAAATTTCACCAGTTGTAGTCTTCGGGGTGCTGAGTCGAATGGTCTTGGTCTTAAGGTTGTTGACATACTCCCCATTAGGGATATCAAGTGCAACAAATGCGCAGCCACGCAGAGGCCTAGCTATGCTTGTTTGGCTGCATAGTAGCTCATGCATGTACATGTACACAACATCTGCTTATCAACTATCGAGACAATGCATATTGGCATGTAACTTACGCTTTTCTTCACATGGTTACTTAATTGCAGTATATGTTAATTAACATAACCACAACACACGTACAATTTAAAGGGGTGTACGCCAGGTGTGTTACTACTACGTCTAGCATAGCTTCGGGCATGAACCAATGACGACAACAGAGCTACTACTCCCTCGTTTCGCCTTGGCGGAGCATTCTTTTTCGTTTGCGTCAAAGTAACTTTAGTTACCTGCCTTCATGCCCAGCTCACCATGCTTCACATAGTTAGAGCGTTCTGATTTTGACGCTTTGAGCCAATTTAAAAGCGCTCGGTCGTTCATTAGCCCTCACTGCTATCGGTTCGGCCAGTCGCTCTGAGCTCCGCTGATGAGAGCTAAAACAGCCAAACAGCTAGCTGTGCGAAGAGGGAGTACAATGGTAATACAGTTCATGCACATACCTGGTCACTTGTTAAGCGAACACCTTGGGATTGCTTGATCCTCAGATCACTGATCTGTCATAGCCAAACAGTAGAACAAGGAAAAGCGAGTGAAAGAGTATACAGTATGTGATATGAGCAACATGAGCTGACTTTTAAACAAAGCCAGCAAGCAACAGACGCAGTAGCATCAGAATAGCGGTATCCCCAAAGACCATTAGAACTTGAACGTTTATCGTGCGGTCTGATGATTGGCCCTATTGCCATGAGAACTCATAGTAGTACTTAACAAAAAATAAAAAATAACTTTTTTATAAAAAAAAAGAAGTTTCCCGCCATTGTGAACTTGTGTGGCCCAGATAATAGTATTATTATGTCTGAAGTCAAACAAATGGCAAAGCACATGCAGGGTCATACACATTGACATTACTTATGTTTAACACAGGGCAGCAGTGCTAATATCCATGACACTTAAGGCAGATGTTGCAGGGGTCACGGCGTACATGCACACATGGCATCCAATACAAGTTACTTCAAGACCAGTTCATCTCCCAATTTCCAACACTGCACACAAGACTAGCTGATCATGCACGTCCGTTAATCTTTTTCAACGCCAAACTGGATGCACAGGGCAGGCCGATCTTTGCTGGCACCAAACTGCAGGAAAACCGGAGTCAGATTTCACTATCCCTCACTGCACTATGCTGTAGTGTGCAGAAATACTATACTAAGAAAAGCGAGCAAACTTCAACTTACCACTTTGAGCAGTTTGTCAATGTTATGCACTCGGGTCTCTGAGTTGGCAGCAGAATGCGACCGCTGCCCCATAAGCCGCAGGGCAAGGGCAGGCGAAGTATTCCCTGTCCGACTTCCTGGTACTAGACTTGTGGCGTTGGACTGTTGAGAAGGATGTGCATACTGTGAATGGTGGCGGCTGTCTGAATGATTAGCCGCGGCTGATCTCGGTGGGTTGCCTCTGAGGTCATAATCAAATGCATCCTGGCCACTACTAGGCGACGTATTGAGAGACATGGCAGCCAAACCAGCAGTGCTTTGCCTTGTCGGGCATGGCCCCATCGCCGGTGGTGGGGACGTGTCTGCCCGAGCTGTGTAGTGCTCATACACCTCAGCGCTTGACGAGCCAGAGCGGTGGCCGTAGCTGGATTGGCCGCCGCACCGACTCGGCTCATGCGCAGCTCTCGTGCCGTCGGCTGCCCGACTGGTTGGATAGCTATTTGACAGATGAGAGGACCTGGCATCATCTAAGTGTGTCTGACCAGAGTAATGTTCAGATGAAGTACTCGAGGTTGAAGTACCTGATTGAAGGAAAACGAAACAGAGCAAGGAAATACAGACGGGTTATTTCTTGCAAAGAATGCAAGACTTGGTGGGACATCAACCTCGAGGGGTCAAGATGTAAAGTTTTGATTCAGGGAGGTTTGTGTAGCTTTTCCCCTTTCCATTCCCTCAACTAAAGGAGGTTTATAGGAAAGAAAAGAACCAAGTTACTACACGTTACGCTATAATGTCCACTATAAGTTAAGCTACAATGTCCACTAACATCACCTGTTACCTGACAATCAATGTTATCGCATGAGCTGTTTGCTAGTTAAGCAGCTGGTGGTGTTAGTGGACATAATCATTACAGCATAACTCGTAGTTCCTTGGTTCTTTTCTTTCGTATAAATTAATCCTTGGCTCTCCATCCAAGGCAGGAAGGTTTGTGTAGCTAATGTTTCTTCTACTGTCGTGGACATGGAAATCCGGTTGCACGTCTAGCGGCCCCAGGGCGCTGGCCACGCAGCCGTGGGTAAGCAGTACACACATGCATTATACATGTACTGTACGTAATGCATGCGCTGCAGCGCGCTGGTCGCATTGGATCAACGTGACTGTGCATTGCATGCAACGTCCTGTAATCCCTGAGGGCGCCGGCCCCGGTCAATCGAGATTTCCATGTCCACCACAGTAGGTGGTGCAAGTCTTTGCAGATTTAAAAAAATGGAAATGATGATTGAACAGCACTGGAACTCTTGGAATCTCTATTGCATGCGTGGTGTTCTAAATCTCTCTTGGTAATAGACCAGATCCGTGGCACTATTGCGGTGATGGCTGGCTCACGGATCACATGATAGATTGCGAGCAGTACTACTTTGGCCACGTTGTGAGAAGCAAAACCGGAATAATCTCCAGGACATGGTCGGAGCCATTTGGGCGTGTGTGTGTGTGTCATTGATGGTCTGCCAACGAAAGGCCTCGCCTTGACTTCTGTCCGTCCGGGAAGGGGTTTGGTGTGGCTGGAAACTTGTAATGGGTGGCATGAGTAAGGGCAGCCACTACCAGTCCACTATCACAAAAATACGGGGTGCTCGCATAACTCCTTACGGCAACGGTTCAAGTTGTTCGCTCTTTCCATGCTCTATGTTGAGCCACGCTCTGCCGTACTGCAAGGTTATAATTGGTGTGTGATGTGTGTGCAGAGCGGATGAGGGGGGACTAATAACTTACCTGTGCCCGGCCGGCGCAGTGGTAGATGCTGTTTGAGCAGAGCTCCACGGCCTCTACTAACTCGAAGATATCCGCCGCTCTCGACCTTATGTTGGGTGGAAGAAAAGAGACACACGGAAGCAAACTAGAATGAATACTTCCGTCGAGAAAATACTGGTGTGCTGATGGAATGCTGCTATACAAGCAAACCACATGATCGAGGATTCGGTAGGGACCGCATAAACATAGCTCATGAAAGTACGGACAGATTTTGATATCACACGTGGAGGTACTATAGGCACAAAGCAACAATGCAAGCAGCCCCCCCCCCCCTCTCCCTTCCAAAAAGTTAGATATCTTGTTCGGAAGCAGTCATTCACAAGAATAGCCACCAACTGACACACGAGATGAGTATATATGCACTCTCATAATGGAAAAGAGCTCTCGTGGAGGTTGGTGCCTTTGCCGTTCACGCTGTGTGTAGCTTAGTGACTTGTCAGCTTTGAGCACTCTGGCAAAGTACACAGCATTCCCGCCGGGTTACGATTCTGGCTGGGAGAAGTGTCACATCCCATTGCTGCAAGGTTCGGCCTACTTTCTCCGTGCAGCACTGGTGGATCCACAGGGGACGGAACTGTGCTATGTTCGCCAGATTACAGTGTGCACTTTGGTCGCACTAGTTTACATTATGTAGGCTCTAAATCCTAAGCATGCACTATACTCCAGATATATACACATCAATGTAAGCAAAGGCCTTTACACATCAATGTAAGCAAAGGCCTTTGGATAGTTTGCACAGTTTTGGTCAAGGACGCGGATGGCCAAGTATGGTGTGTGCACAGAACGACTCATCTCACAGCACTATCCTATTCTCCGTTTTAACATTACTGCTTACATTATTCTTGAGAGTGTAGTTGCATCCGCCTGCAAAGGGTCTGTAGACGATACCTAAGTTTCACTGTTTTCGTTCCCTCTTGAGAGTGTAGTTGCATCCGCCTGCAAAGGGTCTCTAGTCGACACCTAAGTTTCACTGTTTCCCTTCTGCCATTCAGTACAATGTACATGTACTTGGTTTTCTAACTTTTCTTGGATACCCTGCTAAAAGGCCCTGTGCAGATTGCCATATCAAAATTATAAAAGAAGAAAAAACCTATCAAAGTTTCCCCTAACCAACAAGTCAAAATGATTATAACCACTATACTACTAGTACTGTAATCTTAACGTGTGGACATACACACACCCACACCCACACACACACCCACACCCACACCCATACACACACCCACACACACCCACACATACACCCACACACACATACACCCACCCACACACACACACGCACGCATACTGACAACCTACATCCTTCGGTGCGATGCCTGGGCGTCTAGCGACCTCTTCGGAGCACTGTGCCTCGTCATCGTCTCCACTAATGTGAGCTGCAACACAACAGAGAATCGTTCACTGAGCTGAGCTAATGACGGTGAGAACAAACACAGTGGGGGCTTTTGATCAGTCACAACACCAGTGGCGGATCCAGGACTTGGCCGAAGAGGGGGCCCAAGGTATCCGCCGCCCCCCCCCCCCCAAAACAAAACAACAAAAATTAATACAACAACAACAAAGTCCTGAAGTTGTGAAGAGCTGTTGTATTTTAGGGTCCGGCGGATTCTGCCGGCAGAAAAATTGGCAGAATTCGGTACTTTTTCTGGTTTCATGCATGTTTGGTATGTGGATAAAAAAATGGAGCAGAATTCGAGGAATTGCCCGCCATAAGGTTTGTATGGTTCTGCCAATTTCACTGCTTTTCGAGCAGAATATGCCACCTTTTCGAGCAGAATCCGCCGGTCCCTAGTTTTATTCCATTCTCACGACATTTTCAAACTGCACTGGAACATTTCCACTCGATCGACAGCGGCCGCGACGGACCTTTGGACGGCTCTTCAACGCGAGCTCTCTTATCTACCGCCAGTACCGGTCCACTGAAGAACGACCTGATGTCAGACGCTTTCCTCTTCATCGCATATCTGAAGGTAACCCGTTGGCTACAAGCGAAGTAGAGAGCTAGCTAGAGAGCGTTTAGTTTCTGACAAGTGGAAAAGAAAAAAGGAAGGACGAAGTCGACAGCACCGTGCACCATACAGGACTTCAGCCCAACGCGATCACTGCGCTATGCATAATAAAAAAAAGTACCAGGCCCTGCATTTTTGGCACGTTTTTCACATGTTTGAAGTGCGGCCGTGTCTACAGGTCGCAGTGCGTACAGTAGTTGTACACAGCGCGCTGACTACAATGCTAGTGCGTGACCCCGGACACGTATAAAAATACCCAGCACGCGTGACCCACTTGATACGCCAAGTCATTTCGAGCGCTCATTCTACAGTCTACTGTTATCCTAGACCAAGGTCGAAATTTTCAAAGGGGGGGCCCAGGCCCCCTGGGCCCCCCCCTGGATCCGCCACTGAACACTGCTATGTGATGTGCCAGCAGCAACGCCAGGAGCAGCCACCTTCTTCAAATACTACCACCAAGGTCGCAACATCTTAGCTTTATACAGGGGTTCAGGTATTCAGAAAGTGATCTAAGTTGTTACAACATGTGAAGGGTCACGTAGGACAGTCTGCTAACTCACGAACTCTTCACTGTTGCTCTTGTTTTCTTCAAAAGCTTCTCGTCTGCAACAACTATCCCGGTAGCTGTGCAGACCGAACACATTCAATTTCAGGCGAAACCTGATTTCTGCGACTGTACATGTGTACGGCCTACCACGGTCTTTGTCCCACTGACCAGGGTGACTAATGCAAATTCAACATACATTGAAACTTCACTATAACATACTCCAAAAACATGCCCGAGGTGCTATACATCCCAGGTCACATGACGAGCAAACCATGATACAGGGCTCACAAAAATGGCACTTTTAAATAATACGTGATTTATATCCCAAAGGTTTACCAGTGGTCTAAAAGTAACAGTTATCTGTTACTTTCAACATGAATAAAAACCAAAAAAAAACTGGCGAGTCAGAGCGAGCAACAGTCCTTTGGCCTTTTTTAATCCTCAGCTAGCCATCCAAGTCTTATAGCTCACAGTATGCTACATCCAGGGTACATGCACTTCATGCTGAACTGCTTCACCATACAAGATTTCAATGCCACAAAAAAGCACAGATCATGGGTGCTTTCCAAACTGAACAACAGTAACCGTGCAATTGTGCGGGAAAAAAAACATGCCCGAAAAGCTGAAAACGCTTACACTTTGACATGTTCTCCTGCTGGCTACACCAGGCGGCTAACTGTGAACTTTGTACAAAAAAGCATGCCGGGAAACACTTACACTTTGCAATGTTGGCCTGCTGGCTACACCAGGCAGCGATGTCCAGTGGCCGTTCCTGAGCACCCTCGCGAGCAGCAATGTCCAGGGCCGTCTTGCCCAGCAGCGACAGGCCAGCGTTCTTGCCGGCGCTCAGCTCACCAAGACCGGTCGGCTGCACTGTCGAAGCCGCCCTCGCGTCCGCAGCACTCGCACCCGCAGCACTCACGCTGCTGCTGCTGGTAGCTGCCCGGGTCTGCAGGCCGCCGGGTGGTGGCTGCAGACCATTGTGAAGTGCGGACGGGCCGTGCGGATTGAACATACTACACACACACGGCAACAGCATCAACAACACCAGCATCAACAACACCAGCATCAACAACACCAGCATCAACAACACCAGCAGCAACAACACCAGCAGCAACAACACCAGCAGCAACAACAGCAGCAGCAACAACACCAGCATCAACAACACCAGCATCAACAACACCAGCAGCAACACCAGCAGCAACAACACCAGCAGCAACAACACCAGCAGCAACAACACCAGCAGCAACAACACCAGCAGAAACAACACCAGCAGAAACAACACCAGCAGCAGCAACACCAGCAGCAAAAACAACACCAGCAGCAAAAACAACATCAGCAGCAAAAACAACACCAGCAGCAAAAACAACACCAGCAGCAAAAACAACACCAGCAGCAAAAACAACACCAGCAGCAAAAACAACACCAGCAGCAAAAACAACACCAGCAGCAAAAACAACACCAGCAGCAAAAACAACACCAGCAGCAAAAACAACACCAGCAGCAAAAACAACACCAGCAGCAAAAACAACACCAGCAGCAAAAACAACACCAGCAGCAAAAACAACACTAGCAGCAAAAACAACACCAGCAGCAAAAACAACACCAGCAGCAAAACAACACCAGCAGCATCAGCAACAACACTAGTACATCCATACCAGCATGGCTTAGTAAGGGTTTGAGTTCATCTGCTAATACTACAAAGTATACACGTGTTAGTGAACAGGAGTATGCACATTGTGACTACAGGATCATTTCTATGCTAGCCTGCCATCTTGGACAAACCATACAAAGGTGGTGACATCTATAAAATGTGCAGCCCAAGGCCAAGTAAAAAAAATCCTAGTTTATCGTCCCCGCCCGCCCCATTTTTCGAGGCCGCCCGGAATTTATTTTTATTTTTTAAATCTAGAATTTTGCCAAAAAGCTTGACATGTTCCCTTTATGACTGACTATTGGTTACTGTCCTGACTGGTTCTTTCCCTTCTGCAGCTTTCTATCATTTATCTGGTGGTCTGTGTGAACCAAACAGTATTGGGGTTTGTGTCTTATGAGTGGAGTGACAATCTGTCGATCCAAAGATTTTGCATGTAATTGTTTATGTACATATAACTGTTATAGCATTGTGTATTCCATACACTACCACTATTCTGTTGCAGATTGTTGCACATGATGTGTCATTGTTTACCAAGAACTATACTAGTCTGTAGCACATCAAAAAATAAAAAATAAAAATAAAATCCGCCCTCCCTCCCCGATTTTTGTGAAAAAAAAGGACGATAAACTGGGATTTTATTTTACTTGGCCCAACATGATACCGTGGTGGAATAGGATAGTCAAGCATTAAAAATAGTGGCCGCATGCTCTACTGCAACATACTGGTGACTATATCTTTGAGATTACAGCAGGAAACGACCACAGCACTGAGCTACAAGTGGTCAGGACTGAGGAGCACGGAAGCAGCATTCCCGAAACCAACGGGTGTAAAGAACACTCAGTAGGCGTTTGAGAATATTGGAGGACAGTGTGTGAGATCCACTTGTACTTACGGAGGTCGACTGCTAGCAGGTACTGCTGCTGGACACACGTAACCTCTACTTCTAGAGCTTGATAGGTGTCTGCAAGGACACACAGGTGCACACACAGGTGCACACACACACACACACACACACACACACACACACACACACACACACACACACACACACACACACACACACACACACACACACAAAGATAAATACAGACACATACAAACACACACAAACACACAGACACACACACACACACACGCGCTTACACACGCCCATCGCTGAAGCGATGAAAGCAAACAAGCTATGTTAGACATACTCAATCTGCGGACAGAACTGTTTCGTCCTTTGTGGACTCATCAGCGCCGCACAGAGAAAATGAGAACGAACCTGATAGCAATGAAAAATAAATTTTCCAAAGCCAGATTTAAACCAGGCCTGAACATACCTTGCCAGAGTGCTCAAACTGACAAGTTAGTGAGCTCTGCATAACGCAAAGGCACTACCCCACACGAGAGTGCTCAACTGCTACAAGAGCAGGAGCGAAATACTCAATCTGCGGACAGAACCGTTTTGTCCTTTGTGGACTCATCAGACATAGCAACTTCATCGCCGGAGGCAATGATAGCGATGCTACAGCAGAAGCCATAGCAACTTGTGCTGGGATTGCACCATTCAACAGCTTGCAAGGCTGATGAATTGACCGCCACTATTCAGCCTGGTCTCCACCACACAGCTGACTAAGTGGTTTCTTCTGGCCAGTGAATCCCTATTTTTCATTTGTTTTATACACGCACACAAGCACACACACGCATACGCGCGCGCACGCACACACGCACATACACGCACACACACTTGTAATTGTTGCTCACTGCCAAAACTGGTCACGCGGGTCCCCCCGGGAGAGGGGAGAGAGACTCAAAAGGAATCCTGGAAAGTTGACTCAATTGGCTATTGAACCGCCGAATGGCCGACACCCCCTGAAATCCCCAACACTCTGGGTGGACTTGACAATGATCCCACTTTTGGGCTCACCACACCTGAGTAAGTGGGTGAGGACAAGGTGCAGAAAAAGGATTGACGGCATCAGGGTATCCGTCCCAGGATCCAACTGCAGTTACCCTGCCCCCAGTGAATGTAACACTTGCTACTAGTGTGGGTGGCTCAATCAGAGTGGATCTGATATAAGCTTCACTAGCACCATACAGGGATATACAGTCTGTCTGTTAAATCGTGTCCACCTCATGATGATCAGAACACCAGTTCATGTAGACAGTCTTTGTGAACAGGCTCGAAAAACGTTTTCAAACAAAGCTCGGTGCCTGTAAATGCCGGCTTCTAACTGGGAGTCGGGGGCTCAGTACAATGGCTTGAGGCTTCGGAATGGGCGAGAGTTTTACAGAAAGCGAATCATGTAACTCTCGGTGGATCATGCAAGTAGGACTTTGCAATGCTCCACGTTCTAATAAGCAATTACCAAGATCCAGACAGCACAGGTATTGTCATTCCTAACCTACAAAATCAACAAGTGATCAGAAACCACATAAGGCTGCTTACCCAGTCATGTCAACCGGTGTTTGCCCATCCAGGCCATTATTGTGTGAATCCATGTCCTCATCGTACCCTTCTAGTGGCTCTTCCTCTCCGGCAAAAGCATTATCAACTGCACAACCAACAAAAGACAGTAGAGAGAGAGAGTGAGAGAGAGAGAGAGAGAGAGAGAGATGACGATAGGACCGGCCCTAAATGTATAACATGAACTTTTAGGTGTACTAAAATTTCGGTACCAGGGACCTGCCAGGTTTCTGGTGTAATGTAGAATTGGGTGAACAGCATTTCCTTCACATACAGTGCATACTCCAGTGCCTTTTAGGTGTAATCTAAATTTAGGTGTCTGGTTTCGCTATATGGAAATTTCCGAAATCAAAGTTACACCAAAACTAACGTGTTGTACAGTATCATGATATTTGAAAGCAGGTATTCTCTGAAACCAGGCTGACCCCTAAGCACTCCACAGATTTGGTGTCGTAGAATAGAGATTTTACAGACCAGGTAATTGCTGAAAATGAGGGGCCTCATCTGTGAACTTGTAACACGGAGTAGCCTACGACACACACAGGAGCAAGCACGATAACCTGATATTGGCAAGGAATACCTTGCTCTAACCAAATCGCACTCGCACAAGAAAGCTTACGTTCATTGTCCCAAGATTCGTTGGGATCCGGTGCCTTCCAGTCAGCATTGTTGGGCAAGGCGATCTTACCGCGCCTCACCTCCCTGAAGTCCTCCAGCATGGGCTGGGTGCACACAGACAGGGGAAACATAACCGGTAAGCACGCAAGCACAAATACACACGCGATGCATGGATGCAACATACCTTCTAGTACGCATACCAAACAAAAGCATACAGACACCGCTTGGGGACACAAACACTAAAGGCATCCGTCACCGACTTGCTATGAACCTGGTGACACTCTGCACTTCTCTTCCACAGATACCGCACGTCACCAACTGTACACCGCACTTCAGAAATCTACTAGTGAACAAATCAACGATTCAAAATCAGTTTGGACAGTTCTTGCAGCTTGATTTTAAGAACCGTGTCTTGGGCTAACCGGCAGAACTCAATTTTATACAACCAAGTTTTAAGTGAATAGCAGCGCAAATTGAATTGTGGCAGATAGCCCCAGACGCAGTTGGAAGATGATGACATTATTCGGTGGTGAAAACAACAAGGATAGTGCTGAGAGAGAGAGAGAGAGAGAGAGAGAGAGAGAGAGAGAGAGAGAGAGAGAGAGAGAGAGAGAGAGAGAGAGAGAGAGAGAGAGAGAGAGAGAGAGTGAGAGAGAGAGAGAGACGAAAAGCGGCTTAACAATAGAGTGAAGAGCAGCACCAGCATCAGCATCTCCTACCTTGTCTGGGCATTGGGAGAAGTGTGCAAGCAAGTCTGCTCGTGGGATGACGTGTCTAGCATTGTATGGGCATATTTCAAACAGGCCCTCGCTCGGATGTTGCTGCAATAAAGACACAAAGCACGCATGCCGCAATCACACATGCACGCACGCACGCACGAATGCACACACACACACACACACACAGCACAACAGTACTTGCAGGTCAGGACAGACACGGAAGACTAAAAAAAAGGCCAGCACTCTGTTGAAATCGTGGCTTTGCCGGTGCTAACAACCTTGCAGTCGCAGTGCAAGTGCAGTGAAACCTGTCTAAGATGACCGCTCAAGCGACCTTCGAAATGTGGTCTCTGTTACAGTACCAGGTGGTCTCCTTATCCAGCGTCATTTGACTGGAAATAGCATCCCTTGGTCCGGGTTGCAGTGGTCGTTTGCCTTATCCGAGTGGTCTTATCCGAGTGGTCGTGGTCGCCTTGACAGGTTTTACTCTGCTTTCACCGATCAAGGCCATAGCGGAGCCGCACGATAAGGTGAACTAATTGAGTTCAAGTCAACGTGTGTGCAGCGCACTTCCTCGTACTCAAAGTGCAGTGTTATACCCTGGAAATTGGGCTTCGCTTGCCAACGGTTCTATTCAGTAGCCCAGTATGATTAGAAGAATTCGAGCCCTCCTTGTGCAGCTCACCTTTAATATAGTACATAATGCAGGGGGAAAGCCGTGCTACACACCCAGCATGTGCTAAGTTCACATCTAGACCAGCTGGGCAGGGATCCCTCGCCATCCAAAATTCGCTCCCATCGTATGAAATTCAATCCGAATACCGGCAGTGATATATTTCGAAGTGCATAGTAGCAGCAAACTCGCTCATACCCACCCACCCATTCCTATATTTGCATCCATGCGTGTGTTAACTTAACAATTGCATAGTTGCCACTTGCAGCCTGTTACCAATATACTAGTAATGTTTCTGCTACAGAGCTTGCTGTGCCGTGCTACACACTACACCACACTGACCCTACTACCGGTAATATCGCTATCTGTGTGAATTGTTGCCACTTCAGGTGTAGAGCTACCTTGAACCCTTGCACTATGTTATGAGTCTCTGTATCCACGACCTCCGCATCGCTGAGGAGGCCCTTATGTGTGAAATTTTGGAAGATATCCATTTGAGGTTATGCAGCCAAGGACTGGAGGAGGTTGAGCGGTGAATATTTGCAAAAAAAGTTCCTAAATTGAATCCTTCAACTGCATAGATCAGTGTTTCTGTCGACTCACCTTCGCACATTTTAGCAAGTGATAAGGTAACCTGCTAATCCTAACTCGATGCACCTCGTCATAGGGGCATACCACAAGCTCGTTCGGGTCATACCTCCTGCTTGGCAATACATCCATGGCATTAATCGACAATGTCAGACTCAAGACAATTCTAGTACAACAGTTTCAAACCAAAGTGAAATAAAACAACAGAAAATAGCCTACGCCATACGACTCGCTCAAGGATTTTCATTGATTTTCGAATCTGTTTCATTTTACTGACGCGCTACGCGCATACGCTACGGGGTACGGTGCTTAGTACGCGATACGAGACAATCTTGACTTCGTTCCCATGACCACAATGCAGTGATGTCATAACGCGACTCCTACAAAAAACTCGAAAACTGAAAAAGGAGTGAAACCCCAGAAAAAAAGAAAAAAGAAAAAAGAAACAGATCAAGTGATCGTGAAAGCACGTGACAGACAGCCAAGCCACCCGTTTCCTCACCCTTTGAAAAAGCGCCACTTGAACAGTTGAAGTAACACACAAACCACTGTCGACAGCCCTATTCTCCTCGCCGGGCGGGTTGTTGTCTAGAATGTTTTGCAGATCATAGGAAAACTGGTAAAGTCGAGAGTGCTCTGAATCTGTTCAGTGGGTCGTGGATATTTTTTTCCTCTAAGTTTCTGTGAGTGGTTGAGGTTTTGAAACCTGATCTGTGTCATACGGTATACCCACGACGCAAGTGAAGCTCGAAGGTGTGTCGGAGGTCTGGAGCAAGTAAAGTTCTCTATTATCAGGAACTCTGTGCCATCGGTTCCTCGCTTCTTGTAGGTGAGCGCTCGTGCACTGCACTTGTGTGTTTGTCTGGGGTAATCATTCTGACAGAGCTGCGGCTGTAGTGCTGACGTATCACCACTGCGTGCTCTACCTTCCGCAAACACGTTCAGAACACACAGTCACAGGTGTTCGTACTGAATCGTAGCCCTGCTGCCAAGCACACACACACCACACACACACACACACACACACACACACACACACACACACACACACACACACACACACACACACACACACACACACACACACACAGAACATCTGACCTCTACAGCCAGGAGTCCCTGCATAGCCTCTTCCAGTCTAGATTTCATTAGATTATTGTTATTATAGCTGGCCTCTGTTCTGGCGTGCTCTATTCACAGTGCAACCACAGGGTGATTCCAGAAACGTTGGTGCTCTAGCCCTTACTGTTGACTTTTCCTAACTTTAATTTTTGCATGCGATATGGTACATGCATCACGACTTCTGCGCAAAGTGTTTATGAAAACGTGTCAAACACAACTCATGCCAATCCGGGTGTTTATTCCACCCGTTCGTATCTGTTTCAATGCAAAGCAAACCCCGCATGTTCTCCACTGATTCGAATGTTTTCGCGGGATCAGATCTGAAGGGTAGCGCCACAGACCGTCCATACTGTAAATATACAACATTTCGGCGCTGCAAAATTTCGGCACTTCACGATTTTTGACATTTCGGCGGCGATTTATTTTCGGCGTGGGGTAGAGGGCATGGTATTGTGCGACAGATGCTGTGAAAAATTTCATCGGCGTTTTAATTTAGGCGTTTTGGGTCGGTGCCGAATATAGCCGAAATTAAATAGCTGCCGAAAATTTGTATATTTACAGTATGCAAAAAGTCTGTAGCATAGATGCATAAGAAAAAGATGAACTTGTTTGCAAGTTGCAAGTCTTGTTGTCTTCGGGGATTTTCTAATACCTTTGGGCTTGTCTTCGCACTTCACAGTTCTCTTGTATATCGTTTTATATGCTAGAGACAAAGTTTTTTTAAATTTCCGGCTACTTTTCTTTTGTCTCTGGGTCGATCACACGCCCTCCCTGAATAGGCCGCTTGGTAGAAACTTACTACGTTGTACTAGAAAGATCACTGCAATATATTGTCGCGGCCAAAGAAATCCAACCCGAGTGCCAAAAGCAGCGCAACCCTCCTGCGGCCCTCGGATCGATTTTCGAACATGCATGATGTAATTGAAATGGAAACGCCGCGCTATGTTTGACTCGCGTGTCGGATTTCTTTGGCCAGGACTGTACACGAGTATGACCACAGTGCTAGTCCGCGCTATATGTCTGAAGTCAATACTAACATCGTGTTTCTGTTCATTGTGGTGCAATAGGGTCTGCGAGCAAGACGGATAAGCACCGGAACACAGAATGGACCCCAAGATCAACACAAAGCCGGCATATCGGCCGTCGACTGAGCGAACACCGCTGCTGCGCACTGAAGGTGGAGACGGTCACGCCATCAATTCAGACATTCAGAAACCGCAGACGTTCCCGTCAGTACTGGCCACGTTCATTGCGGCACTGGGAGCGCTTAGTTTTGGATACGCACTGGGCTTCTCATCTCCAGGTGGGTAGAACATGGCTTATGCCAACCAGCTGTATTGTTCCTTTGGCGAGAAGGTAGATTGGAGTCTCATGCTTGCTTGCTTGCTGTGTCTTCAACTTGCGAAGACATGTACATGTATGTGATGCTTGTTGTGCTGTGAACCCGGGAGAAAAGCGTAGCGTACATGTATATAGTAACTTAGTAAGTCAGGTGAATGCATGGTTTACTTCAAAATAAAAGAAAATATGTACAAGTATGTGATTGTTACATGGGAGACGTCCAACCAACAGCTCTGGGCAGTCTTTGTTGATCAAGCCCCATAACCGTGTATGATCTGTGCTGCAATGTTTGTTCTCATGTGCTGCTACTGCTGCTGCTGTCCTCTCTACTGATAGCCACACTTGCTCTGACTGTTGCCAATGGCAGTGACCCAGTCACGAGCGGGCCGAACATGAAGCTCAACAAGGCTACACTTGCCTGGTTCGGAGTAAGTCGCTCGCTCGCTCACTTCATTCTTTCGCTTGTGATTGCTGAAAAGTCTTGCACTAGAGTGCATTACAATGACCTGCAGTTGTTCCCAATTTCAGCAAGGTCTTAGACACTTTGGGGGGGGGGGGGGGTATTCTCAGCGCCTGCGCTTGTCTTCGCTTCACAATTCTGCCCATATACCTTTTGTTCACTGGAAGCGAAGGAAGGCTTACCGGTATGTTTCTGAAAAGTCTTTGACGGCTTTGAGTTGACAGACCACCGTATTTGGGTTCTGTAGATGCCTGTGCTATGCAGAGTTCGGCACGCGCAGCACAGTGTTTGCAATGCTGCAGTACTGTCGGGTGCCGAAGAACGGGGGTCAGCCTCCTAGCCTAGGCCGTTCTTATTTTCATGTACCACAGTCTATGCACCGTTGAGTCACCGTGTATACATTGGTATGCTGTGCCTGGTGAAATGCTAACCTGTTCGTTCTTCGGCACCCGGCAGGCCTGTAATGCCATGTAGCATCTAGTTTTGCTCTATACATTATGGCGTTTTTACTTGCCAATGGGTATGTCCAGCTATGTTATAGGATCTTGGGGGTTAGACATCATCCTTTATGGCGAAAACATGTGTGGCCAAAAATACTGAAGTACGAAAATCTACAGGATACTAGTGTTCAGGTGGGTAGACTTGGCATTAAAAAGTGTGTTGCCCAAACCTTGTCCTTTCTTTCACGGCGTATGATTATGTGTTCGCTCTGCTTTGTGCCTGATGGTCGCGTAGCGTGAAACTCGGAGTTGCAACACATCGTTCTAACTTCTGTGTTAGGATGTTTGTACTGCTTATTATTATTGTATCTACTTGAATTCTAACCAGTGTTCCATATGATGGTGTGGCATGGATGTTTTGCAGTCATTCATTAATATCGGCGCCATGGTTGGTGGCCTCCTAGCTGGCTTCCTGTGCGATTACGTCGGCCGCAAACTTGGCTTGATGATCTGTGCCCTACCGTTCTGCGGTGGCTGGGCATTGCTTGCCTATGCCGAGTCGGTAGCCCTGCTCTTCGCTGGGAGAATATCAGTTGGCCTCGGCGTCGGAATGGTGTCTCTCATGGTTCCCGTAAGTAGCACGGTGTGGTGTATGCAGTGTATACGTACGTGGGATTTTTCTATCCAGGATGATGTGAGTGGCAGTAACTCGTCTCCAAGTGTCCCTATCCTTTATTTTTCTAATTATTGGCTCAGCATCCGAGTCTCTATAATTATAGTGATGATAGTTAACACACGTTGCCTGGAAATCGGAGATGCCGCTCCTCGCTTGTGTCATTCGCCACGTAGAGAACAGAAGCAAGGAAGGGTTGTGTACGTAGCTGTGTATGCATGTGCCTTCTACCTGCTAACCAACGCCCGTGTGCTAACTCAACTTCTCTTTGCTGGCGTCGTCCTTGTTGTGCAGGTGTACATTGCTGAGGTGGTGTCCTCGGATATGCGAGGCACACTGGGTGCAGTCAACCAGCTGTCTATTACCATTGGCGTTCTTGTTGCATACGCCCTGGGCACAATATTGCCCTACAAGTGGATGGCCATTGTGGGCATTGGTCTATCCGCGATGCACGCCTTTGGTATGCTATTCCTGCCCGAGACGCCGCGCTGGTACCTTGGCCGGGACATGCGTCGCGAGGTAAGCCGTGGTGGTTAGTCCGTAGGTTGCTGTGTGTGTTTGTGTGTACTTGTAGGCAGACCTCACTTATCCGATCCTCTTTTGTCTTGTTCTCTCGCCAACCACTGAAAATACGGTTGAAGCAGACTTAGCAAATAGTGGTAACACATGCTCTGTTGACCAATTTCCCTTCCCTTGTTGTTGGTGCTACATTGTACTTTCAACAAAAGTGCTTCAGTACTTTGCACGGAGTATATGCACATGACTAATCTTTTCCTTGTTGTGTGCCTTCTTGTGTTTCTTAAAAATCATTGCCCGTCGCCCGCATGTGTGTGCTCAGGCAAAGGATTCACTGCTGTGGCTGCGAGGTGCCAATGCTCCCATTGACGATGAATGCTGCAGCATTGAGCAGGCACTGGAGTCGCAGGAGACGATGTCGTTCAAGGAGTTCTTGAAGCCAGGCCTGCTGCGCCCGCTCATGATCTCTCTGATCATGATGGTTTTGCAGCAGTGGAGCGGTGTTAACGCAGTCATCTTCTATGCCGGTACCATTCTTGAAACGGCTGGTTTCAGCAACGCCAATCTGGCCAGCATCTCCATTGCCGGTGTGCAGGTAAGATGTTCATTGCACTAAACAATTCATGCATGTCTCTGTCTTTGTTTCTAAATTGCCTGTGGTGGCTGTCGTCAATGCCGAATTGTGCAGTATACTAGTACCCTGCCGAATGTACCTTGCACCTGCAGGCAGCTCTGTATCTTTGTGTATTTGTGTGTACATGTGCCCAGGTTGTGTTTACACTGATCGCTACTTTGTTGATGGACCGGATGGGACGTCGTGTTCTGCTGATCATTGCCGGCAGCGGCATGCTTGTTGGCTGCGTTGCCATGGGTAAGCATACTCCGAACGTCTGTGCTCGCACATCACATACCGTAACAATTTTAACTCGGGTTTTGTGCCCTGTTATCGCACTTTCTGACTGCTTATTATCTTGTTACAGTCGCGGATAGTTGCTTCAGAACTCGTTTCCATGTGATTTCTTCTATCGTAACAACTTTAGTATTATTTTACCTGTTGGATGTGTTAACTAACAGGCAGAAATGGTACTTCTGTTTTCTTGACACTCGTGCTTTGAAGTAGGCGTGTCGTGTCGCCTTTTCACATGTACTGGTGTGCAAATAATACGTCGCTTTTAATAAAATACTCCGGGAACAAAACAAAAACTTCGTGACTCGATCTGACGGTTTTGGTGAATCGAGTTCTGAGGAATCAAACAATGGTGACTCTGAGTGAGACTGAAAACAGTGCCAATTTCTCCTGTACTTGTATAGCAGTGTACAGTGTATGTCTTTTTTGACAGCATACCGTAAAGTCTTGTATAAAAGCCGCGGCTTCTATGACTTTCTTGGTGAAAATTTTCAGGCTTCTATGTGAGACCTGTCTTGTCTATACAGGACAGGTATTTCTATGTATGTCAACACGAAAACCAGGCTTATGTGTGATTTGATGGGCCCAAAATTGCGGCTTCTATTCAAGTGCGGCTTTTATACAAGACTTACGGTATCTACTAATTGACTTGACGTGCTTTTGTTCCACAAAACCAAGTTTCTTCAGCACTGTAACTCCTTAGAATGTGAGTAAACGTCAGGGTTTTTTGTTTCCGCCTTCTTGCCGAAGGAAGTGTGGACTGGTGTTGCACATGTAGCGTTATTCCCGTAGCTATGCAGAAGACGTTACTTCAGTAACGTCTGGCGCTAGCCAGGGTCCACACAGCTTTAATTTGGTGTTTGTTTGTTTGTGTCACGCCTGGCGCTATCCCGTATCTGTCCCGTACCGTACCATCAAAGACAGCTGGCCACAAACAGCTGGCCACAACATTCAAATAGGGCTTTCAAACGCAAGATGATAACGTGAAGCAACTTGGAAGAATGAGTATGAATGCGAAGTGTATCGGGGAATGCATGTAGGGCGATGCTATAGTGCGGGTTCAAATTCCAGGTTATGCCTTAAAAAAAAGGAGAATTGAAAAATTTATAACATCCTGGTGCTTTTTTTGCCTAGGTTATCAAGGCGGTAGACGGTGTCGTATTACCCTCGACCGTACCTGTCCCGTACCGTACCATCAAAGACCGCTGGCCACAATATTCAAATAGGGCTTTGAAATGCAAGATCATAACGTGAAGCATCTTGGAAGAATTAGTATGTATGCGAAGTATATTGGGGGATGCATGCAGGGCGATAGTGCGGGTTTGAATCCAGGTTATGCCTGAAAAAATGGGAGAAATATATAAGAAAAATTATAACATCCCTATGCTTTTTTTGTCTAGGTCATCAAGGCAAAAAAAGCATAGCGTAGGGCCCTGAGCTTCCAAGCTCTCTCGTTTACATACCTAATTATGTTTGTGTGCGTGTGTGTGTATATATGTATGTGTGCGTGTGTGTGTGTCGGTCTGTGTGTTCAGGTGTCTATTACGAGATCACGTCGGACCATGACGGCAACCCAAAAGGGAATCTCCGCAACACGTTTAGCCCCTTGGCTATTACTGCCATGCTGGTACGTGCATACACACGGGTGGTACTTGAAGGTGTTCGCCTTCTGCACCTCTATAGTTCCACCTTCTCAATTAGGGACAGCAAAGATGGGGGAACAATATAAGCATGGGGCTGGTCAGAGAGAGAGAGAGAGAGAGAGAGAGAGAGAGAGAGAGAGAGAGAGAGAGAGAGAGAGACGCAGGAAAGGCGAAGGATCTGAATGAAAAACACAATAAATAGATCGAGAGTATGGAAAATGGAAGATTATCACTGCAACAATACCACCCACCGAACCGCGGAAACAAAGCATTGATAGAGGTGCTGAAACAGAGGCTAGTAAGGCAATCAGCAAAGAACATGTGAGTGTAAGAAACAGCTTGAACAGATATGCCCTTGTTCGCTGTTTTCTTTCCATTCTTTCTAGGTGTACATTGCCAAATTCTCCCTGGGAGTCGGTGCTATTCCATGGCTGATCATGTCTGAAATTTTCCCCAACCGTGCACGCTCCGCCGCTTCAGGTACGTTTCTGGTTGTGTTGCTAATTGTGGCTTTCTTTAATACTGTAAAAGCCATAATTATATATAACGAAGTGCTAACTCTAACGAATTAACGAGGAGAAATCTGTCGTTAAAATAGAAATCGTTATACAGAAATCGATATAATATATATTATATATACTGTCCTATTGAGCGTTGAGAATGAGTGAGAATCGTTACCTTTGGTACACGTAAACTAGTCAATTTTTGGAATTCGTTATATATGCGCCTCGTTAGAATAATGGCTTTTACATTATTCAGTGGCATGTAACATTGTTTATAATGCTTCATAAAAAGTGTTGTATGTGTGACAGCCACAGGTGGTATAATTTCATTGTTTGTACCAACACCATTGGTCTTGTACTTGTAACTCTTGTTGCCTGGATCTTTTGTCTGTCTTGTACGCTAGGTATTGCTACCTTCACCAACTGGCTGAACAGCTTCATTGTCACGCTTACCTTTCATCACATGCAAGTTGCCTTCGGCTTGGATGTCGTCTTCTGGATTTACGGAGGTAAGACTTTGCTGCCTGTGCCTCTTCTTTTGGCACGTATCCTTGCTGGCTTCGCACAACTGCCCTTCCCTGCCTGTTGTATGTACTTGGAAGTATGCTCCAGTAAAGCAAAGACATACCAGGGTTCTAGCCAAAGGGCGCAGCGCCCCCCCCCCCCCCCCCTACTCCGTTTGCCCCCCCCCCCTGTGAAAAAATTGCCCCCCCCCCCCCTACTCATTTTCCGATTTTTGTGTTTTTCACGCCATTCAACGAAAATACAGTCTATAGTCACTACTAGAGGGTTCATAAAGGCACATTTGTGAGGGGTGAAGTCGGGGTTCACCCTGTATGTTGCATTTTGCATGGCAAGACAATTTTGGACAATGGAAAAAATGGGTCATGGGGTAACTTTTTCCAATGCCCGCCCCCCTACTATATTGGCCTGGCTAGAACCCTGACATACTATTTTATACTCTACTATATAATTATGTGATGTGCCGATAAGTGAACACGCAAAGTGACGTCCCAAATAGAGCATGTGCATTGATAGCCACATCTAAGTGTCAACAACGGGCGGGCTCGTGTCACCTTCAGTCACGAGTTCTGTCTTGCACACAACCCCCGACTATGAGGTTTCAGGCCCCATGGGATTAACATTGGCCACCTCTGGGGGGGGGGGGGGGGGGGGGGGCAGAACCTCTGCTTCTGGGCCCCTGAGCAATCAAGACCTCCCCTGGGTACATGGTGTGTGTGTGCCGTGTCTGTGCTGTGCTGTGCAGGTGTATGCGGCATTCTGGTCGTGTTTGTTCTTTTCCTTGTACCGGAGACGAAGGGTCGCTCCTTGGAAGAAATCGAAGAGCTCTTCGAAAAGCCGTCCATCAATTGAAGTCCAGCAGCAGCTAGCATTCTTCAGTTTTCACCAGAGATTACTAATGGTGCATGTAGTGCTCCCTGGCCTCCATTCTTAGTCTGTGTGTGTGACCCTATGAGAGTAGGTTAGACAGTTTGTTGACTTGACTCTGTCTGACGTTACTCGTCTACAACACCAAAAATGTATTTACAGTCATTTTTCAAATGATTTTTAAAAATGATTACAATCTCCTTGACATAACCGATATGCTTATTGTGTGATTGCTGCTGACAATGCTATGCAATTTGTACATTATTCCAGCCGCCACATTTCGAGAGTGAACGACACAGGTTACGATGCTCATTACAATATTTAAAGTAATTTAGCAACATATCAAGGTTTTTTATCGATGGGCTCATCACAATCATGGCTGTGCCCTCTGATCATATCATTTGACGATGCTTTGACTAGTTTTTAGTGCCCGTTTTACTCTTATTTTCTGCTTACTTCTTCGCTGCACATCAAGTTACAGTGCGTAGTTCTCTCATGTGATTCTAGCACTTCTGCTGGCTTGAATGAATGGTATACTAGTAATAATTATCTTGCTTGCGTGTGCTGCTCTGTTCAGTATGCGGCTTGTGGAGGTTTTTTCCTAACCTGACGTGTGTATAGGATGAGGATGGGAGTGTGCATTCGGACTTCACCCAGAGTCTGCACCGCTATCACTGCGACTGCTTTGTCTTCAAGCTGATGCCGCAAGCTTTGTGGGTGATGAATGCTGGTGGCTACTTGATTGGGGCTTCTCTCATAGGGGTCTTGCTTTTCCTGGCTGAGTGTACAAAGTGATGTGGCTGTTGTTGAATTGCACTCTTGGGATGCCATGGGTTGTTTTTGTTACATTGTACTATGACCAAACCCTGGTGAGATGGTTTGATTACAGTCGGCTCGTTGCGGTAAGAGTAGTTTGAATTGTGCGGGACAGTGTGAATACACCTGACTGGACTATCAACTGCTGTTCATTGCATGGCATGCCGTGTATTGCATGTGCATGCATGTACTCTGTTCTTAGGCACACTGCAGACAAGTGCACAACTAACGGCTCTAAATTACAGGCCGGCCGGGCATGCTTGGCCGCAGATAGCTACAGGGCTCATGCAGTGGCAGGACAACAGCAGCTCAAGGCATGGACTACATTTACCAGATGACGTCAACCAGGATGTGCTGACTCCTGTGTGGAGTCAGCAAGCCTAGCCTATGCAGTGTATGCACACCTTCACCAGGGTGAGATTATTATAATATTATTATCACTGAGGATGGACATGTACAATGTATGCTATTTAATATTATAGGAGGCTAAGTTTCTGGCCACATATGACTGAGCAAGACACTGACATGTGCACTTCAAGGCCTGTTGCTCTCCCGAAACATTGTGCGTGGTGCACAACAAATTCACCACGAGCATGCAGTATACAAGCAAGAGTATAACCAGGGAGTCGTAAAATACCGGTATTTTACGACTCCCTGAGTATAACCACCTGGGGGGTTATACTCGAGTATAACCACCTGGGGGGTTATACTCGTGATACAAGGTATACTGAGATAGCATGATGCAAGAGAACATTCGTGCCAGCTATTGCGGGAGTAAAACAAAAAAAATCCCTGGTACTATTTACTACTTCCTGCGTCATGTGCACCCAGGAAACGAAGCACAATCCCATACTACCAAGGGGGTTACTCAATCTGCGGACAGCACTACCAAGGGGGTTATACACTCTTGATACTACCAAGAGTCCATGAACATTAATTTTATGCACTCTTGACACTACCTGTACATGTAGCGACTTTGTCTTGATAAGTTAGCATTGAACATTTCGTTCCAGTTGCACCAGTCAATTATTTTAATTTATTAATTTTTACTTCTTTGAAGTAAGTGACATGCCCCCCTCCCAACTAATACTTGTCATGGTGCTTGCCAGCAAGGAGTCATAGCATCTATTTGGAGAAGGCACGGGCTAACTCCACTCCGTAATCATGTGGCTTTCGACCGTCCCCCGGCCCGCAAGTATGCAATCGTCAGGTTCTGGGGGAAGACGGTGGTAGTGGTGGGGGATATCGACCTGGACTGTTGTATCCTGCCGGGTGCAGGAGAACTGGGCATTGGGGGGGGGGGGGGGGTCACCCTCATAGCCTAGGTAATGTATATTTTTAATGTACCATAAAGCACAGCGAGAGCACCCCACCATCTCATCCTTTCATGGTCGTATTGTGGAGGTGGTGTCCTGTCTATAGGTCATACGACACGGACATTGTACACACATTGCACGTTGTGCAGTCAATACGCACTCAATTAATTATTTACCTTCGAGTGGACACAAGCTCTGCATAAGAACCTGTCAAGCATGACCTTAGTACACGAAGGTACTCACACCGCACAAACTTCTTTGCACTCTACTACCTACCATATACGATTTCCCTTTCCCTGGCTGTAAAATCAAGGTGGGGCGCTCTCGCGGTACTTGACGGTTCTACATATCAGAGAGTAGTAATTTTACTACTCCCTGATATGTAACGTTATGCACAGATGGGTCATCAGTATGTTGTGCTTGGTGAAATTCTAGCCTCTTCGGTCTTTGGCGCCCCGGACAGTAGTGTACTCACAGACTCCATGGCAGCCATTTACACACCAGGGTCCCTCAACTCAAACAATATCTCTTTGCTGCACACGTCACCTGAAATGTTCACCAAATAAATTAATTTATGCTGATGATGGGCCAGGCCCGGAAATTTGGTGAACTTTCAAGTTACGTATGCAGCAAAGAGACCGTGTCTGACACTGAGTGTTTGAGTTGAGGGACCCTAACAGATACCAGCACGAATGGTTCACCGGAGAAGTCATATTTTGTGTGGCACAAAAGTACATTATTGTCATTTAGCAAAATTATGTCATAATTTCACGGGACTTCATACAGCAAAATGCCATTTATCCAAATACCAACTACCGTAAAGTCTTGTATAAAAGCCGTGGCTTCTACGACTTTCTTGGTGAAATTTTGCAGGCTTCTATATGAGACAGGCTTCTATACAAGACAGGTATTTCTATGTATGTCAACACTAAAACCAGGCTTACGTGTGATTTGATGGGCCCAAAATTGCGGCTTCTATTCGAGGGCGCCTTCTATTCAAGTGCAGCTTTTATACAAGACTTTTTTTACGGTATCTGAGCGATCAATCCCTCAAAAGGCCTGTTTGGATTGAAGCGGCGAACACGAGATTTTGCAGATTTTTCCCACTCGAAGCACCATTCAAATCGTGTAAGAGGCGATGTGCACGTTTTAGATGTACAGCAGAGTGTCAGCTAAATTATCACCAACCTATCAACACATCTCGAAGATTATTATACATGATAGCACATATTTTGGCATTCTTTTCGTGTCCGACATTCGTGTTTATTGATTTTGAGCATCGATGAATATGAGCCCACTCTATGAGGCAATGTTCAGGGTATCAAAATGGCTCTCATGGCACACACAGCAAAACTAGAGCTGCCAGCACGCTGTCGGATACCCCCCCCCCCCCCCATACCGCGTACCGGATCATTGGACTGACCACCGGCAAGAGTACACGAAAACCAGAGTGTGCAGCTGGGATGGGTTGCTGTCACGGCGGAATTCTGTGATTACATCATTTTAATGATGCAGTGCGTACAAGCATGTCTCTTTCTGCACAACTGCAGCTCAGTTGTACACACTACGCCATTTCCCGCCTCAGATCAGCGCCAAATACGATGTTATCACGGAATTCCGCCTTGACAGACACCCATAGTAGAAGAAGCCCCAAGCTGCACACTCTGGTTATCATGTACAGTCTGTATCGGCTATAGAGTGACCGGATATAAGATTATATCGGCTACAGTGATATTGGTACGAAATATCAAAAGCAAAACATATTTTATCCAGTACAAATATCACTATAACCAATATTATCGGGTGTAATGATATATCGGATATTAAGATGGCAACAAAGAATCAAAACATGCATATCACACTATATTATTATCGGCTATAGTGATAACTTTAAAATACATGTAGCCTGATGATCGTAGTAATACGTGAAAATAAAGTTGTAACAAAGCTTCCAAACTCTCTCTTGTGTAGTAATAATTTCAAAGGCCCTATTTTTTACTTTCTTCATGTTGCTTATTTTTATAGTGATACATGTACATGTACATAACAGATTTTTTATGGAAACGCGGGCACTGTCAACTATGCAGCATGCACATTTGTCAAAACGCCATGCTGAAAGATGTGTCTATCGAAAAAAAGAAAAAAATCGATCGTATCGCATATAGTGATGCATCGGTTATAGTGATAAAATCACGGAAATCAAAAGGGTACGCTATAGCCGATACAGACTGTACCCTTGCCGCCGGATAAGTGACACGCTCCGGTATGTATAACTGCTCCATTATCCAAACATTCTCATTGCCTAGGTTAAGATCGCAAACACGTCACATTCCCACGCTATGCCTTTTTATTTTGAAATTTTGTACCGAAATCAAAACTTCCCGCGGAAAATCGATGTTTCTCGTACCAAATTTGTAGCGAATAATCTTTCTGCACCCGATGACGCAAAATCTCCATACGAAACATGGTTCGTATGAAAGCCAGTCCACACGGATTCTCCGTGCTGAAAAATCTTATGGAGCACGCCTGCAAAAAATCTGTAGTGCCCATACAGATTTTGGCACCGAAAATCGTACCCCGGAACCTCTCTAATACAGTAGAGTCGCGCGCCCAAGAGCGTTGTTTCCAAGGGGTTAGCCTGGGACGTTCTTGTTTTTCAGCAATCTGGCTGCGTTCTCATAATCTTATAGCACGTTCTACGAAACAACCCGTACTGGATCATTATGTATCCCACAAGCTGCCAGAAAACCACCACCGCCGTTCTTAGCTTTTGGCTGTGGCGTTCTTAGAATTTCAGACTGGACGTTCTTGGGCTCCACGTTCTCCAGCGTGCGACTCTACTGCATATACCGGAAACCTCTTATAACAAGTCATGTTGCGGGGTAAATCTGCGGCATTCATACTGTCAAGAGTCCATGCACTCTTGGTACTGTTCAGGGAGTCGTAAAATACTTTACGACTCCCTGGTACTGTTCATAGCTCTCCATGTAGATAAATTTATTGTTCTGGCAAACCATGCAGATATTCACAACTCATGCCGCAAATGTTGAGGTTTCCCTATTTTCCACTACTAGAAGCGTAACAGATTCAACCTTTCAGTTTTACTGGAAGGGCAATGCTCCACGAAAGCATGGGATAAAAGCCCTAGTATATGGCTTACTTGAACTACATTTTTGTTCATTTATATACTGTATAATTATATCACTGTGTGAACTACAAACTATTGTGGACTGAACTACGATAATTATTATAATAATACCAGAGCACACATACTCAAAGAACTTTCCCCAAAGTGTTAAGATATCCGGGGTAGGACTATCTGCTCTACACCAGGCAGATAAAAATCACTTCATTGCCATGTGATATTGCATTATTGGTGATACAGAACTGATCTCTATGCACGTACCATCACAACACAGAATGGCACCCAACCATCACTCAGTGATTTCTCGCAAGTCAGAACGTAAACTGTTGGTGTTTCCAACCAAACACACCCGCCAAACCTCAGTCTCAATCATGATTTCACACAACCTTTGCGAAGGTAACTATTTTTAATAGCATCCATGAACACAAGTAGTTTTTAAACCACTAAAAAAAGAACTGTTCAGCCAGCTCGACGAGACAACAAACACTCATTTGTTCATGATCAACGACACGAAGGAAAACAACAATGCAATGCCAACTGAATAACTAATTGCGCACTTCCTGGCAATCATGTAATTGTTGCCGCCGAACTATTGCAATAATGCAAGTAAGTTTTGTGAAGAATACGGGGGTCATGCACTTAATTAAAAGTCTTTACTTTTTAATTTTTGTGCACCCCCGGCCCCGCGCGCGCGGTTAGTTACAGTAAATCTACGAGTACAGCTTGGTGCACGCTTTGCTGGGCTGCAAGTGGTGCATGCAGTGAGCAGTGCACTACACACATGCCCGAGCCATCGAACTTTTCCGGGAATTCCGCGTGTCGGCCAGGTCGGCGGCGGGATTTTTTTCGCCCGCGCGCTTCCTCTCAACAACCTCTGCGATCTGCATGCGCATGCAACCAGGGAGTCGTAAAATACAGGTATTTTACGACTCCCTGCATGCAACCTATTCCATGGTGCCATGGTAACAGCGCATGCGTTGTACCTGTTCGATGACGCAATCTGCAAAGACTACGCATGCGCGGCGCCATTATAGGGAGCACTACACATGCGCTGAAGTGCCAGCTTTCTTCCTTTTTGTGTTGTCTGCTTTGTGAGAAAGGTAAGCAATTTTTGCTCTCTCTCCAAGCTCTTCTTTGACCGCGAGGAACTATTGTCAGTGGAGTTTCCAGTTGCTGAAGAGTAGCAGTAGTTGTTGATCAATCGTCTTTTTCCCGAAATCTCTCCTGTTCAGGCGTCAATTTCAACATCCAAGATGGGTAAGGAAAAGACTCACGTTAACATCGTCGTTATCGGCCATGTCGACAGTGGAAAGTCTACTTCCACTGGCCATCTCATCTACAAATGTGGTGGTATCGACAAGCGTACCATCGAGAAGTTCGAGAAGGAGGCTCAGGAGGTAAGGAGGTTGCTTTGCATTCAAATTTTTCACTTTGTTGACTGAACTCAGTCATTGTTTAAACATTTGTGACTCAGTTGAATCATTTTGTTGCGAAGATGATATCCTGTACTGTGTAATGGTTGTACCGTAGGGTTGTAGATCTCATGGCATTTGCTTGCTCGTTGGTCTTGTAGATGGGCAAGGGATCCTTCAAGTACGCTTGGGTGTTGGACAAGCTGAAGGCCGAGCGTGAACGTGGTATCACCATCGACATTGCTCTGTGGAAGTTTGAGACCACTAAGTTCTATGTCACCATCATTGATGCCCCTGGACATCGTGACTTCATCAAGAACATGATCACAGGAACATCCCAGGTATGTCTTCTATTTTATTTCTGGTTTTGTGCTACTTATGTGAGTGCTGTTAGTACACAATGGAGGCACACATAACACTTTTTAGTTTGTATGTACTCATAGATCGTACGCACGCATGCACACTGAATGTAATTCTTGTCACACAAGAGGAAAATCTAAAAAGTACTGTACCATTTCCGCCGTGCTGTAGTAGGTTGCATATCATCACTGTTCCAGTATACTAGGAATACACTTTCATCGTTGATCATGCCAATTTCTAAGTATTGGTGCCCATCCATTTGTTTATGTAGGCCGATTGCGCTGTCTTGATCGTCGCTGCTGGTGTTGGTGAGTTCGAGGCTGGTATCTCCAAGAACGGCCAGACCCGCGAGCATGCTCTCCTCGCTTTCACGCTCGGTGTCAAGCAACTGATCATTGGTGTGAACAAGATGGACTCCACCGAGCCACCCTACAGCTCTGCTCGTTTCGAAGAAATCTCGAAGGAAGTCTCGGGCTTTATCAAGAAGGTCGGATACAACCCCAAGGCTGTTGCCTTCGTCCCCATCTCTGGATGGCACGGTGATAACATGATCGCGCCCACCGAGAAGGTAAATCGCGATTTTCATACGTAATCCTCATTGTTTTGTGTTCCTGTCGTGAATTTCAACTGCTTTGTTGCATTTTGATTTCTACTGGATACGCATTACTCTATCGTCATGATCGTATTGACACCCCTGTGTTCTTTTTCATGATTGTTTGTGCTCCGTAGATGGCCTGGTACAAGGGATGGGAGATTGAGCGCAAGGAGGGTAAGGCTTCCGGCAAGACCCTTCTTGAGGCTCTTGACGCCATCCTCCCGCCGTCTCGTCCATCTGACAAGCCTCTCCGTCTTCCCCTTCAGGACGTGTACAAGATCGGCGGTGAGTGAATATTGTCTTTATTTTGAATCATGTGCCAAATCATCTTTATCACAATTGTTGGACATTCTATTTCTATGTTTATGTGGTCGTGCATTGTCTGATTCTGTTGTGCTGCTCATATCAATGTCACTGCAGTATTCGTGTGGAATACCATTTCGTTAATTGAATCGAAGAAATTATTCACAAAAATTTGGTTGTGAGCAACACCGGCTCGCATTTATAATTTCAACCTGTGGCATTCCTTGTCTCGTTTCTAAATTCATTTCGTCTTCTTCTTTGTTTCCCACTCAGGTATTGGAACGGTCCCCGTTGGTCGTGTTGAGACTGGTACCCTCAAGGCCGGTATGATTGTCACAGTTGCCCCCGCCATGGTGAGCACTGAAGTCAAGTCTGTTGAAATGCATCACGAAACCCTCACCGAGGCTCTCCCCGGTGACAACGTCGGTTTCAACGTCAAGAACGTCTCAGTCAAAGACATCCGTCGTGGTATGGTTGTTGGTGACTCCAAGAACGACCCACCCAAGGAGGCCAAGAACTTCACCGCTCAGGTCATCGTCTTGAACCACCCCAACGAGATCCGTGCTGGTTACACACCAGTGTTGGATTGCCATACCGCTCACATTGCCTGTAAGTTCCAGGAGCTTCTGGAGAAGATTGACCGACGTAGTGGTAAGAAGCTTGAGGACATGCCCAAGGCTGTCAAGTCTGGTGATGCTTGCATCGTCACCATGATCCCATCCAAGCCCATGGTCGTTGAGCCCTTCACCAACTATGCTCCCCTGGGACGTTTCGCTGTCCGTGACATGAGACAGACTGTTGCCGTCGGTGTCATCAAGGCCGTCGAGAAGGTCGATGCTACTGCCAAGGCAACAAAGAGCGCCCAGAAGGCCGGAAAGAAGAAGTAGACTTTTTCTTAACTTTACCATACCATCGATTTTTTTATTCACGCTGTCAGTTGTACCGTGCTGTTTTTCCATCTCACAAACAGACCCATAAAGAAAGAAATCAGTAAAAAACCAAGACTGTTCTATGATTGTGAACTTGTGCACAGGGAAGATGATGCAGATTTAGGGTGAATGCTCCATTATTAACGAAATGAAGGTTTCGGTAATTATAGACTTCACATAATGATGGAATTTTAAATGTTAACAATGTTCCGAAATTTGTCGGACTGAGTTTACAATTATTTGAAGGTTTTGGTTGATATAGATAATAATGATGCGAGTTTACAAAGTCTCCAGCAGTTCGTTTACAGTCATCAAGATTGATCCTGCTCCCACAATGCTCAGAATCTGTAGTGAGAAAGCACCCAAGAATTTGCATTAGCACACATAGCTAGGGTACCCTATGCGGTATCTGCTTCAAAGTAACCCCATTTTTAAACAACCATCCAGTTGATCTGTGACCCGATTGGTGCTTGGTACAGTACATAGTATACAGTACGTGCAGTGGCACTAAAAAATCTCTGGTGTTCTTTCACCGATTTTCATAAACAAAGCAGTGAGACTTGAGACTCGGAGGAAAACTGAAAAAATCACTCTGGAATTCAAATTTTCAAGTTTCTTTCACACTAAACTTGGCAGGTGCTCCCCGCGTGTTACGTCATACTCAAGCATGCAGCACACCATCATCATGATCATTTTGCGCTTGAAACGAGCTTTCCGCTGTACAGTGTACTGTAGTTTGTTTGAAGTCCCGTCCCTCCAGGAACTGTTACTTGCGGCTGTTTGAACTTTGCTGGAGCTGTTCGCGCACGGCTGCTGCTTTGAGCGGCATTCTAGGCCGTGCAGGTAGCTGGCTTGATTGTGGTATTAGGCGCTTCGTCTTGGAAATACCTTTCCAGCGGTGTCAAGTTTGTAAAAATCGGTGAATGTTTGGCAGAGAAGGTGCATGTTATTTTGAAGTAACGTTTAGTTGAGTAAATTGTGTTTGCGATCGTAACCTAGGCAATGACGGCAAAGACATACGTTTCGTACTCCGGAACATCTCACTGCTCGAAAACGACGTATAAAATATCGGTAGCGCCTCTACGGATTTTGGCATGAAAAATCGTACTCCGGAACCTCCCTAATACCATATTTTTCGGAGTATAGTGCGCACCCCCAATCTTCATTGGGGGTGCGCACTTCAATCTTCATTGAAGTACATGCATTTCATATTCGGAGCATAGGATTTGTTTCAATTGTATTTGTCTCATAAGTTGCACAACAGTCAAGCAGATCATCCGAAAAGGACCGGTTGGTATGCTGACTTATTTGCCAACTTGAAGCGATTACAAGAATGGCGAACGAACCTCGTCTCTAGCTTCAATTTAGGAAAATTTAGGACGAGCCTTGGTTTGAAATTTTGACAAAGTCTGGCTTCCGGCAGCCGGCGATCACCGGCGCAAACGGTTCACAAACCACTTTTGGTCAAAATCGTACGGGATCCGTGCCGGGGCAGATCGCAAGAGTTGGGCACTGTCCAACTTTGCCGGCGGTCCCTTGCGATATTTTACCGTATGATTTTGTTACGACTGCATAATCGTAATGCGCCGGGAGAGGTTGCAAGAGGCCCACTCCCGTTGACTCCCGGCGCGTACCGGCGATATGTAAACCAACCCATAGGTAGGCTCCGGCGGATAATGCTCGCGAAATCATGAAATTATGCTTTCAAGGATTCTCGCATTATGCTCGTAAAATCCTCATAATGCTTTGGCACCCGGGGATATATTCACTTTGTTGTACTTGTGGAGCCTCAAAGTTCGGAAAATTGTGCTTTTTTCGTAAAGTTGCAAGTGGCCATAAGTTCAACAAAATACATGAGTATCCCCATACCAAGGTGTCCATGCATGTTAGAGATCAACATGGAAAAGAGAAAACATTACTTCTTCTATTCATCACTTGATTCCTTTTGTACTTCAGTAAAAATATTATTTCATTGCCAAATTAGTTTGAGTTACCTTTGAAAATTATCATCATGTTCAACTCACGGTCTTCGTAATCATCATACTCGTCCAACCGATGTCACCCTCACCCTGCGAATAATCAGCTCATCTCTCCCGTAGCTCCACTTCTCCTTCCATCATGACCGAACATCAACTATACATCAATTAATTTGGAGCAATGTCGATAGCCTGCAGTCATATCATGACTGATAAAATCCAGAGGTCATGACTTCGTAACATGCAAATGTATAAATGTAATGTACATGTACATGTAAACGGAGTTTTGCGGACTACCCGCCACTATCTCGTCCGCCCCGGGATACCAGATGAAGGCTGATTCACTCGCATCTTTTGCTACATGTACTGTGCCAGTGTGAGAAAGAACTTTGAAGAAGACGAGTTCGAGCATACAATACTGTATTGCCATGATTTCTTCCCTGCTTTTCATTGAAAACACTATCCGCATGACCTCCGAACCCTTCACCATGCAGACCACCAGCACCGATCAGGTGCATTATTCACAATTGTATAGCCTACATACTAGAACTGTGGTATAATCGTGTAGTTATGCTCCTACCTCCGAAAGGATGCCAAATTATGCTCCAAATTTTTAACCACCAAATTATGCCAATAATTATGCCGGCATAATCCGCCGGTGCCTACCCATAGGGCGCACCTGCGATTTAGGGCCTAAAATAGCTCATCTAAAGTGCGCACTGTAATACTCCGGAAAATACGGTAGGTACGAGGTGAGGGTTTACATGAAGACAGTTGACCCGGGTCAAATACTGATATGCCGCCAAAATTCAGGGCTCACAGCAACCATGCCAAAACCTCGATTACGTGGGAGGACATCTTGGATCTGATCACCATAGAAACGAACTCGCGTGACCGCTAAGCGCAGGCGTAGAACGCAGTCGCGCAAGGAGATTTTGACTTGCTTGGGCTTAGTTGCTGTGACAAGGACTGAGTCGTGAATGGTGAAGGAGATGGCCGGAGACTGTCTCACAATCTCTATTTCATTTCGGTAGTTCTTGTTTCCTTCCAAGTGGATTATTTCGCGAGCAGTGTTGGCCTTGTCGGCCGAAGGCTTCATTCAGACTGTCCGCACACGGAGTCCTGCGAAAAGTAGCCCCGAGCAGAATCCTGCAGTCGTTGACGAAAGAGTTCAACATCTACAGCCGGGCAGCTACGCCGCTGATGCACAGGCGCGGGTGACGGGAGAGGGAAAGGACTAGCATTCCTTGACGGCATGCATCAATGACTCACGTCGTGTTCTAGTTTTAGTTTCTCCGCCGTGAAGTCCTGTTGTGTAAACGTAAGTGTACGGCTGGTCTGCGAAGAGCCGTGTAGCGCAGTGGTGACGATGTGGAGTTGTGAATTATTTGATTCGCCACTCCGTTTCGTTGCAAGAGAACAAGTCCAATGGCTTCGCCGTTGTGCGGGCCATGTATTTCTTCGGTCTGCCATAGCCTTGATAACTCCTGGAGGACACAGCGATGAAGCGCCAGGCGAGTAGCAAAAACATTTCAAAAAATTGCTTTGCTGCTGCAGTGTTGTTTCCGCATTCACCATGTTCACAACAAGTGCAGCGCGCGCGGTTCTTCCTCGTGGCTGCACTGCAGATAGGGTTGCCTTTGAAATGTTCGTTTGTACCCGTCTCTGGCCCGATTTTGATGGCCAATAGCTTAAAATTTTCAGTAGGAAAATTAGAAGAACTTCTCCGAGCGACTTTTCAATTTTAGTACAGTAATCCAAATCAGAATTACGCCTGCACCAACTGATACTTTGGCTCCATATATATGCCAAACCGTATCGATTTTAACAAAAAACTCTCGGACAAATCCTTACAATGGGTATTGAGAGTATGTTCCTAGAGTTTCAGAGGCCTAGGGAAAAGCATTGGTACAAATGAACATTTTGAATGCACCCCACTTTCAAGTTTTCAGAGATATCTGCCTGATCGCATGTACACGATTCTGGCATGCTGGCTGGCTCGTGTGACAGCGGCCTGTCCAAAATGGCGCCCACGCTTTTGTGTGATGCTGTGAGCCCTGAAATTCCACTTCCAGAGTCCTGTATGGTCACGTGAATCTGTTCGCGCGAAATTTGCATGTGCAGTGCTGTTCAAACCTGGCGCGAGATACGCACAGAAGTACGTTTGTACGATGTTCTTGACCCAGGTTGATTTCAACCCTCCCCTTCGGGGGAGGGTTGAAATCAACCCGGGTCAAGCGCAATGCGTCATGTAAACGCGCCATTCATTTTGTGCACATGGCGGGTTGAAATCTGACCCGGGTTGAAATGCCTCATGTAAACACAGCCTTAGTCGACTGGTTTTGGTCCAAAAAGGCTGCGATGCAGCAGCGTTCCTCCTTTATTCCCAATCGAACATGGTTGAACAAGCGGTCACGTGCTCCTGGGTGCCCAAATCACCTGATCACCACGCCAGCAGGCGACAACTTTCACACCAAGGTTCAACTCGAGTGACAGGACTGCACCCAAAAAAGGTCTATAACATATGGGCCAATTGCGATCATCCGTGCTTTTATCTCTTAATTTGCTGGCCAAAAATCCTATATATAGAATTTGAAAATGTGTGCCTTTTATGCCGTTGTTATTGGTCATCACGACCAATAATAACGGCATAACGGTTTTCATGGAAGTTGTAAATATGTTTGAGGCATGAATGTTTACATTTTAGATTCATAGGGCGATAATATTTCTGATGAATACCCATTTTCAGCAATAATTGGAAATTTGAGCATAATTGTTCAGCTGCTGTCATGGAAAGGACTGAAGCAGTGAATGTGCAGAAGAACATTGCAGGTGTGGCACGGGGTGGTTTCTTGACGACATACCGCACATGCCGTCATGAAACTACCAGTTTTAAGGATAAAACAAGGTCCAATAAAATCTCAAATCCTATATATAGGATTCGAAAAATAGGGCACAGGCCTTAGTAATATTGGGCAAGGAGATGAGCCTGAGATGTTAGTGTTTGAAAAAATGATCTTATTCAACTCTCGATATCTACTAAGACCTAGCAAGGAAGAATTGGTCACATACTTTTTGCTATTCTCATGCCACACATATTTTGAGTTGAAAAATATGACCAAAATCCTGTATATAGGATTTAGGGGCCGTCCGTAAAAATCGATGTTTTTTTAGAGACGATATTGGTGCTTCTCTCCCTTGACCCCCCCCCCCCCCTCCCCCCAGAAGACGCAAATGTACATCTAGATCATGGAATCAATATTTTTGGATGTTCATTTTTTTTCCTTTTTTTGTCAATAATATGAACCCAAGATGGCAAGTTTGTAGTATTTATATGGTCTAATTGAGAAGGAGAGCATTATGACTTTT